CAACTACTAATTCCTTATTGGTTTGCATCAAATGTCGACATTGAGTCCATACCTTTTTGTTTTAGTAATGGAGGAAATTACTAAACATTTGTAAATAGACATCCCCGATTGTATGTTGTTTGCGGATGACATAGTTTTAATAGATGAAATAAGGGAGGGGATAAATGTCAAGTTAGAGACTTGGAGGGAGGCGCTAGAATCTAAAAGTCTTACAATAAGTAGGGCTAAACAGAATATATGAAATGTCATTTTAGTAATCGTAGGAGTAATAACATGATAAATGTTAAAATTGGTGAACATGTAGTGAAAACATCTAAAAGCTTTAAATACCTAAAATCTATCATAGAGGAAAATGGAGGTATTGATAGAGATGTAACACACCGAATTCAAACCGGGTGGAACAAATGGAGAAGTGCGTCCTCAATACTTTGTGATCGTAAAGTACCATTGAGTTTGAAAGGCAAGTTTTATCGAACGACCATTCGACCGGGGATACTTTTCGGATCCGAGTGTTGGGCTACCAAATATGAAAATGAACAAAAGATGCGGGTAGCAGAAATGAGAATGCTAAGATGGATGTGTGGGCATACTAGATTAGATAGAATTAGGAATAAATACATTAGAAATAAGGAAATAAGATAGGGGTAGCCCGGATGGATGAGAAAATGAGAGAAACTCGCTTAAGATGGTTTGGGCATGTGTGTAGGAGAACGGTGGAGGCCCCGACTAGGAGGGTAGAAAGTATAGAATCAAAGACTAAATAAAAGGGGTAAGGGTACACCAAAAAAAATTTGGAAAGAAACTATAAAAAATGATTTGAAATATTTAAATTTGAGAAATAGTTTACGTAATGATCGAACACGATGACGATATATGATCCATATAGCCGACCTTACCTAGTGGGAAAAAAACTTGTTGTTATTGTTGTTGTAGGCTCTAGCCCAACTCAATATTTGGCATATAACTCAAACTTTTAGCTTCCTCTGCATATATAAATAATAATAAAAAAGTGAGATTGAAATTGCTATCTACAAGATATATAGATACCGATTTAAAGACCATTTCATATTCAAAAGCAAAGATTAGAAATAGAATGCAGTAAGAACCTTTGAGGGAAAAGAAGTTCAGTATACAAGTCTCATGATGATTCAAGAGAAGACACTGATACACATTAATTATTTTGAGAATCTCTAACATGTGTAATGGGATGTTTTTAAATCACTCAATTGAGTAGTATCCGTCATCCCAAAAAGAGATACAAGCATTTTTAATTTTTTTTACAAGTTTAGATCAACATAAAAGCACTCTAATTTTAGGACGACAAGAGTAGTAATAATAATTTTTTTTTCCTTCTAAATTTCATAGCTTGTCATCATACTAGTGGACTGGCGTTAGTTACTCTTTAACTACACAAGCATAGTAGTTTGTAATTTATCAAGGGGAAATAGATGAAATATATAAGGCTTTAGTTACTCCATTGTCTGCAATTCAACTGGTTTTGCTCGTTTATTTTGAAAATTTTATGATTTGGTAAACATTTTTCATTGTCACGATTATGGATAATCAGGCTAGCTACCAAGTTAGATTGAGGTTATCTTAAGTGACTGACAAATCATGGTCTTTGGTAAAATAGTCTAATCTCACATAATTTCCAACCTATATGTGATTATCTCTATACGTATGGGTAAACTCTTTCTAATATAGTTCGGAAACATTCAATCAACGAAACTTCAGTCATTCTCGTATATTTAAGAACCTAATAAATAACACTTGAAACGAGACCAAAATATCTCAAAAATATCTTAACATGGATGGATAGACTACGTAGGAATTGTGACATTTATTAGCCAGCAGAGCTTTGATGTTATGATGATAAACTCAAATGCATGGAAACGCAGCGATTAAATATAATAGAAAACTGATGTTATTCAAGAAAACGATACGGTCCCTCAGCCCCAGCGAGAATCCAGATGGCGCTGCCGCAACAAAACGGTCCAGTTTAGTTAATTTGATACTTGTCCAAACCCTAAAAGAAAGGACAAAATGTAGCAGTTTTGAGGTGAGTTCTTGTTCCAGAACAAGTGTGTGGCCATGCATTTGACCAAGCGTTTGCTTCTTTCCCCAATCATCTCACTTATGTTACCAATGAAAGCATTATTGTATGGATAGAGTTCTCATGTTTTTTCTTTAATTAATTAATTGGTTTTGGCATATTAAAATCTTTGAGCTATATATTTTAGAATATGTATCTAATAATAAAGCTACAATAGTAAAAGAAAAAATTAATTGATATTGAGTACATAAAATATTTATTATGGAAATAATGAGGAATGAGAGATAACAAAAATTCGAATATTGGCGACATCAGGTGCAAGCCACATAGTCTACTATCGAATTTTTCCAATCCATTTAATTTGAACAAGAATATGTGATTAACGTAGTGAAATTATTTGTAAAATTCATTCTCGACGCAAGTTACATATATGACGGAATTAGGGGTAGGGGCAGTTAAAATGTAGCGGTGTCTGATAGTTAAAATTGTTACAATTTGATCTTTCAGTTGCATATATAACTTCATTTTCCACCCTATGATTTGAAAATTTCTGTTCCACCACTTCTATCTATATCGTATAATATTCTAAACCTTCTATTTGTACGTTTAAAAGACAGAAGCCAAACTTTCATTTTTAACGGCTAAAAAAGACCATGCGATGGCAAACGTACGCCTTTGTTTTTGTATAATTCTATGTTTCTTTTCTTCACTTCCATATCTTTATCTATTCAGCTCCTTCTTTTTACCTTTTTTCTACTTCGTTTTGATTGATCTTTTGCCTTCTTCTCATTGGCTAGCTTCACAAGACTGAATCAAATAGTGTTACACCACGAATATGGATTCAACCTCTTAGAAATCAGAGCCTTATACCATCAAAATTTCTCCAAATTCGACATCTCTATGTATAGACTTTTTGACCTAAATCCATCATCGGTGACGTACGCATGACAGGGATTTACACAGATTCCCGGTTTAGATAGCCATCAACTCGGATTAATTCTAGGAAGAAAACTACATGGCCTGGACGGTGATTTTTAGAAGCGGGCCGGGTTGAAGAAAGGAAACTTGTAACCAAAGTGATTTGTGATGGAGTGGAAGGGACTCCTCTACCCTTAACGATAAGTCGAGGGTTCGAAACTCGCCATAAGCATAAAGCAACCTTAAATACTTTGGCCAGCTGTCCCACCAATTGAGGTAACTACAATTCAACGAGAGGTATTAGTCACTGTTGTCGACGGTGGACACCCTGCAATTATAATAGAAAAAAAAAAAAGAAAAAAAAAAAGGAAAGTTGTATGAGACAGAACAAACGCTTGTCGGGATCAAAAGGTCAAAAAGTTGTCATATTTAATGAAGGTCTTCGATTCAAAGTTTTACATAAATAAATAACTGTTGTGAGAACTTTTCCATGTTTCGGACAATTTGGTGCTGAAAGTGAAAAAGAAGAAGAAAGAACACAAGAACCCTAACTGAATTTAGAATTTATGTATAAGGTTTAGAAATAAGCTAGGAAGAAGTTATACTAGTGATAATTACATGCAGAAATTATCTAGTGACGAATCATACTAGGTTTTGTAAACTTGGGGTTTTCTTTGAGATGTCACGAGCTAAAAATTAATTCCACTATCTTAATTTGGATTCTTTCCTATCCACTGAAAATGATAAAGCCATGTGGGAACAACATATGTCAAGACATCAACGTTGACTACTTCGTTAATGTTTTCAATGATCATTTTTTCATAAAGAGGATCTCTAATTTGGATATTAAGCAGTAAGTACATTTTTATTGTTTTTCACTTCCCTAAGACTGTTACATTTATCTCTCAAGTTGATTGTAAATTAGTCTAAAATATGATATATATATATATATATATATGTATTTATTCCTTTAAAATTATCTCATAATTCTAACAAGAAAAAAAGAATGCGTACATTCATACAGTTTATTATTATAGCCAGAGAAACATCACGTAGCTAGCCCCTTGGCCAATTGAATTAGATACATATACAAATAGTTTATCATTCAGCTTGGAGTTTGGTTAAAAAAATCCGAGGTTTAGAAATGATTCTCAGGGGTTCAAAAAATCTTATATCCAAATTACGTAAAGCTCAAAGCCTCAAATGTCCCACATGAGACTATGCTTTTATATACTAACGCAAACTTCCAAAACGAAGCTCCAGCTTCACATTAATCTCCTCAGTATTGGGTTTGTATACTAGTACTACTTTACCGATGTTGAACCAAACAAGAATTCATGTTTAACTAGTACTATAGTATCGTGAACGTTTCGATGCAATGTTTTCTTATGTCAAGTTTGAAGATATTAACAAACAGGTTGTTGGCATATATTATGTGACAATCTTTCCTTTTCAATATTAAATATACGCCGAGAGATGTTGCAGTCGAAGAGAGAGGATATATAAATTGTGGTTTGTGGCCATACAAAGGAGTCGTTGACCTTGTGAAAACACGTAGCTGAGTTTGTGTCCGAATGCTAACTTGTGGAGATCATTTACTTGATTTGGGTCTTAGGTTAAGTTGGACAAATACAAGATACGTAATCAAAACTCACTTTAAGCAAACAATACATGTGGTACCATGCTTTAAAATTCAAAGGGGCAGCAAAGGTAATTGTGATTGGGATTGATTCTAAATAAAGCAACGCATGTTGATGTGTTGGGATAATTTCTATTGCATATGTTAAGCACATCCATGCTTTAAAGAGATTATTTTGGGGCGGTCAATGTGACTTACGTGTACAGATAGAGTCGTCGTCGAGATGTTTCTTTTTCTTGCAATTTTAAGAAACGGGTATGTTCCAAAATGATTGTTAAGTTTGAATTTTTATTTTTAGTACAATTTATATCAAAAATGAAAGTTTAAATTAAACAATTAATTTGAGATAAAAAAAAGTATATTATTAAATTAATTAGTGTGATTTAGGTGATATAAACTAAAAGAAGAATAAATAAGTTGTGTTACAGAAGACATATGGAAACCCTTATAAACGTGCATCGGTGGGAATTCCGTCACCCGTAAGAACTGTATGTTTTCGAGAAATGTTTAAATTTTAACGTAATAGACATACATATATTTGAGTTATGTAGTGGACACTCAGCAGAAGTTTTCCAATCTAATGATAGAGATCTTAGTTTTTGGTTACTTTTGGCATATGTATATATATATATAGATAGTATAAGACAACTAATTAGTAATTACTTATCTAAATTTGTATGCACCATGATGGTTACTTAAATATAGTATTTTCCGAAGTTTGCATAGAATTGATGAGCATAACTAAAGTTAAATTTTATCACATGAATCTATTTTCATTGGGGAGCAGGGCCTGGAGATTGTTGAAATTGCTGGTACAATGCCGCCATCCGTGCATAAGCATCCATTGTCGACATAGGCTGCATTAATTGTAAATTAATTTGGTCAATTTGCATGCAAATTAATCAATTTTCGTTTTTCCCTCGTTTTTAATAAAGTTTTCAAACCAGATCATAAAAATATCGTTCCAATCAAGAACAAATTCAGACTTCCATAATACGATTTTGACTTTCTGACTTGATTGTGTGTGTGTGTGGTTTTAAGTAACAACTGAAAATTGAGAAGTAAGTCCAATTAGGTTAATATACCTGAGATTGGCAAGCCAAGAATGCAGCCAAAGGATCTGGCATTGGGGAAGAAGAGGAAGGTGCAGCAAGGCCATCCCATGAGGCTTGTGGCATGAAGGCGGTGGGATGAAGAACATGAGGCGCCGCCATCCCGGCGGCCGCCATGTTAGCGCGGTTCATGTCCATGACACCCATTCCGGGCATTCCCATGCTCATTCCTAATCCCATGGGAGACATCATTGACATCATTTGAAGCTGCTGTTGTTGCAATGCCAATGGCAAAATCATCGATGGCATGTTCATCCTGTTCATTACGTTAACTTGTGCTTGAAGTTGTTTTAGATACTCTATCACTTCATCCAGCATAGATGCCTTATCAGTCTGAAAATCATATATACATGTATCACATCAATCTCAACTTTTATACAACAATTGTGATTTATTTTAATTTTTATAACAAGATACACAATTGGTGAGACAGAAAATTTTATTAGCTAATAGTCGACCATTCAGCCATGATATATAGTGATCATGAGTGTGGTCGACTAGTATTAAGCATCAGATTCTCCGATCAAGTGGAAAGCATAATCTTTTAGAGTGCTATTTTGGATCATAGGATGAGATAAATATAGAATTCAGGGCAATCATTGGGATTCACAAACGCAAAAAGATACTAGCTATAGGAATAGTATTTTGTTCTTCTAGGGACCTACCTCTAGGTTAAAAACCCACAGGGAGATTCTAATTCTATCATTACTATGTGGTTGATAAATGAGTGTCTTCAACAACCACCAGCTCTCTGTCGGAGACTGTCTCCAAAGAGTTTGTGTGGGTTTGGATTCTTATTACTACTAACTTGGATTCTATGCCAAATACAACTGTTGTGAATGAATCAGTTCAGTATATGTATTATCCGAGAAGTGAGTACTAAAGAGCCACGTCGATCCATCTCAAATTTTAGTGTGTGATTCATGGAATGAAATTAATTTTAATTTATAATTTGAAAACAAATTTATAAGTTGGATAATATGATACATTTCTATCATACCTTGCTGGAATTTGGGACCAACTTCTGCAGAGTCTTCATTCTTTGATTGATCTTGTCTCTTCTTTTCTGAAGCATTAATTAATGTAAACATAGTTGAAATAATCACTGGACTTACAACTTTTCAATTGGAACGTTGATAATTAGATCAACTCTAAGGTTATCACGATGTTTATTTAATTTAGGTACAGAACGGTGGGAATTTAATAATCTACAAAAAAAAAAACATATTTTCCCCTAAAAATAAATTCTTAATTAACTTGGAGAAGCAGAAAAATTTATTTCAAAGGCACAAGTTATTTAATAAAAAAAACCCGTTCATAATTAATTCAAGCGCGGAGACTTACACGTTCAGACTGGTTGTGAATTGCTGCGGCTCTACTCCTCTTTCCATTTCCTTTCTTCTTCTCCTCTTCGGCGTCCCTCTAAATTTTGTAAATTAATAAACAAACGAAAAACCATTAATTTTATTTGAAAATAAAAAAAGAATAGTTCAATCTATCGTCACATGAAAAGAAAAAGAAAAAAGAAAGTACTGTATGATATTTGATTGCTAAAATAATAGTGAATCAAATAATTAAGCACAAAATGAAATAACTAAATTAAGGTGAGAGGAAAAGTCGAAGAGAGATAGAAGTCAAGATTTGACTTGCCTCATTTCTGCTCTGACAAGCGGAGTCATGTTCATCAAGGGTCTTGCCGGAGTGTTTGGCGGCGGAGCTGGCGTTTTCCGGCGACCCAAGAGAAGTAGTAGAGGTAAAGCCGCCGCCGGGGGTGACGACAAGTTCCCGGTCGCACGTGTCGACTGTTCCGAAGGTGGTACTAATGCTGCAGCTCTGTTCACCCGCCGTGGCGGTGGTTCCGCTGACACGTGGAACCCGGGCGTTGCTCGTGGTGGCGGCGCTGCATGAAGCCACATGCGTGGCGGAGCAGCCCATCCCCACCACGCACGTGCCGGATCCCGGCACGTGACGGTCATTCTCGCACTTGTTGTTGTTGTTATTGTTGCATGGGACCAAGGCATCCATGGTGGTCAAACCGAGTGACGAACCGGTGGCTGCCGGCTGCCGATGGTGGTGGTGGCGGTTGTCGAACCACGGCACCAGCTCATTGCCGTCGCAGCTTTGCTGCACGACTTTAGCCTTCCGGTTTGGGAGGGCTTGGTTTACTACCGCCTCAAGAGTTCCCCCGGCCGGAAGTTGTTTTTCCCAAGTATATTTGACGGCCACCGCCGGTGCGGCAGCAGCCACCGCCGATTTACCCCGGGGAAGACCCAATCCTTGCATCGCCAGCTGCCCATTTTGCCACGTCAGCTCCGTCACTTCATAGTCTAACCTGCAAGAAGTATTAGCCCACCACATGAACACACTAAGCTCAAGCAACTCTTAAACGTCTCAGAATAAGAGTCGTGTTTGTTGAAAAAAAAAACGAGAATGATCAGTAAGTAAGTAGTCTTACGTAGGAACATCAGGGGCTAAAGAACTAGAGGAGTTGGAATGAGCACGGAGATTTTGTTGTCTATGGGAATTAGGAAGAGAGTAGTGATTTTCTTCGACATCCCAATTGGGCACACACTGATTCATCTTTTCTCTAATTTTTGGTGGGTGGATTATTGCAAGTTCTTGGAAGGAAATTATTGCCTTTTTATATAAGTCAGATTGAGATGGTTACATGTTTGAATCAAAACAAATTTGGTTGATGATTGATTGTGTTTTTGTGTGGATCATGTGAGATTTGTAAGTGAGGCAGACTAGACAATATAAGACTTGGACTAGACTGAACCGAAAAATGAGAATGGAATTTTTTTCAAGGCAGATGAGTTGTGTGCAATCGAATATAAGAGCTGGAAGCTGGATTTAATAAAGAAGGTGCGGATTTTAGTTGATGGCATAATCGAAAAGTTGTTAGTATAGTGGCGAATTAAGTTTGTAGTGGATTTATTAGGTGAAAAAAAGAAACAATTTATAAATATTAAAAAAGGGCATTAAAACTATATGTACGATGTTTTTATGATTTTTTTAGCAATGTTTTTATACTCTATATAACTATGTATTCGCATCACTATTCATTTCTTGTTTGTGGGCATTTGAATAAACTAATCATTATTATTTTGATCTGTCCATATTCATCAATTTTGTTTCTTAATCAAAAGTCGAAATTAAGAAATTTGATTCTTGTTTTCTTTGTAGGCCCTGAGTTGAGCAGGGACCATAGGTGAGAAAGCCATAAAGGAGAGGGGTGTATCATTTTAAGCGATTTAAGTGGCTACATGATTTTACGAGAACAGCAAAAACATATACTGGTCCATCTTTTTTACTTTATTTTTGCATGAATTAGTAGTAGTACATGACTATCCTATTTATTGTGTTAAATTTAGTCTAACAAAAAAAAAGTAATTATATTGGGATGGAATATGTTTAAGATTTTGAGATTTTCAATTTCTCCCTTAGTCTCAAAAAAAATAATACTATTCCATCTGTCCTAAAATATATACTCCCTCCGTCCCATAATTATTGTCTAGTTTACTAAAATGAAAGATTTTATTTTTGGTCAAACTTAACTATATTTTACCTTAAATAACCGGATATACCCCTACATAAGTAATTGTTTAACCACTAAGATTTTATGGATAATGTTTTTTACTAAAGACAAATGTGTAACTTGATCCATAAAAAGTCAAATTGGACAATAATTTTGGGACGTAGCGAGTATTATGTTTGGATTTTTTACTTGTTGTAGAATTTATACTTAAAAAAATAAAAATTTAATCTTGCCAATTATTTCAAGACGAAAAGAGTATATTGTAATTTGTAAATTATACAACATAAATTTTTGTGGGATGGGGGGCTTATTATTTTCTTTTCCAATTATAATTTAAGCTTTCTGGTTTCCCTTTTTCTAAATTCTAATAATTACATTTTGGCGACTCGTTTTGGATAATATCAAGAGCACCCTCGAGGTATACTCGATCATCTGAAACCACCTCAAGGTATCAGAAATATCAGAATTCCCCCCTTGACCAGCGGGAATTAGAAGTCAAACGGAATCTCCTTTTTTTTTTACTAGTTTTTTTTTAAAACATCATGTACACGACAGTACCGACGTACGTGGCACGGAGCTATTGGCTGGGCGTACGTGGTTTTTGCTGTAATATATAGTTACTCCCACAATCAGAGTCAGATCTCTCCGGTCCGGCGTCTTAAATCGCTTCAGAGGAATTTTAAATTCATTCATCTCCAAATTTCTCCCCAATTCGGAGGATTAAATCTGTCAAAGGTTAGTCGTTCTTCCTTTTATTCCGTCGTAATATCTGCATAGATTCTTGAATTCTCGATCGGTTATAACTATAGTTGGAAAATAAAATTGTGATTTAGACGGTTTTTAGAACGGATCTGGCATGGTTCTTTGGTTAATAGATCTTGAATCTTAATTTTTCCGGATTCTTTTATGAGGTTGTTGTTGGATGATTGTTTGAATTAGAATTCTTCACCGTGGGGAGATGTATTTATTTAATTTTTTTTCTGAGTGAATTAAGTAAATTCAGGCAATTGATATTCCAAAACTTCGAATTGATCTGTGTTCTGAAGTCTGAACTGAAATTGTTGTTTTGCACAAATAAATAGATATGGCTTTGGGAGGAACTGGTCCGCAGAGAGGCACCGCCGCAGCAGCTGCGGCCAACATGAGGCGAAGGAGGACAGGCGGCGGTGGGGCAGCAGCTGCCGGAGGAGCCGGCGGTACGATGTTGCAATTTTACACGGATGATGCACCGGGACTCAAGATTTCCCCCAATGTGGTGCTTGTAATGAGCATTGGTTTCATTGCTTTTGTTGCGATTCTTCATGTCATGGGTAAGCTCTACTTCGTCCGCAGAGAGGCTTAGTTATCAAAATGATACATATATTGCTAGTGCTGGTAGAGGCAGTTTTTGGTGCTTGTAAGGTTTTTAGAATGTATAAGCTGAGGACATCTCTCATTCTTAGTACTCCAAATTTTATTGAAATTTCTATGTAGCTGTTGAATGGCAAAGGTTGTTTACTTGTGAATCTCTTTGTTGAAGAGAGTAACGAGAAATCCAGGAGGGAAGCCATGTTGTTAACTCAATTTGTTCGGTTATCGCTACTAATGTGGATGATCTTTTTCTTTTTAAGCTTCAGAGTTCTTTCTTGTTTGCTTTGCCTTTTGTTACCAAATGGTTTCCAAAATGATTATCTTGTTAGGATTTGTACTTTTAGTATAATTTGTGTTAGAAATGAAAAGCTAAACTGGATAATCATCCCGCCACTATCTTTTTGAGCACCCTCATTCATATGAGCGGAAATGCAAAAAAGTAATCTTTTAACCTTTTTTTTTTGGTACATCTTTTAGTGTGTACGTATGATCTATTTTTACAATGATAGACCGTTTTGATGTGTATGTATAATCTATTTTCATAATGATAGACCACTGGGCAAGAAGGTTAGCATAACAATTTGCGTTGTTAATTCATTTTTTCGGAACAGAGCAACACTTAAATCTTTGATGAATTTCCTATCTTTGATGGATGTTTTTAATTTTCATTCCATTTCTCACCTTAACTATGTCCAGTAAAAAAACAAACGACACTGAGATACTAGATATAATATGATAATGGGATAGAAGTAAATGTATACATTTAATATTTACCAAGAATATTTTATTACTAATTAAACAAAAAGTTTAGGGCATGTTTGTTTCGTTTTCTTAGTGTGTGTTTTTAGGTGTTTTTTGTATTGGGAATGTACAAATGTGTATTAGAAATGTAAAAAAGTATGTTGGAATGGAACAGTTATTATTTAAATATTTTAAAAATATCATAAAAAAAACCTAACAAACAAAACCTTAAAAGACTACTTCGACAATCCAAAAAATTTTCCGCCCCTATTCTCTCCATTTTTTGCCTTTTTCCTCCATATCTTTCAATATGATTTGGTTAATCTTCTTTATACGCTGGGCAACCCCAATTAGTCTTTCAACTTCTTCTTCTTTAAAATAATTTTTTTTTCTTCATATATCAACATAAAGTCCTTAGATAAAGGTGAGTAAATTATTGTATTGAGATAGTCATTGCTTGTTTCTTTCTAAAAATAAATTAATTCTTCATGAGCGTGAAGATTAATCAAATGATTTAGACTTTGACGTTGCTTTTTTTTTAATTTAAATATGGTTCCAGGTTTTATTATATTTGAGTTATTTAAATATATTAAAATTTCGATGTCTTAACATTTAAATTTCGATTCCAAATTTCGTTAGCTGAAGGAAACAAAGTTCATGGATTTATTATCTTAAATTATAACATGTTAATTTATATTTGTCCATTTTTATTTTCTTTTTAATGTTTTTTTTTTAAAATAGTACATGTATATTAATTAGAAGTACTGAAACTATTACAAAGACATGCATTATATGCTAGATTATGTAATTCTTGAACCTTATTCTTGCTAGTTTTAATCAGTTGACGATTCAAAGGTTTAGAATAAAGCTACTAGTAACGAAACTATCTTTTGTACCTCACTTGGGACGAGAGCATTACACATATTAGTCGTCAACATTTCACAATTAGGATTCTTTTTAATGTTACTTCTTATGAAAATTTTAAATTCATTGAAAAAATTATTATTTTTTCCATTCTCTTTGTATATTGAGCCAAAAAAAAATATTGTAATGATAAAATGATTTCACAATTCTTTTATATTTCTAAACAATTTAAAGGAAATTGAAGATTCCTTTAATGAGATTATTATTATGCTATTCTCTTTCCGCACAGAATACACGAATGATGGAATCTAAACATTTTTTGAAACGTCAAATCCCAAAAGAAAGGGAAAAGGTTACTTTATTGCTGTAGCCACCGTTTCCGTTACCTTAAAAGCTATGTTTTTAAAACCGAACTGGATTGGGCGGTCGAATCGATTAGCCGAGAAACCAGAGGCCTCATTGGTCCGGTTTTTAAAATGAACTAGATTTTTAAAAATTTGGTCAAACTTAGTCAAATTCAGACAAAATTACAATTTGACCGGAAACAGATACCTGTTAAACCGGTTTTTCATAAATATTTTTTTAAAAATTAATTTTTAATATTTTTTATTATTATTTTAACCAATTTTCATTAGTTTCGAGAAACAAACTAACTGATCAACCCAATTAATCCACCAATCCAGTCATGTTAACGGTTCACTCTCTGATTTGGTTTTAAAAACATAGCTTAAAAGAACATTCTCATACATACATGTATCTTCAGAAAAACATTGTTTTCTTATAGAATGAAATACAAATCATACTGGCTCTGTTTGGTTGCACTGAATTGGGTCATGGATTGGAATTGAAAGATTATAATACCAAATTACCAACTCTTTTGTTTGGTTAGAGATAAATTTTCGCTTGGAATTTCTATTTTAGATGGGTCTCATTTCTTTGGAAAGAGCTAATAATGGCAATTCCAATAGTAATCGCGGATCGAAATCGGATATAACAGAACAAGTCACTTTTCTTTAAAGTTTTTTTTTTTGGGTACTTTGAGCTCTGGCGGCTGGCGCTTTCTTCTCCTTCTTCTTTTTATTTTATTTCATTTTTTAATTTCTTTCTTCCCTTTGAGCGTTTTTTTTAGTGCTTGGCTATCTTTTTCTTCTTTTTTTTTTATTTTTTTTTTACAATTTTTGTTTTCCATCAGAACCAGGCATTATAGCTCTGTTTCTTCTTTTTTTTTTGGTTTTTTGGTTTTTTGTCTATAACTAGTACTCCCTCCGTCCAATTTAAATTTTTGTTTTTAAATTATTTAAATTGCATAAAAGTGTAAATCCAAACTGGACAATGATTTTGTGAAAGGTGAAATATATATTGTAAATTGACAGGCATGGCACATAATAATTTGATGATTATCAACGAAATCAATCTATTAAAATTAATATACATTGAACAAAATTGATATGTAACTGTATTAGTTTTGAGTTAAATTTGTTTTCTTATGTATGGCACGGTAACCAGCTTAAAACTTTTATGATATTCTTTTTAGAAACTGTTCTGTGTGTGTGTGTATAATATAGAAAAATACATATGAAAACTTGAAAAAAATATTATATAGTTCAAACTTGAAAAATATCTATATGAAAACAGGAAAAATTGAAAAATTGAAAAATATATATATATAAAAACTTGAAAAAAGATGTTATATAGTTCAAAGTTTATATTAATATTACATTTGACATGTTAGTTGTTTGTGTATTGATCGAGATGTTCAAGTATCATATTAATAATCTTTTACGATCAGAAAAAAGATTTTCCATTATTATGTATGTATATAAAAAGTTTTAAAAAATGTAGAAATAGTATTAAATTAGACAACAACAAAGAAGTTCTTAATTTAACATTTCAAGCATTGAAACACAAAATTGGTATTATAATCCAATTTCTTGTCAATTATTTAGATCTACCAGAAGGAATCTCAATACCTTTTCAATTTTACAAGATTGTAATTCTAATTTAATTCTAATTATTTGTAACCAAACGGAGCCTAAGAGAATCTGGCAGTTATAGCAGAATAGAATGATATTTAAGGATAAATTTACTGTGAGAAAAGGATAAATGATATTTACTTTTTGTTCAAATACAGTATAAATCATAGTATTGGAATCATCAAAATCAAATTCTATGAATTAGAAAACTGTCAAATGATCAATAAATTAATGGCTAGTAATATTGTCATATTCTCCAGAGCAAATTTTTCTTGTACTTCCGAAACTGTCCTTAAATTGGTCAAAACCTATCTTCCTAATTATCTCTCAAATCTTCGGTAATCTCCGGTAATCTTAAACATCTCTCGCTCCCTCTGCGTCACCCCTCCCTTCCTCTACAGAATTAATATACTCTCTCCGGCGATTGTAAATCAAAGGTCTTTAGTTTTCCTTTAATTATTTGGTTATTGGTTTGATCACTAGCTAATTCTTTCTCCTAACCTTCTGTGGCCAGAGGACTCTTTAGAATTGGTATTGGACGCCACAAGCAAAGAAATAATTGAGTCATAGTATGTGTGGATAATCCGTGTGCTTCAATTTAATTGGTCCATTCAAATGGTGGAATTTTATTTAATTCCCTTTTATTATTGCTTTGAGGGATTAAAATCAGTTGTTTGAGAAAAGGTAGAAATTGGTTTGGAGACTGATTTTGAGAACATTAATGCCAGTTCTCAAGACTTATTATCTAACAGGAGCGGTTCGTGGAAATTAATCATAAAAGGATTGTGCATTATCTTTACCAACTTCAGATCCTTAAAAACATGGATTGAAGAATTCTGCTACAGGTTTGAATTCTGCAAGCTATGGTCCAAGGATGTCCTCCTCTTCAGAGAATTATTCTTGTCATTTGTGATAGCTCTTTAATCTACATCCTACTTATTGTATTCTCTCTTCAATCAATTCTGTTCCATGAAAATAGTGTTTCTCATACTGGGGGGGAAAAAAAAAGAAAAAAACCTTCTCGTAATCTAAAGAGGGACTAAACGAGAAATAATGATTAAATATATTAAGGGCAAATTTGGTAAGTAATGTAATATTTGCTCTGAAAGCTAAAAACTGCACTGGCAATATCATTAGACTAAATTAATAAATTTCAAAGGATATTTCTATCTTTTTGTAATTAATTTTATTAACATTATTTCTTATTTTAATTTTTACTTCCTCCGTCTCAAAATTTTTTGCTCGGTTTGAGATTTCACTTTTAGTACAATTTAAACTAAAAATAAATACTCAAAGTGGACCATAATTTTGGGACTGAAGGAATATTTGCTAAAAAATATTTCAATGATACTTTTACCCACGGAGGCTGACTCTAAATGTACAAAATAAGGATTTTGATCAGATATTTGAAAGAGTTTTTATAATGAGTTTAACAAGCCTCACGATCCAATATGCGCAGTAGCTTGAAATATATTACATCATCTTCTACATGGCATTCTGAAGTTTCATTTGCCTTTTACACCCGGATATCCCTAACACAAGTTGATCAAGATTAGTCCTACAAACAGCCTAGAATATCCCACAGTTTTAATGCATGTTATCAGGTATGCCACCATCTTCCACAGGCTTAGGGCCCCCACAAGATCTTGAAACTGACTCGAAGAGTTTCTCAATCTCCGGTGCACACCTTGTGAAACCACGGCTCCAGAAGTTGTATCGAGGATTCTGATTTACAGATAGTGCAATGGTAAACAAGTGATTATTGGACAGGCTATCAGGGGAAAAAGGAAAGGATGGAAAAAAAAGACCCTCAAGGAGGAAAAAGTACCTTTATAAGCTCAATGAAAGTAATCAACAAGCCCCATGGGTGAGGTCGATTCACAATCAGCCGCTCTAACAAAACTCGGGTGATTTGTTCCTGGATCATTTCCTGGAAGAAGTACCAAAATTTTCATTGATGTTCACATTCAGGCCAATTTAGCATCGCATAAAAAAAAATCACTTTGTGAAGAACTTGTGACTGCCACAGGCAGCTTAACAATGGACGTTGGAATAGTTTTACAAAAAAATGGTTGTCCATCAGCCAAATAAATGATTCTGCCATAGAAAAGGATTCCTACTAACTTTTCCTTGACCCAGGCCCAAAATTTTCATTAAATACTTGGAACTAAGATAATGGAAAAGACATAAAACAGCATATGTATTTGTAAAAGGCTTGAAATCTTAGATAGCATGTCTGAGTTCAGCATGGTTAAGACAAGTAGGCATAACGAGGAAAAAATGCTAACCTGATTTGATTCTGCAAAAAGGTAGAGCAGGACGAAAGAGAAGTAATGGGTGTGGTTGTTTGGATAACGCAACTGATTAGCAGCCGCATTCAAGAATAAATAACGCCCCTCGGTATCAAGATCCACTATCAGTGCCTGGAAAATGTCCAGTGCAGCACCAACTAGGAAAACAGCAAGTGGAACACTACTGGCCATAGATTGTCCAGAAGGTGGTGTTCTTGCCTGCAGCTGCTGTATGGCCTGCCACATTGGGTCCAAACAAATGTCATTTAAAGGCCAACAAAATAAAGGAGGGAGCGGGTTCAAAGTTCACTTGAACTTACTTGCTGGCCAACATAAAGCACGAGTGAGTTGATCAGCGGAGCATTATAACGAGTCCCAGCTCTGGCAGCATCACTTGGGGAAAGCAGAAGTTTCTGTTTCAACTCACTCAGAAAGGGAGACCCTTGTGGTCTTGTCTGCAGCATAGATGAACACGGAAAAAATTTCAAATGAGAAAAGGTAGGATGATAAAAGAACCACTTAAAAGTAAATGCCCCTTCGAAGTTCTGATACAAAGTGAAAAAATGCTCTCAGCACAACAAACCTTCTATACAAAAATATAGGGAGGAAAATGAGCTGAACGTTACCTTAAGATACTCGTCTATATCATTCTTCATGAGCTTTAATTTAAGGGCACCATCAACATCGGAGAGAATGCGCGGCGATTGACTAATCTCCGCCAGTAGATCAATCTATGAATTGAAACATTGTGTTAGACACATTAAATTCATGCAACAAACTAGTACAAGATAAATATGGAAAACTTGATGCGTAACCTACTACTCCACCCAGCCTAGTTTGGATTTATGTCACACGCAGCTCAAGTAACAGATTATGTTGCAGTTGTCCCTTGAGAGCAGGAGTTAGATTAACCCCAATGCTATCGGACTCCAAAAAGTATAATCAACATATACTCATTCTTAATAAATTTGGTGGCGGGTCAAAAAACAGTTATTGGCAGCTTCGGCTATAACCCATCAGTTAAATGTTAATCTATATTAAGACCAAACAATGGAGTGAGCTGATTCACCCATTTACTGCCTCAGGAACAAAAAAATCATCAAGAATCAAACTGCAAACCTTCAAGTTTGGTGTGGAGGGATCAGGTAGCCTCATATTGCGAGGAAAAGCACTGAGTATAATATTGCGCATCTGAATGCAACTAGGGGGAATGACGTCACAGAAGCTGAAATGGTAATCACAAAGGAACTCCGGAAAGTCATGAAGTAGCACCAGCAACACCCTGAGTGTCCCCTTATAGAGAAAATGTATCTAAAAGCAAACACAGATGCAAAAAACATGGATCACTTTCTGAGGGAAATTAAATTCATAATCTAAGTGCTTGCTGGCAAGCCTAACCGGTTCGGTAAGCTCAGCATTTCTCAGGAAAGGCTCCATGAACTGGAACAAGTCAACCAGCAAGCGCTGAATGTGAGGCCACCCTTTTTGACCATTACCAGTGAGTAACTTTGGCATGAAGCTTCTATGGCTCACCAGCTCAAGCCACACAAAGCTACAAGAAACATGCTATATTAGCCTAAGGAACAAAGATTTATACACCAATAGCAACAATCTTATCTGATGACATTGCTTAGGCCAAGTTAATCAATAAAAATACAAGCGTAAAAATCTACTGGTCTTGCAGACAAACTGAACAATTTCACAGAATCTAAGCTCAAACTGTTAGCAACAACCTCCTGAGCATAAAGGTTTTAGAAACAAAGGCCAACCTGAATCCAGGAACTTTAAGAGGTTGCAGAGCGTGAAAGGCATTTGCTAAAGCAGTCAACACCTACAGAAAGAAAGGCCAAAATTAGCTCACGAAGACACTGAAGTCATCACATCAACAGCAAATCGCATTACCTGAAAGTTTGCACCATCAAAAGAAGGATCCAGAGAACACAAATCCAGGATCCAGTTCAAAAACAGCCTAAAATATGGTCTCGAATTAAAGGAAGTTTTCTTCTCCTCAGCATCCTTCTGAATGAACTTCACAGTCACAGCAAGGACCTGTGCAAAATGAAGTGTACAACAGATTTTAAGCTTTGCCAGACTATGAAATGGAACTTGGAAAGGAAATGTTGAGAGACACACCTTAGAAAGAAGATAAAGTTTGCTAGGACTTTGGTCTACGGGACAAAACTAAAAAAGGGAAACAGTCAATACAAAGTTCAATTTGAGAATCTAAACCAACAGCCCAAGAGAAAAATCCTGAAGGAAAAATGAGTTCCACCTTCAGAACCGAATAAACTAATTTGGCATAGATGTCAATGGCAAGAAATGACAAAGGTTGCCCTGGATGTGATTGAGCAGGAGCAGCTCCCTTCGCCTCCGATGATAAACAATGTGAAACCGATAATTCCTGACAAAAAATAACCAAAAATTATACTTTATATTCAAACAATGAACTTCAGAGAAAAAGAATAAGAAAAAGGAAAAACAAAAAAAAAAAAGAGACACAAAAGGAAATTACTGTTAGCAAGCGGAAGAAGCGATCGGAGGTATCATCCCCTTTAAGTAGGCCATTCTGATGTAACTGTAAAATATAATGGGCACAAGCTGCATCATTGACCCCAGGAATCTCACAAAGCCGATACCAATCTTTAAACAGCATTTGAACCTAACAAGGGCAACAAGCACAAGAAGATCATCATATTTATGCCCAATTATGACAAGGTAGAAATATAACTTTCATAATTCATCACATTCCAGAGAAATATGTATTGCATTCAATGAAACATATTTCTGCTTAGCAACTATCAATCAACTGAACTTCATTAAACCACAACTCAACTAAAGTGCATTAGTATTAAAACGACGCACATCAATGCCAAATGCCAGATAAGAAACTGATTTAATGAATCAGTGTGTAATCAGAAGCACAAAAATATTAACATAAAAATCATTAAAATACAGAGGCCAAATGAAAATGTTTCCATAATCAGACATCAACAGAAGTTCGCTAAAAAGCAAATTAAAGTGTAGTCAATTGGAACTTGTTCTGTCCAAACTGATAAGTGCAAAAGACGCGCGTAGCTGCGAGATGATCTATATTTGGAAAGCACAAGAAGCACAAAGAACCAAATAAAGTTTGATGACACTAAACCATTATACTGAGTTAACAAATTTAGCATCACAATATACTCCATAAGCCCATTTATGATGCAAGCTTACCAACAAAAAACTAAGTTCAACCCAATTACTAGTTTCCCACCAACATATAAATAACTAAAAATAGAGGCAATGGAAAGGCTACTTCCGCTAATGTAAATAAGTATATTTGTCTTATAAAACAACTGGCATCTTTACAAAAATAGAGCGCCTAAATGTAACAACAAGAAGCTTCAGAGCCTGAATGCAACAACAAGAAGAGGCTTCATCCAGGCAAAAGAGAGAAAATTTATCAGATTGCAATACTAGTTCAGACAGCTACTCCAGACAGGCAAACTCCATGCATGAATCAAAACTCATGATGGCTTAAACAAATTTATCAGAATGCAATACCAGTTCAGACAGCTATTCCAGACAGGCAACCATCTAGATGAATCTCCGCATGAATCAAAACTCGTGATGGCTTAAACAAACGTAGGTTTCACTCATCAATTGGTTCTCCCCAATACAATTGCATGAAAAACATGCAGCGTTGCAGTTATATTCAGGATACTATATCATCAATATTAAAGAAACACAAAAAGCTAGTAACAAAATGTAACCACCACAAGATGATCTATCTAGTCGTAAGCCACAAACGGAGTAACAAAATCAAGCATTACAATATGATCAACTCATAATAACAACGATTTGAGATCATAGAAACCAGAAAAAGACACTAGCAGTACCTGTTCTCGAAAGCCGGCAGGATCAGGCTCAACAGGATCTGTGCCGCCATTATACTCCTCCCTGATGACAGCAGGGGGTCCTGTACCCTGTCCCAGATGAAAAAATATATATCAAACACTTGAAGAATGAAGAAGAAATATACGAAGATCAAAAACAATCTTCAGCAACCTTTTTCTCTCGACCCAGTCCACTGCCGTCATCCTTTCCGATAGAAGAAACACCAGGCAAATTATTAGCAGTAGCTGGGTTCTTTGCAATCTCAACAAGCTGCTGTAAAGATTCAGGAGATCCTGGCCTAGCAGCCACCTGTGCAACCTTAAATGATTAGCATTTCAACATGCAATGGTTAGATGTATTCAACAAAAAACATGACAAAGGGCATGCCTTTGCTAGTGCATCAACCAGATTATGCAGCTCTGACACAACTCTGGAATCATTAATAAGCAGCGTTTGGATAAGAGAAATGGCGAACTCAGTTGCAGCCTCTGCATTTTGAACATAATGGTTAATCACATAATTTCTTGCGTCAAAAATCAGCAGACCAGAGTTAAAATCACATACTGTTTCTTCCACCATCAAGAAACTTAGCCATCTGTACATTATACTCTGCCAGATTTAGTAATTCACTTCTGATGAGACCAACAGTAATATCTTTATTGAACTTCCGGTCTTCTTCAGAGTACACCACCTGCCAACAATTAAGACATATTAATCTGCAATGGTCATGGGAGCTTCCCTCTACCCAAAATTTCTTTTTCCCTTTGCAGAATGATAAAGAGGGATCACTGTTTTGAAAAAGTAAACAACAAAACTGCAAGTATATTAGTCCTTTGGCCATGGCGTACCTACAAGTTCACATCAAACAACAGGCAAGTAGTCCATTTACCTCACAACTGTACTGAAAATTTACTAAATAGTACAGGAACACAAACTCTGACCAGCAAACATGAACACAATCTTAAGGCATTTTGATCGAAAACACAAACGAAGACAAATGCAAAAATCCTTCAGATCATTGAGATTACGAACCACAAAAGGCATTGTTGGCATCTCATATGTTTGAACCAGCAACAACACATTATTCAGACGTTTTCACAGAAATAAACTATTTAAAAGACTACGTAGCAGAAGGCATCTCAGAATAAGGAAAAGATGCAAGATTTCCAACCACATAAAAACCAAACACAACAGGAGTAACTACAGAGTATCTGATGATCTGATTCACTTCCCAGGCAGTTTTAGCCTAAGCATCCATGCAGTATCCTCATAAATAAATGAAAAACAAAATCCATCATCAAAATCAAAAGAATAATGCCCCCTCAACTATAGACCATAATAAATAATCACAACACCTGAAACATGTTATTATCCATGATGAGATATCAAAAACATTTTGCTCATTTGGTGATTGGAAACTTACCCAGCTAGTAAGTTCCTTGACAACAAGCTTGCTCACATCACGAATTGCTGCCAAGATAGCAAGATGAGCACTGACATGCGCCATATTGGATGCATTTTCATACAGAGCCTTGAAAGCCTTGCATCAAAGATAAAGGAAAAATAAGGACATTGACCATGTACATCAACGTTAATATTCAAGGTAAATACCACACCTTTTGAGCCACTGCCAATGCAGCTGCATCTCGCTCTAGGCATCTAAGGATTATCGTCGGAACTTCAGCAATTAAACCCTGGCAAAGCAAAAAGAAGAAAAGTAATTCCTGATGCACAGAATGCAGTTGGCAAGCAAACAGAAGGTTGATCAGGAGAGCGCATTGCTTTAGAGATTTCTAAGATACAGTAGCTAACACATTCTATTAGTATCAGCAGATTCACGTTTATTTTACTGCTAATTGAAAAATAATTTTCAATTGTTCTTCCATTAAGGTCATACCCGACCCTGGCAAAGCAAAAAGAAGAAAGTTAATTCTTGATGCACAGAACGCAGTTGGCAAGCAAACAGAAAGTTGATTAGGAGAGCGCATTGCTTTAGAGATTTCTAAGATACAGTAGCTAACACATTCTATTAGTATCTGCAGATTCACGTTTATTTTACTGCTAATCGAAAAATAATTTTCAATTGTTCTTTCATTAAGGTCATACCCGACCCGATAATAATACCAGATTTACTTCGGAAAGTTATTTTATCAATCTTACAAGTAAATTTGTTTTTTGCAAACATTAGCTTTATTTATGTTGCAATTTCCAGGAAATAATTATATAATTAGAGCTATCTAGAACTTGTAGAGGGAAAAGTACCTGAATCTCTGATTCTTTAGCATCAGTGGCCAATAGGTTTTCAAGCTGGGACAAATTAAGGACATCATCATATCAGAAAGGTTGTATTGAAAATAAAGTCCAAGAGAACCACCTCATCTTCCAGAAAAGAATACCAAAAACTACAAATGTTCAAGTAAGATAAAATTTGAAAACCACGAGCAGGTAATTATCCTAAATGCAGTGATGTAGCTAGTATATCATGCACACGCTATGAAAGTATAGGGAAGTCATTTACTCAGAAATAAAATGAGATAATTATATTACCTGTCCTCCGCCCCCAAAAAAATATGTATATATATATATATATATATATTCCACATTGAGTTTTTATAGTTGAACTAAAAATAGTACTAATTTCAAAACTCAATGTGGACTATTTTTCAAGAAAGAGGGAGTAACTAATAAGGAGATTTCCTACATAGAATTTGTTTAAATAGCAGGAGAAGCTTCAAATAATAGTTCACCCATGATCTAGCCTAAAGACGCCAATAAAATACTGACAAGATGCAGAACTCAAGAAAATAAAGATAACACAAGAGAGAAGAAAAAGGTATCTCCAAAACCTTCTCTGAAATAATCTGGTATTTTTCTAGCACATCCCCAGTATTGAACAAGGGCTCTGGTGCGCTACTTCCTGGGCGCTCTGGAACTGAAGACTGAGCTATTCCCGGTTCCTGTAAGGAAAATGTTATCAATAATGAGATGAGGTGCTAGTGAAATAACCATAAAAACACAGATAACTAGACTTCCTTACCTTAGCAACATTAACTGGTTCTGACAGCTGTGGTTCAGCGGGAACTGCCGGGAAAGATGCAGCAAGATTTTCAGTTTCAGGACTTTGTGGACTGACCATATCTCCTATTCCCACATGAGCTGTAGAGGTACTGATGCAAAGGAGGGAGAAAAGCGTGAATCACTTGCATAGAACAAACTCATCCAAAAACTAGATTCTAAGAAAAGCACATAGATTTAAAACCTTTGAGTTTGGGTCAAACTTGTATCTAGTTCATCAGGGGTGAAACCAAGTGGTGGCTGACCAGAAACAGTCCCAGAGCTTATGGTTCCCATGGGATACATAGCAGTACTCATCTGCCCAGAAGTCAGCCTGGAAACACTACCACTAACAGATGTTGATGAAGGACCAACAGGCACAGCAGTTGAGCTCAGACTAGATTGGTTTTGCCAAGGTAACCTCACGAAATCCTGCAAAGACGACAAGTCACCTGTTTAAGCCATATGAAGAAGACCAACTTCGTCTCTTTAAGGAACAACAATTTACCTCGTAAACTCGTTGCTGAGAATGGGATAAGCGGCCAGGTTTAGGACGAAGAGCCTCTGGTAAACCACCAATGTAGAGAGTGGATTCAAAATATCCAGGGCCAACAGCCTCTCTTTGTTTCCTTCTTATTGCAAGCTGATGCGCCATTTCTCCATCAATGGTTTGCAAAGCCTGCGCAGGGTATCAAACAGAGATGACCAACCGAAAATTGGGGAGAAGAAAAGATAAGAAAATGATCAGATAAAATCCATTGAAGCTAAATGCCAACATAAAATATAGTTTTGCCAATATGGAGTTACAAACATAATTAGCTAACCCACTCACAAAGGCAACGTAAGATGAATACAGAGAAGTATCACCAGAAACATCATCAATCACAAGACAACTCAACAGCAGTGATTTAACAGCTTGTTCACATGTATGATTATCCGTCAATGTTGCAAATATTGCCCCCCATTTTCATAATGAAGACTACCTTCAGCCAAAAGATACCCCAGCACATAAAAGCTAATATAATGCCAGCGGAAGAGGTAATGATATGAAGAATGAATGCGCAAAGTACTACAAGTTACTGGATTCATACCCAAGGTCAACGGGTACTATTACCTCAGCTATATGTAAATAGACAAACATTCAATGCAAAAAATTCTAGAAGGCGTGCAAGCAGGATAAAAATAAATGGCCAAATCCAAACATACACCACGAGGATCACATACTGACCTTCTCTGTAGCAGCTTGTTCAATCATTGCACAACCAAGATCTACATTGTCATTGGTCACAATCAGAACGGCTTGCTCAAGAAGGTCACTCGAAACATTCAAGACCTGGAGTGAACTCCTGAGCTGACTTGATATAGAAGCTCGCAAGGGTTCCTACATTAAGCATCAAGGGCAGGTATCATAAGGGTCCCCTTATTTGTACAAATACAATAGAAAGTACTAGCAGGGCAGCACAAAGAAACACCGCCAATCTTTATTTCTACCTTGCATGTAACATGAGCTAAACTTCCGGCCAGACTTGCAACCATAAGATGGGCTGCAGTAAGTATGCGGGTTTCATCCGTCTCCATGGCATAGTCCTACCTCAGAAAATATTTTCCAATGCGTTAATTTTTTTCAACAACAAGACTGCTTCATAATAGTAATAAAACAACAAAAGAATATTAAAACTCAAACAGCAGTAAAACCTTCAAAACAAGTTCTTTAGTCGTTTGAGTTGCTATAGAGACGCTACGCTGCTTGATGTTAGAAACTATCTCCTTGACTGCTTGATCAATTGCCATCGGAAGAATCCTGCAGCAATGGAATAGTTTGAAGTCTTAATATAATCACCTACATAGAATGCTTAAAACAATGAATTTCAAAAATCTTCTAACCTCTGAACATGCAGGCTTAAATTATGAAGCTTTGGATTAACCACAATTAGCTGCTCAATATTAGATGGCGGAGCATTAAGCTGCAAAAGACAACTGATACATTACTTAAAAAACCGATATGAGAAACATTAATCATAAAAAATGGCACAGACCTGACTCACAGAGAACGGAGATGGCCCAGGCAAAAGACTAGAGGGAGGAAGTTGATCGGGCAACCCCACAGCTGGCAGCACCTTATCATCTTCAGGTGTTCCAGGTTGAGCAAACTGAAAAAAAAAAGGATTTTAATTCTTCTTATGATTATATCGACTAATACTGATATCTTTTCAGAGCATAAGAAACAAACAAAAACCTGGGTCAACACTCGCGGATGAGCAGCAGGGTGAACCTGACCAGGTACATCAGGTGGCAGGTCAACTTTATTTATGGGCGGTACTTTCACTTCACCGCCTATCTGTTGGGAAGATGCAGCATCTTTGATAGAAAAATCAGGATTGCCTTCAACTTCTCTCACTCTGGCTTTGAGAAGAGAAGTTGGAGGTACATCTTTCAGATCGACACCCAAAGTCTTGAAAAGGACCTGAAATGCAAGACATATCAGGAATTGAGCTCAAGAAATTCTGCAGTATGGACAGCACAATCAACAATAATGCTAGTGTACGCACACACACGCACGCACATACCTCGATGTCAAACTTGAGATTCATTTTCAAATTTGGCATAGCGTAAATCTCAGCAAGCAATCCAAGAATTCCCATCGTCCAAGGGTTAGGAGGTTGGTATGCTATACTACTTTGACATGGTTCTAGAACCTGGCCAAGCAATATAAAAGACTTCAAAATGCCTAAACAAAAAAAAAAAAAAGAAAAAAGAAAAGGAGAAGTCACAGCAAGAAACAGTTAATACTATGCCGCAAGCATATTACCTTGGAGGTGAAGGGAATTACTGCAATCATCAATCCTTTCTCATATGCCTACATGCCGAAAGGGTAAATAAGCACCATATAACCGTTAAAAAGGGTAAAGCTGAATTGCAGAGGAACCCAAGAGGTACCTCCATGATCAGAGATTTGGGATCAATCTCTCTAGCCCTTAATACTTGATTCCTGCCAATTGTAATCTTCCCCAGCCAGCTTCCAAGGTTTTTCAGCAACGAACGCTCTTCCGAACTTGACTTTATAAGCTCCGAGCCCAAAAGAACCTGAAACCATGTGAGCATATTGAACATGAGAACCTGTCAATATCAAGCTGATACTGATGGAAAATGTATAACATCTTAAACCTTGCAATTCTCATAGGTTGCTTGCACTATCTCTTTATGCAAAGCCCTTGAATTCACTTTGTCCAAGAACTTCAAGTACAAGTCATGGAAGTTCGGCTCGATGCTCGCTCTACCACATAAAAGCAGAAAACACCAATAAACCACAAAATTGAAGGGTGAACTTTAAAGAATGCAACTCAAATGGCATAAACAATCCACGAGGAAATTCACAATCCACGAGGAAATTCACTATACACCACAACAACAAAGGTGCCCAACCTTTTCATCACCATGTACTGCGCAAACCAGGGATAGAACTGCTCTTGCAAAATCTCAGTGAACTCTTTGGCTTTAGCTTCCACATTTGCAGCGGATAAATTATTAATAATAAATGAAATCTTATCCTGAACTTCTGAAGCTGGTACCTGCACATAGACAGATTCAAAGTCAAGCATCCTTTTTTAGTCAAATATTAAGGTTAAAAAAACGTTGAAACTGGGATAGTTTTACAGAGCAATATCATAATCAGTCCAAAGCAGGAATAGTAAACCCTGGTACAAATTAGACGCAGCTGAAGAATAGGGCAGCAGTTTATAGCAAAGCATATTCCAAAACACTAGCAAACACATGAAACACCAACAAGTTTCCCTACTAAAAGGACCACAACAATTAATTCCCGTATAAGATGAAGAACATGGAGATTACCTAGGAACTTCCAAAGTTATCAGAACTTTCAAAGATAAGACATGCATGAAAAATCCTAGGCAAAATAACCTTTTCTGCATGAATGCTTTCAATCTAACTAAATTCCTCTCTTTCTCATACTCCATTTACTGAAGCAAATTGATAGCTTCCGTGAAATACCAATTATCTTAAAACAGCAAAATAGATCAAGGGTAAACTTCAGCAGAAAGACAAAAATACTGACTAATCATACCTCTATTTGAGTGTCTCTCCTCTCTGCAGCAGCAACAAGTGTTTCAATATTCAAAGCAGAGCCAAACCCTAGGAAAAGGAACCAAGAGTCAAATAATGACACATGGCTGGTTTATTATAAATTAAACTAAAATCCTAAATAGGCTACACGAAAAAATACGCAACAAAACAGAAGAAATGCAACAAAGGTAAGGAAAAAAAAACATACTCTGGCTACGGACTGCACGAGCAACACCAGAAGATGAATGCTGAGCTAACGCATTTGATACAAGTTGTGACTGCATGATTTACACATAAAGTGAGATTGTTCATTTTCAACAGGCACCAAAGATATTTTCAGAACAAAAATGAATTATGTACGGTATTACCTTCGCGATGCTAGACGTATCACTTCCCAGAGGAACAGACTGACCTCCAGAAGGTGCAACTGGTTTCAAGTAAGACGTCACAATGGCAAGGGGTTTCCTCTCATCTTGTGAAAATTGCGACCTCTGCGGCAGTAGGGTAGAAGAAACTTGAAGCCCTTGCTGGGTGGAACCAGATCCAACCATTGAGAAAGACGAGCTAGACACCTAAACCCAAAACAAAACATTAACTGAGCAGACGAAATAGATGTACCATGAAATTTATGCAGGATCCAGACTTCAAGGCTGGGGGGAAAATCACAACCAAGGTAGGTAGATGATCAAGAAAATATTAGAAAATACCTCAACACTTGTACCAGATGTCTGCATAGAACCATGTTGATCATTAGGGGCACCTTGTACTGCATCTGATTCTGAATGTGTAGCAGAAATACGTACAAGTGCCCGTTCAATAAAAGCAACAAGCTCTGGATGACTAACACGAAGATGAGATATCTGTAAGATATGATTGCAGTACTGCGGCCACTCAATCATCCGCTCCACAAACTGCTCCAGAGCCTTAGTGCCAAAGACAAACATCTGCATACACACAGATCTTATCAGAACCCAACATCATGTAGTCCTTCACAAAACAAACACAAAAAAAAAAGGTACCTTTGAATCTGCGGGTTTGCGTAGTGCATCCAAAACACCACGAAGGGCTATACCAAGAGTGAGATGAGTCACAAGTTGATGCTTTATGAGGGAACCTACAAATACCAACAGAAGAGAATATCACAAATAAATTAACTGAAGTTCACATAAAAAACTGACGGGGGTGATATTCAGAGCTCAGAGTAAATGTAAACTAAATAAAACCGGCTAGCCAGAAAACTCTAGAGCTGAACTGGACAGAAACACCAAACTGTTTTGGTACTTTTTTAATCAAACATTTAGTCACCCGCAGTAAAAGAAAATGAACGTTGTCCACATCTTGCTCGTGCCCAGATATTGATCAGACTCCAATTAATGCACATGGTCCTTCTTTATCAAAATATTTACAAAGGAAACAACATAGATCAACATATATAATCAGAAAAATGCTTGAAGTCCCACTTTCCATCCACAAACGACAACCTCACCATCTACTTTCATCACTCAAAATCCATCTATTAAGTGAAAAAATACCAGTCGTATCATTTTTAAAAGCTCTTTCTGAACACCTATGCCCCCACAAGTCTCTTACATTACAACATCAATCATGCAAGGGACCTCTGAAGACATTTCCTCAGCACGTAATCACAAATCAAAGCACGGCTAAAGAAATCCAAGCAAAATCAGTGAAGGTTTGACAGATATAAAATCCTTTACATAATCAATACAAAAAACTCAACCAAAAAAAAGAAAGTAACGTATGAAACAAAAGCATGGCAGTCCAAAGACTTCTCTATAGAAAAAGCAAATATTGCTACAACAATAATGAATTAATTAAATTTCCAACATATTTTCAATGGTGAAGCATCAAATATGCAACAGTAAGATTACTTAATAATCACCTTTAACAGAATTTGGTAGTGCCGTCGCAGTGCACAAATCATAAAGAACTAAATAAGAACATATTTAAAAATGAAGGTAAAAAAAAGAATCGATATCAGAAACTATAAAATCTGTAAAGCCTCACCAAAAAGAATTGCAGCAATTTTCAGTTGCCGTTCCGGATATTTGGAGAAAAACTTGTATTCTTCAAATAAATTAGCAATCATACACTCGAAAATTGATTGCTCCCTGAAAGACACAACAGAAATCCACTGATAAAAACATTCATTTTTACAAAGCAACACGCTGGTTAAATGATGATCACATAACATAACAACATTCCTGCGGAAAAATAAAAAATCTCCTAAAAGTTTGAATATGAGATTTCTAGTAATGTTGAGACCAGAGCAACATCCGATGTAAGGAAAAAAAAATAGCTCATGGGCTCTTTATGAGAGCAAAAGCAAGAACTAAAGCTTTTTTTTAAACCAGAAATGTGAATATAACAGAAGACAGGTTATATAGATGAGATCAAATGAATGTGTTAACATTCTGTTTGAAAAAAAATTAAATAAAATTAGTGCATTTGTTTAATAAAAAATGTAAGTGGTTACGTTGGAATCACAAAAAGGCGTATTCCAAAGTGAAAAAAAAAATAATATTAATGAGTAAAAAATAGAACGCGCACAGTGGAAGGTTATACAAACCAAATGTAACAAACTTAGACAACCTTTTCTCGGGGGATTCTTTGAAACGAGATAGCATTTGAATCATATCATCAATTGTCAGCTGGCCAGAAAACATTTGATGGAAGTACGAGTTGGCTTCAGACTCTATGTCATCAGCATAACCATCACTTGCAGATGAATCAGCACCCACACCATTTCTAGGTCTACTATTAGCATGCTTATATGATACATGCAATTTTTCCAATTCCTCAGACAAGTGGCTGGAGGATAACACGCCGGGGTTTGCTTGAAGGACCTACAGAGCGAAACTCTCAGTAAAGCTCTAATCATGGAGTTTGTAAATACTTGCTTCAAAACTATAATTGACATCAAACCTTTAGAAAGATGGAAGATGTCTCTGAAAAACATTCCACAAAGCACCAGAATGTTGAAAACGGTTACCAGAAGCTTCCTGAGCACCAAGCTGAACTTCTTTAAGAAATCTCAGGCACTCCTGAAATCGATAAAATTGTTTCCAAGTAAAACCCAGTTTTCATATTGAGAACATACATAAATTAGAATGTGTTGAATACAACAATCAAGGTTCAAAACCAGCACCTTGCCGTTAACATCGTAAACTCTAATTACCTCCACAAAAAGGCCCCCCCCCCCTCTCTCTTCCCACCAACCCCCAAAAAAAAAGCAAAATGAACACTGTAAATAAACTAATCATTGGATTCATTAACGCTAAAATTGTAAAATGAAAAAAGAATAGCTACCTCATAGAATGCATCCTTATATGTGGTCAAGTTATTGCTCACCCACTTCTCTAAATCTATGGATTCCCTTCTCGAAGCAACAGCAACAAGTCTAATGGCAGAGCAAGAAGGAATCATATCCAGTACTTGAGGTAGAATCTGAAGAGAAAAACAAATCTATCAATAACCTCAAAGGAATATATTGAAGAACAATAAAAAGTGAGAAAACAAAATTTGAAACAGCGTCAATACTAGTATCCTCAACATTAAGATATTGCCAAATAGCTACCAGGTAGTCTGATATTTAAGAATCAGTGAAATGTGAAACCAGGCATCGTGGCTACTTAGGCATCATGTCACCTAAGTGGCCGTTACATACGGCAAAAAGAATGAGATAGTGGTTGCAGTTGTAACTTGCATATTTATAGACATACAGCTTCGGGTTGTAATTTACCAAAGTACTATAACCCTCGAGGAAAACAATAAAAACAGGATTAGCTTGGAAAATTCTTGTAACCAACACAGTGAACCAACAAACCTTTCAAAGGCCAAAAGTCAATAAAAACAAAATGAAAATATCATCACCTCGACGCAATTCAAAAACAGAGCCGAAACATACTTCACCACAAAAATGTGCAAAATCCTAGAAGGTGTCTTGCTAGCGTAGACCAACGTACAAGTAACACATTGCATAAATTAACTCAAAGAATACTTTCACCGAGCAGGATTTAACAAAAAAAATAACGAAATATGTTTCTCAACTTTCAGCAAAAAGGAACAAAGTAAATTAAATCTAACCTTCAGCTCCAGGCAGGATTCCAAAACCCTTGTCACATTCTCTTGATCAGTATTAATAGCATCAGCAAATCCCCACAAAAGCAAGCCAGGGTTAACATGCCACAAGTTATGAAGTATAGAGTTCCCAGAAGGATTCTTAATTACAATTGGAAACAGCACTGAAGCCACCTCCTTCTGGATGAGATTATATGCAGTCTACAAATGGGGAAGCAAGGGATTACAAAGAAAACTAGATGAGCAAAGAAATTTAGACAAACAGAAGAGATATATCTTACGTTAACCTTAGCCACCCCAAGAAGCAAAATTTCAGGACACTGCTTAAGAGGATATTCAAGAATGGACCGCACAGTGGTTGCATGACCCCTCTCAGCAAGCTGGCATAGGACCTCCAAAAGATCAATGCATAACCATGCATGATTTGAGTGCCCAGGTTGAAACTTGTGACCATTTACAACATCAAGGTAAGCCTGCTCAAAAAGCACATCAGTTCATAACAGCATATAAGCCTGAACACTTCTTTAACAAGAAGAATAGTAACATACCAATTGCCTCTCAGAATGTGCAAAGGTAAATACTTCAGGTGGGGCCACAACAGCATACTTGATAAAAGACAGCTGTCCCTCAGCATTCATCCACACTGAGCGACAAACAGCATGGAGAGGAAAGGGTTCCTACAGCATTATTTCCAAGAGTTCAGTTCTAACTAAAACACGACCTTGATGACATGATAGCTAGAACACTGTCAAAAGCGTACACAACAGCAATACATTATTAAACATTCAAGGAAAAACATACCTGACAGGCAAGATTATATATCGACATAAGAAAGGAAAACGCTGCCTCATTTGGAATATAAAATCCCTCATAATCCAGATTCTCCACAACCACTGTCCAGTTGATTTCAGGTGCCTGTCATGTGCAACAATCACAAATTAACACGATTTGATCACATCAATAAGTGCAACAGAACAGAGAATTTCAACATACTAGTTCCTTGATCGAATCTACAAGGGCATTTGCATTCCAGGAGCTCAAAGACGGGATTTCAGAAGCATTGCTGCTACCAAGAGCAGAACGAAAAGTTGAGAGAACATTCTGATTGTCCTCAAGACCTGCATAGGTACGGGTAACTGTACCAAGCATTCTAGCAATGGTGACTTCTGTCAACGGTAAGAACATGGATAATATCTCCTTGCATTGTGGAACACTGGCAGTACAACCATATCCTAACTCCTTCATTACATCAGCCATGCTCATTTCCTTTTCCATTTCGGCAAGGAAAGCATCAAAATCATCAGCATCGCTCCTGTTACAAAAACAAAAATATGACTAAAACGAGATAATCAACAGAAAGAAACTTGATCATTTTCTAACACGAGGTAGATCAAATCCCAGACATGAATGTAAATACCTGAAGAAATTAGCCTCAAAAAGCTCATCCGGAAAAAGAGGAGCTAACAGGAACTGAGCTTCTTCCTCCAACTGCACAAGAGATAACCTCTGCATAAAAGCATCTATATGCTTTGAAAGGCCTTCAGACTTGTTAAGAAACATCAGAATCTGCTGAATTTGATCTGCAGAATCAACAGAGGTCTGAGACGTACATAATTCCACTATCTGAGCCATGCAAAAATTCTTTCCTGCATAAGAGAAAATGCAAACGGCATAGGTATATCAAAACTGCATGATAACTTGTTTAATCTCACACAAATATAAAATTACGACAAGCTTATAGACTCAGAAGTCACAGGATTGTGCACTGGAAAGAACATTGCTTGTTAACTGACATGGGCGGTCAGTGAAAATGAGAGGAGAGTAACTTACCACACATCCTGATGTCAATGTTTTCAGAATCAGATAAAGCAAGACCAGTTGCAATTCTTTCACAGGCAGTGAGGCTCAAGGCATTAGAGAGATTATTCAAGACATCTTCATTGAATTTACTCTTAAGAGATTCACAAAACACAGTGCTGAAATTAGGTTTATCCAGAAAGTATATAAACACTAAACGAAAAACTGGATCTAGTTGCCCGTTCTTCAAGTCTCTTTCATACACATTTAGATGATCCAAACATGCTTGAAGTATCAATATGTTCCCTTCAACTCCATATTTGGTGAACTGCCAAGAAGCAAATAAAAGCGGTAAAGTGACGAGGCGATACAAGTCAAAACAGCTTGGATAAAATGGAAACAAAGCAACACTATCAACAAAATGGATTCACGAAATGGAAATGAAGCAACACTATCATCACTTGGCGAATCAAAGTGGAATCACAATATGGAAACAAAGCAACACAATCAACGAAAAAGAAAGCAGAACGAGGCAGAAAAAAGTGGATTCTTATACTATGTTTCATAAGTTTGAAAAGAAACGAAATGATCAGATACTTTTGCAACAAAGATTGGAACGACTACAAAAGAGTTTTAGTTCTCGTCCTATAATTGACAACGAAATATCCGAGACATGCTCCAGAATTGTTTCCTTCAATAATTAATTTCTCCAAAGAATAGATGAAACGTATAACAATATTTCCATTTCCTAGTGGTGTGGATAATTATATACGGAGTATTATTTTTCAAATGACTAAACATTACATATTAAAAAGGAAAAATCAGTAGTCATGGTCCATAATGCAACATATATTCTGACAAACAGTCAGCTAAACAACAATTCAATTTCTAAATTCAGTTTCAATAAGGAATACGAGTTACAAAAAGAGCCAAATCCATCCATATTTCTCCTTCTCATTCAGCTTCCTTCATCAAAAAATTTTAAAAATCTTATCCCCTTCCTTTCCTTTTTTTTTCATTTCCTTTCCTTCAACCCCATCACTTCAATATTCTGCTATTAGTTTGAAAAATCACCTCATACAGCAATCCAACTCAAACCATAACGAGTAGGGACTATATATTAAAAGCCAATTCTGAAGGAAATTATGTATAATCAGGCCAATCATTTTACTACATTTGAAGGGACTTGGTGTAAACCATACAAGAGCAAGAAGAATAGTTTTCAAGTGGATGACAGCTATAGCTATTCCGAACTTCGAAAGAGTGCAAACTTCTTGGAAATGGAACATTGAAGAGGACAATACAACTATTTAAAAAGAAAAAATGTACAAATCAACAAAGTGGACAGTTCATAACAAATGTTAATGAACACATCACCAAGAGCAGTTTCAAAATTCCAGACATACGAAAGAATCTAGGGTTTTCCACCCCCCCCCCAGTCCCGAGAAATTCAATCCACAGCATACAAAACATTGAAGGAACCCTAGCCATGCCCAAAATGGACTCATAATCAACTAAATTTTTACATAATTTTGCGTACAATATAAAGAGCCGGAGTATAAAATCAAACCTGGATGATTTCTTCAAAAACGTGATCGGAGTTGGAACCGTTCAAGCTCCGGAGCAGGTGCCGAATCTGACTCGGCAGGGTGGAAGCTAAAGGAATCATTGCGAAGAGCTCAAAAATGCTAGGGTTTTTTTTTTTCTTTTTTTTCAGCGGACTGTGAAAGTAGACACTAAAGGGGAAGGTTGCTAAGCACTAAAAAACGCAGGACTTTTTTGCGATATGAGAGTATTTGGGTAGAATCTCATCTGAAAGCTGCTCGGTTTGTATTTATACCTCCGTTCCAAATATGTGTAGTCTTGTGCTGTGTCATTTTCTTTGGGTGGGCCCCTACCAGCTTCTTTTTAATGGGCTGCCAATAATACTGCGGTTATTAGAGTTTTTTTCTCAATTAACCTCATCTGTAAAACTATTTCCACAAGTAACATAAATATAAATCATATTCCATCAATGATTTAGTTGTGCCATATCATATATCCCTTTTACCCTATTAAAGGATAAGACATGAAGCTTATGTGGCAAGTACGTATGCATCTGTTTTGGCCCAATGCACTATATTTCAGATTTCAGGAGTCTTCTTGCCACGTGTAAGTCTCTTTTAATTAGAAGCTACATAATTTTTTTTTAAAAAAAAACACATGTTTTACTACAAATAAGGATCAGTTACATTTCAAACGAATGGATATATTAATTCAAATTCAAATGTCCAATCGTATAGTTTTGCAGGCTTAATATAAACAAAAAAACAAAAATACCTAAATCCAGCAATTAAGAATAATGTCTTATAAACTAATTATTTATTATTCCCTTATAACCTCAGATTTATAGAAATATTTTTTAAGCCCCAAACCATAGCATAAATGATATATACGTCAAATTAATTCCTCAAAAAATAGTAATTCAATTAGATTTTAATAAAATAATAATTTAGAAGGGGCGCCCGGTCATCTGCCCTGGGCCAAACATCTAGTTTTAATTGTAGCAAAAAAAAAAGAAAAAAAGAAGTGTTTTAATGTTAGGATTAACAACCCCTTTGCCTTTTTCTCTACATGCTTCCAATGTTTTTTCGTTTTTTCAAGATTTTAAATATTTATCTCCATTATCCTGGGACATGTTTTTCCATTCTTTATCTTCTTCTTTTTTCAACATTTGCATTGATTGAAAATTAAAACGTCCTCACCACCGTTTTCGTTCGTTAATTTTTCTTGGAGCAACGATATATATTCTACAACTATAACAAAAGAATATAGTAAGTTTAAGTAACATGAACTTTTGTTACAACACCCAAAACACATAATAATTGTCTCACAATCTCTCCGTAAGAACATAAAAACATGGTAGTAATAACTGTTCATGAAAATAATTAAGAATAAAATGTTTTTGCATTAAATCGTAAAAGCATAAGTGTAAGTAAGATTGATTAAGTATACAAAGTTAATTTTACATTCTTCATAAATTGATTCTTGCCCCTATGAAACTAACTGGTTACAAAGTTAATTTTACATTCTTCATGAATTAATTTTACATTATCGCGTTCAGAGTTTTACTCTATTACGAAAACACAATTTTCGAGTTACCATCCAGCGGAAATCCACAGTTAAGTTTTCTTTACTCAAAAATTATTGCCGCCAAGATTTCTCAAAAGGTTCTTATCAGTAAAAGATAATAGAAATTGAGAATGAAAAACTAAGAATAATTAGAAATAAAATGGGTATAAAAAACCCCAAAATCTTCCGAACTAAATATCGCTTTCAAGGATTTAATGTCGTCCGGATTGGCAACCACCAAAGTGATGCCCACTGGGAATTTGCGGAGGAGATAATTGGTTAACGGCTCCGGTGGCCAAAAAAAAATAATAAGATAAAAAAGATCCTTAATTTAGGTTGAAATATTAGACAAAGAATTTTTTTTCAATTTAGGTTACTCATGGAAATAATTTGATTGATGAGGTTACTTAAGAAAAAAACTCGCGGTTATTAGATCCAAACTTATCAAAGAATATTTTTTTTGTTTTGTTATATTAATGAAATAATAAAAAAATTATATGACCTAGTTTTTCCTTCTCAAGGAACAAATACTCCCTCCGTCCTACAAAAATAATCCAGTTTGATAAAAAAATTTTGTCTCAAAAAAATAGTCCAATTTCAAAAAAGTCAAAATTAAAACAAATGAAATTACTTCACTGCCCTCTCTCACAAACAAGTTCAATCGGTACCATTTTTCAATCTTGACGGCGATGGTGTCGGAGGTTCGGCGGTGAAATTTTTATTCCAAACAAATTCAATAGGTACCAATTTCCAATCCTGACGGCAATGGTATCGGAATTTCGACAGTGAAATCTTCATTCCAGCCGGTGCTAATTTAGTGAAGAAGGAAGAAACCGTACAACACGTTCCCACAATGTTGACATCCCCGATCCGTTCAGATTTGGTTTGAATCAGGATCCAAACTAGAGATACTCTCCTGCTACGCCTTTTGGAGCTCCATCAGTTCCAGTTTCTAATGGGAACGGCGAGCCTTATGCCTTAAGATTGATTTGGAAGAGGTTTTCAGTCCCGACGGACCCTTTTCTTCCTCCTCCCAATGAGAAGCAAGAAGGCGGCGGTTCTCTCCGGGAATGTTGTCGTGAGTAAATTGTTTTTGGCAATTTTGTATTTGGCAATTAGTTGAATAAGTTTAGATCTGATTTGTCCCATTCAAAATTCGGTCATTTCTAAGCATGAAGTTTGAACAGACTTAAAAAGAATAGAAGAAAATGGTGGAAAGAAGAGTAATTGGTATTGTTCTTCGGCGGTTGCCAGTAGGTCGGTGTTAATAAATTAAACGAGGAGAAACCGGAGAAGTAAAGTATCGGAGATTTGATTTGCTAACAATTGGGTAAAATTGAAAATTTACATGATAAAAACGAGTTGTACCTTGCTGGGTTGATTAAATTAAAAAAATTATACATTTTGAAATTGCACTATTTTTGTGGGTCGGATGAAGTAATTATGATTGTTACTCCATCTTATACTACTTTAATTATTTTTTTTATAATAACATAATGAATAATTTTATCAAATTATTTAACAATACGTGGCAGAGAAGATATAGGTAGTGTTTCATTTCAAAGTATGTATCTCTTTTTTTTTTAAGAAATGTTGAGTGCATAAATTATAGTACTAGTTACTACTAGGAAATTTCATTTTGCTTTTTTTTTCACATTTTACCTCTTAAACACCTCTCAAATACAAAACTCAATACTATTCAAATAACTTTTTAATTTATTTTTTAAAATTATTATTTTTATACAATTTTCATCCACAACCACCGGATCACCTCCGCCGCCACTGGACCGCCCACCGCCGCCGGGCGACTGCCACCGGCCGGCGGCGGCGGGCGGTCCGGCGGTGGCGGAGGTGGTGCGGTGGTGGTCTAAAAATATTATTATTTTATTTAAAATATTATCTAAATAATTTTTTAAATGATTTCAAACCACATTTTCAATCACATTTCAAACCCAAATCAAAAATTAAAACAAAAACTAAAACAAAATGTTGGCCAAACAAGCCCTCAATATTTCTAACCACTTTTTTTCCTTTCTTTGTTATTTAGTACTCCCTCCGTCCCATAATTATTGTCCACTTTGCTCAAAAAATTTTGTCCCAAAATTATTGTCCAATTTGACTTTTTATGAATCAAGTTACACATTTGTTCTTAGTAAAAAACATTATCCATAAAATCTTTGTGGTTAAAAAATTACTTATGTAGGAGTACATCCAGTTATTCAAGATAAAATATAGTTAAGTTTGACCAAAAATAAAATCTTTCATTTTAGTAAAACTGGACAATAATTATGGGACGGATGGAGTAACAAATTGAAAAAAGAAATTATTCAACTCCACCATGCAATTTAAAATCAACCTATCTAGTGTATTTTTGGCACATTGGACAATAAAAACATCATCACGGGTTATTATAATACCCAAAATCTTCAATATAATACACAAAATAACACTAAAATTAGTTTAAACTTGTGTGTTATAATTTGGACTAAATGGAATATTTTTTTTTTTATGATATGGTAACGTAATAGTAATTTGTTAAAACTAGTTCGATTAGGTTTTTTTTTTTTGGAATCAATATAAAATAGAAATGGAAATAATTAGTAATTAATTATGTTTTTTTTTTAAATGGTAAGATAATATCCCTTTTACCCTATTAAAGCAGAATACAAGATGTTGATGTGGCAAATTTTTATTAAAAATTTTTGGCTCCAAATACACCATATTGCATTAACCATTCTGCCACGTGTTATCCCTTTTTAAAAGAAAATAAAATTCTTATCCGGAGAAATAAAAGTTACTTTACAAAAATAACTACATAATTTTAACTGCTAACATTTATCATTTATCAATCAAATTAAAATAACATTTAAATTTGCCCATAAACATATCCCCTTTATTACTCCACATTCTTTTGTATGATTTCTGAATCGTTGTACTTTTCAATATTTTTTCTCCTTTGACAGATGATTTTTTTATTTTTATTTTTATTTTTGGCTAAAAAGGAGAAAAAACCAAATAGGTAGCTATTTTATTTTTCCAAATCAAGATTTTATTCATCTATTAACACAAAATTAAAGTAGAGGGGCGCCCGGACAAGTATCTGGTTTTTAACAAAAACTAGTTCGATTATGTTTTTTTTTTCTTTATTTTTTTGCATCAATATAAAATCGAAATGGAATTAATTAGTTCTTTTTTTTTTTGTTTTTAGTGTGTATGTTGTCTCTTTTACATACATTTTGCGATTGCAATTCTTCATTTTTCTGGCCTCTTTGATCATCAATTCGTAAAAGTCACGTCGAAACAAACGCCGCGAAGCTAGTCAGTCCTTCCGACAATGGCAACAGTCGACGACGACGGCTCCTCATCGCCGAAACCAGACGGACCACCGCCGCCTCTATCGGAAACAGTTGCCTCCGTCACTCATGACTTCGCCGAGAAATTAAAAACCCTAGAGAAAGATTCCGTCCTGCCGTCGATCGATTACGCAGTGGAGCAGGCCCAATTTGCTCGGAAGACGATTCTGGATTCCGTAAACGATGCGATCGACATCACAAAATCTCGTTTAGACCGCATTCGCTCTACTTCCTCCGCTCATTTCAATCAAACTCTGGTGAGTTGTGTGATGGTTAATTCAACTTACTATGTTTTTCTTTGGGAGTGAGTTTATTGCGGGGAAGAGTGAAGACACTCGTTATTTTGTTTTTTATCAATGGTTTTCCATTTGCCAGTTTTTTTGAGCTGGAGAAATTACATATCTTAGATTTCGAGTTTCGTTATGAAGCTCTACAGTATATGCAATGCTTCAGTTAATTTATATTATCTGTTCACTCGTTGTTTTGGCTGAAGAAAAGCAAATATACCATGAAGTTTTGGCTCCTGGGTAATTTCAATGTGTGGTTTAATAAAATTTGGTTGCAGGATTCATTGCAAGACGCGAAGTCTGATTTTGATAGGTATGAGGACATGGCTGTTCAGAAGATTAAAGGTCCGTCTTGGTAAAATACTTGTGCTGCAGGCAGTAGAAAATATAACTTTCGCTTTTGCAGCTCATTAGGTCTTAATACTCTTTAATCTGTTTCTAGCTGAGCAATTGTGTGTTCTTGGCAGAGGGCATTTGTGTTGCTGCTTCGCACTCGTTAATTACAGCAGGATCTGTATTTGGAGTATCGCTTGTTGTCCTCAAAAGTATGTGAATTTTCGTGCTTTTGTGTTGACAAGTTCTTGTTGAATCAGCCATATGTTCTGGTTGATGTTACGCCTTTCTTTTGACATTTTATCGTGTGGAGTTTGTCTTTGGTAATGCTTAATCGAGTTTTGAAAAGTGATGCAATGATGATGATTCTTGAATAGTACCTTCACCATGTAAACTTAAAGAAAACATACATCCACACTGCCTAGTATAGTCTGTTTCCTCCTGTTTTGTGTACTAAGACTTCTTTACCGCATACAGAACCAAGGCGTTTCTTGTACTACAAGACGATGCGATATTTCCAGAAAGAAGAGGTAATGCTGCAGATATTGTTAGCAGTATATATTCATGAGCTAAGATAGTTTTGAAAATATGAGGCCATTGTTTCTATTCATCTGTGATGTAGTTACCAGAGATTTGATAACGGCATTTTGAAGACATCTAAGTTTTGACATCTGTGTGCCAATGAAGTGGTTAATATTTTCTTTGTACTGATAATAAAGTAGGACACATCATTTCTTTTCCATCAAGCGTTGGATTTTAGGACTCGATTCTTTATACTGGGTATATTGCTTTTGATGTTGTTGATTGTTTATGATCCATTTTGGTTTTGCAGGTGTTGCTTTCTAAAGCTGATGAAAAGTTCAAGGAATTGCGAACAACATTAAACGACTTAAACAAGAAAGCTGGGGAATTGGAGGTGATTTCTTGTTTTTAGTTTCTCTATTCATATGCTTTTATTATCTTGTTAGTTTAAGAAAGCATTTATGGATTATGTTTTTGAGGTGTCCTTGTTGATTGCGTATCTTGAACTAGCTTGTCAGGCTCTATACTGCAGAAATAATTAATTTTATGATTGATTTTCCTGTGAAGCATTGCAATCTGCAGAGTTTTAAAATAGTGTGTGGAATTGGGTTAGTTATTTGGCATATGCTGTCTAATTTCTATTTATTATACTTATCTAAACTGGAAGTTTCCTTCTTTGGTTAACTCTTCCTGGATCCTAGGTCATGGTTTCTTGGACTTAAAAAAAATGAAACCCTCACCCCGGCCCCTCCTCCTCCCTAAACTAGAAGGCCCAAAAAAAGAAGAAATCAACTCTTCATTGTTGATGACGATATCCATTCCCAAAAAGTAACACTAATGACTATTAATCCGGATTGTTCCCTTTCCTGATTAAGTCCTTGCTTATTTTTTGGTCAGAAAGCAACAGCACAGGCTGAGCTAGAATTGATAAAGGGAAGAACAAAACTCAGGTATCAATACGAAGGCTAAGTGTCGAGTCACTTTCATTTCAAATTCATCCACTTGTTTACTCTATCTCAAGCTTATCTTTTCTTGTTGTATGTTCATCACCTATTCAGACAAGCAGGCAAACAGATTCAGTATGGGGTTCGATCTATTTTTAAGATAGAAAGACAAGCTAGGGGTATGTAATTTCTGTTTGTGAGTTTCAATATATGCACGTTAGCAAGCACACCAGGTTGTCACCAGGTTCTTGCCTTGTGAAAAGGAGGATGCCGCTTAATTGTCAGTTTATTCTGTGACAGGTTTAAGAGATGTTCTCGATGAACTTCCCCGCGTAGATGCATCTCGATTTAAAGCAGAAGTAAGTTAGAAGTTTTTTTGGGTAGGTTGGGGCTTTTCCATAAATTTTCAGCTAGGGAATTTTTGTGAACCCTGCTATACTGCTTCCCTTTGATTCCACCAACCTTGCCTGCTACTTCTTCGCATATATCTGTTAGGTGCGAGTTTTTCCTCTTTTTTGGTTTCTCACGGTTTCTACTCGGCATCTCTGTTCCAGGTGTCTGTTCTAGCGCAAGAGGTAAAAGCAGAAAGGGAAAAGCTATCCAAGGAGATAAGAAAGATTAGCGATCACGGGATATCCGTTTGAGTTGCCTGTTTTACAATGTGCTTACGTTCATTGGTCGAGATCCTAGAGTCTGTACCCGATTAATTTCGTTATTGTTCTTTAATAATTGCAACCTGGGACTGGAAATGGATTGGGTTGTGTTTTGACACAGATACATATATCTCGTCCATATAAACACTTATAGGTGTGTGTAGAGCCTCATTTTTTCTCGAGAGGAATCCGATCATGTAGCTCTTCTACATAGATTTTGACCACATAGAACAAGATACTTTTGACCTGACCAAATTATTCTACTACTGAACAGTTTTTCTATTTTCTCCAAGGTGCTTTTGTGCATGAGATGACTAAGCTGATACCATTTTCTTTTTGTTCCGAAGGATACATAGGCCATTTGAACTTAAACAAACATTTTCCAAAAAACTTAAACGAGTTCTTTTATGGTATACATAAACCAGTAGATACAAACAAATCAAACTTGCCTACTTATACTAACGTGTTTTTTACGGTATAGAAATTTTTTTGACCAACATAACTTTTCTTTCAGCACTACTAGAGAATCATGTTTGCAAAATTGTAGGAATTGATCAACTGTTTTCTAGACACACTTTTAACATAGATCATTAATGCTTGTCAAACCTTTGATCTGTAATCCACTGTTTTATCATCGTTAAAATCTCTTTCTGGTTACCCTAACTACAAGACTGGAAGGAATCAGTTTCTTTACAAGTAGAACAAACGCTTCAAGGACTGATGTCCATTCTATAGTTCATTATCACTTCATCCAGTTTAGTTTTTACAACATTTTAGTACCATAACCACTCAACATTCAAGCGGTTGCTATGGCATTGGGATGGTCAATCCAGTGACAGTTGGATACAAAAAACGCCATATTAAGCTTTCGCAAATATCTTCCATAACAAGCAAAGGAGTAGTTCATGAGTGGTCTTCAGAACACATTCCCCCCCAAAACTACAAAACCACCAATCTACCAATTCAATAAAGGTGTCTACAAACAATTTCAAGGCCCAAAAACTCAGAACACAAATCCACCTGTTTAAGCTAGCTACACACACAATTACTTTTCTACTTCATACAAGTTTAACATTAAAGCCTACGAGGAACTCCCAGAGCAAAATTTAATTGAGGCATCAACGGTGACCAGCACCCTAGATTACCAGACCACAAACTGATACAAATTCAGAAGCTCTGAAAATATCTATAAATGATAATCTAGTTAGCCAACGCTTTATCATTCAAGGCATGCTCCCTAATCCTCTTCATTTTGACTTTCATCTTTGACAAGCCTTATCATGTCGTCGATTCGAAGAATTGTAATAGCAGCTTCAGTAGCAAACTGAACAGAAAAGGAAAATGACCATTACACTCATTGTATATCAGTAAGCAGCTAGAACGAGCAAATTACATGCCAAAGGGAGTTATTACCTGGATAATCTTGACTTTGCTCATTGCAGGCTCAATCACCCCAGCCTCTAAGTTGTTGCGGACTGTTCCTTTGACGAGGTCAAGACCCATACTACAATTTTAAAGCATGGAAGCAACTAGTTACAAAATCATGAATTTATTTTACCACTCCTCCAAACAGCGCTCACCAAAATGTTTAACTAAGTTGTAGTTATATATGACAGAATGGTAAAATAGCAAATAAGTAAAGTATAACCAATCAGCCATCCCAAAATTTATTACATCTGAATGTCTAGGTTAGCCATTAACTAACTAATTTATGGGCCCCTGATTTACTCAAAAGAACAAGAAACTTACTCATATTTTAAACACAATAAACCCTCAACTGTGTTGCCCACAGACACTAGACAACTGAAGATGGTAACAAGTTGCCAAATTTCGACAGAACCCAACCAGCAGAAATTAGAGGTTTAGCACGAGTGGCAAACATATAGTTATTTATTTATTTGTACTACACACCAAAATTATGAATCCAAGAAAAATTCTCGAAGCTTCTCAACTCGTTTTTGCACCCATGCAAGAATATATCTAAATGGGAGCATTGTCATTATTTATTTTTTTCAAGGGTTTCTTAGTCTCAACCGGACCAAAGAGAACTCATGTTAGCACTTACCGATAAAGAAAAGATTACAGGGAACACTGATCACAATTTGGAATATCAAAGAAAAGAATACCTTGATAGATGTTTTTTATCTGCCTTAGTTTGTGCAGTATGATGATATGCTCGTAATTTTGCAACCAACTCAGTAGCGTCCTTTGCAGCATTGACAGCAAGAACCTGCATAAGAATATCCCCAGTTGTAATAGAAAATCCACAAGATTGGGAAAGTAAAAAGAGATCATACTTGCGGGTTTTAAGAGTTAGCAACCTTGGGAATGATCAATAATGATTCAGCAAACTCTGCAATAGCAAGCTGCTCCCTAGATCCTAAAGTAGTTGCTAGATTCTCCAAATACACGGATAAGGCAGCTTCAACAGCACCGCCTCCAGCAACGACCTGGTTTGCAAAAATTTTTAAATAACATAAGACACTACCATCATTTTTATTCAACATTCTTAGAAGGATTCACCCAAGGGCAGTATTACATGAAATTCATGCAGCGATACACATTTTAGCTTGACGTGAACACGGATTTAAATTCTCCCGAAACTTTCAAATTGATGATGGTCCAATGGTGCCACAAACTCCTTTTCAGAACTTTAATATTTAAAAACACCATAGCAGGCCTCACATAGGAACATAGAATAAATCAGACATGACCATCTTTTGTAATTAGTCAGCTACATTGAAACCGGTGGACACGGGTAGCAGTGCAGAACACCTACCGAGTAATGAATGGGGGACTATATGAACGAAACCAATGCAAGTCTTTATGTTACAATATTTGTTTCAATCATGCAATGGTTAAAACGAAACTGTGCGTGATAAAATCAAGCGCAAAGTGAAAAAAGTTATGATCTTACCGTGGAGGATTCCAAAGTTCTCTTCACGATGCACAAAGCATCATGCAAAGCCCTTTCCATTTCATCAAGCATAAAGTCATTTGCACCTCTAAGTATCAATGAAACCTGGAAATAAAGAAACAGAAAATTCTAACTGTTAGCAACTGATAGCTGCTTCATACAGCACGCAAGCATTCATTCTTCTCTGTGGAGGGGTATTCTACAGAAACTAAATCTACTTACTGCACTACTTGTTTTAGTTCCTTTTATCATGATCACATCATCATCAGCAACCCGCTCTTCCACCACTTCATCTGCCTGTCCGAGAAGTGATGGATCAAATGTTTCTTCGCCTTCCATATCAGCAAAAGTGGAGACCTGACAGCAGCAAAGTGATGAAAAATCCCCCAAAAAAAAGTTACATTGAAATTAAAATCGATGTTGCCTAAATTAAGAAATCATACGGCAAATAATAAAAAGATCATCAAAACCATGTACAAATATAACTGAAAGAGAGAAATCCAGGCAGGTTAGCATAAGAACCACTCTCCAAGTGATCTTCTGAGTCTTACAAAAGGCATACACTGGCAGTTGTATACAACATCTCACAGAGATAAGTACTCCTGATCACTACTTAAAAAATTATACAGCACAATTTAAAGTTTTGAAACTTTCCACTTTCCAACTTTTGCTACTTCAATAGCTACGCCACATGCCGATTTAAGATGTGTTTGCCATATAAGGAAGAAAAGTACTGGAGAAAAAGTCAGATAAAATTTGAGTATTTGAAGAGGTAACACAGCGGAACATTTACATTGATAAAGCACAAATAACACAACACGCACGAAGCAAAGAGAGAACCAAAAAAAGGCACTCATAAATAGTGCAGTTTGGATAGAAGTGAAGAAACCTACCACAGTGGCACCTGTTGCCTTGGCAACATGGCGAAGATCCTCTTTCCGAACACGTCTAACTGCAATGGCACCAGCTTCAACAAAGTACTGCAACAACAATGAGAGCACGCAAACATTACAACAGAAAGAAGTATCAAGATATGGACCTTATCTTCATTATTGGAATGATGGCATTAAAAACTAGAGTTCTTTTCCGACTCAGCATCGGTATATCAATACCATTAAGAAATAGATATCTTCGCAAGCATAAGCGGTAGAAGAGTACCTTGAGTGCCATGTCATCAATCCCTTTTGCAGTTAAAATAACATTGGCACCTGCCTTGAGAAGCTTTTCAATCCGTTCTTTCGTCATGTCAGCCTCTCTGGGAGGAAAGGTAACCTTTTAATGACAAATGCACAGAAAGCAAGGCGGTAATAACATCTACAAGATTGGTTTTGACAAAAGAAAACTCCCAGGACTCTCAATAAGCACAAGAGGAAAAGAGGAAGCAGCATCACAGGTCAAAACATGCTCTTATCTTGCACATGATATAATACTTTATCCTTTCACCAAAGAACAAGAATCAAAACCCCACATCTTATATAGGTTTAGAGGTGGCTATAAAACTTAATAAGTTTTACCTACCAGGCCTTTTCTCCACACACACTAAGTGACAAATAGCTTCAAAACCTGCTAAACATGGCTAACTCACTCACCTTTGCCGAATCTTTTCAAGCTCCCGAGGGTCAGTGACTAAAACTTGAACACCCATTTGCATCTTTGTTTTTTGAAGATTAAAATCCAGACATGCAATCTTGGCAGGGGCAACTCTCATAGGCATCCCTTGGGCAGCACGGCCAGTATTCAGAGCATAACCTTTTAGCAAATAACTATCCCTTGCACTTTTACCATGGGCTTTTAGTATGTTAATACCCTGCGTGGCAGAAGTTCTAAAGTTAATAAATGCAAAATCAGTGTGATTTTCATTTCAATTAAGCCAGGGTTAGCTCATCATAAAACATTTTCCAATCACAGAAAAATAAAGCAGTAAGGAATAACAAAAATAGAGGAAGTCTTCGACATTTGTCCAGGGGATGAATGTACACAAAACCGACCTTGATTGGGTATTTGACTTCGCCTCGAGCATTAGTCATCTTTACTGATAACACAGCTTCAACTACCTGCATAGAGCATCACCATCACATCAATCACATACAAATCGAACCAGAAAATAGAGAACATGATGTCGGGCATGCACTTCCATTAGGGAATGAAACATAAGAGTGCGCAACTAGCTACATTCACTAAATTTTAAAGAATTCTTACACAAAAAAAGGTGATCAATTTTAGACAATAAACAAAAACACCATTTGGTGCTACTCAAACTCCAGCTGGAGTTAACAACTTTAAAAAAAGAATTTCCAACATGCATGAGAATAAAGTCAAACTTCACAATATCTATGCAGACCATTAGCAAAAGGATCCTAAAGATCATTAGGATACAGTCAAAAGCAAGTTTCAAGTTCACAACATACCAGAGGCAAAGAAAGTTCAGAACATACCAGATTAGCAAAAAAGTCACTGTCACTCCCGATCAATTTTGAGGACATGCTTGTCTTGGCGCAATTGATAAGAGAATCTTTTCCAAGTTTGTCAACCTTAGGATGTTACGAGAACACAAATAAGTTATTTTAATACTGACAAAAGAAATCTCATAGCCCAGAAACTTCTATCCCCTGCTCTGGGGTTCACCATTAGCATTTCATTGAAGCATAACCATTAACTACCAGCAGAAAAGTTACATGTGGAAGTGCTGGTATTTTGGGGAAATTGAAAGATTGAAGAATCTTGTAGTTTACAATCCAATGCATTTGTTCCAGTCTAAAATAATATCTAGACTCAACTAGAACCACATCACTGAATACAATTGCTACGAGCCTACAAGCATTGATTTCATATATATAAGTTTTGCTATACAGGCAAGATGCAAATACCTTCATAGCCAACTTCTCATCAACATATTTGCAAGCTTCCCTCATGGCAAGCTGCGATCAAAAAGAACAAATTTCAGATACAGTTATTAGGAACTTATAGTCGCAAAAGAGAAATAAAGATGTACATTAAAGGAGGAACATATAAATCAAAAGGAAACTGAAATTGACTTACTCTATATCCACTGATTATAGAGGTTGGATGGATCTTGTTTCTCACTAAATCATTTGCTCTCTGCACAATTTGCAACTTGTTAGAAATAGAATAACACAACAAACTAAAAATCGACGCAAGCCGTCATGATATCTAGATTACCTTGAGTAACTCTGCAGCTATAATGACCACAGAAGTTGTTCCGTCTCCAACTTCCCGGTCTTGAAGCTCAGCCAACTCAACAAGAACCTACATAGATCAAAAACAAAGAAATCCAAGTTATCCATCAGTCAGCTGGATAATGATTCCTGTAAATGATATAATAAGACAACTCTCATTCGGACCTTTGCAGCCGGATGCTCAACTTCTAACATTTTCAGTATCGTGGCACCATCATTAGTGATTGTTACATCGCCAATATCATCAACCAGCATCTGATAACAGACGGTGACATCAAAGAGTCAGACCAAAAAATCAATTTCTAAAGCACTTGTAGGTAACATTCAAACTCCAATACACAACTTGGCCAAAAATTCGTATCTTTCAAATGAAATGAACATAGTTTCACCATTCTACAGCAAATTACACTTTAAAATGAAACATAGATACCCAAATGCCAAATGGGGTCTAATCATAAATCTTGACCAGGAATTACTTAATTATACAAAATCACACATACTGGGTGAAGTATTTATTTTATGACAACTGTCTGTTTCAGAAAAATAAGACCACGTCAAAGAAGACAGAAATTGCTCATGAACAGCAAAGAAGACACTTAACCAAACAAATATACATATTATGTTCTTTCAATTTTTAGCCCAGTGCTTAACATATTCCACTGAGACTTCCCTTTTATATTTCCTCAATACGGTAATCATGTTTATCCAGGCAAATCCATATTTTTTAAAAATCTATTTTCTTCTTTCTGATTCATTTCAGTGACACCTACAACATTTAAATACGTCCCCTAGAGATCCTACTTTTTCTTGTTATGACACTTATATTGAAAGCTCAGTAATCCAGGTAAATGCTACCAACTCGCAACAACGAACACAGAGCATCGGGCAAAAGCAAGTACCTTGTCGAGTCCAACCGGTCCAAGTGAGGATTTAACAATATTAGACACCGCCTGGCATGCCATAACTGCACATTCCTCCACAATAAATTATTCCAAACAACAAGCAGAACTTGAAAAACAACTACGTAAATCACGAAATGGAAAGGAGAAGAGTTCCGAAAGGTTACCGTTCTGAGTGCGGACATCTTGGCCGGACTGGCGGTCGCCGAGGATATCCGGAGCCGCCATTTACTACTGCTGGTGTTTAAGATTGAAAGGAGAAACCCTAGATCGGCGTTAGCAGAGAGTTGGAACAGTAGGGCAGAAACTCAGCGACGGTCGAACTCGCCGGGAGGGGAGATTCCTCTGGAATGTTCAATCGAGTGAGGTTTTATAGTTCAGTGTTGGTTTTGCTACTGTTTTCCTCACTTTCTCTGCTGCGTTGGAGGGTTTTACACTACAACCTCCTAGATCTTCTTCAGAAAATTTTGAAAGGTTATGGCGTCCCTTTAATTTGCATTCTACATGGGCCTGAGCCTGGGCCTGGGCCTCAGGGCCTATTTTCAATCACCGAATTACTTATGCCGTTACTGCATTGCAATTTGCATTTACTCATTTCATTTATTTTTCTTTTGTGAAGGTTGATAATCCTCTTATTAGGATCCTATTTAGGTTTTTCATAAATTTAAATGAAAATATTTATCCCCACAAATCAATTATTTAGCTTATAACTAGATGAATTAGATGTGTTTCACTAATTCATCTAAAAAAACAAAGTACCTGAGAAAAATAACAATGCATGAAAGGAATAACAAATAGGTTAGTCAAAAAACAAAATAAGTGGAATAATAAATAACAGGGTGGATCAAGTGGTAAAAGGGTTTGGTATCAATCGAGAGATCTAGGTAGTAAAACACTGTCATTTTTCGCAAGTTACATTTGGAAGATCTTTATACTCCGAATTGATGTGCAGAAAGAGATGTTGCAGGCGTGGAATCTCTGCACTAGACTAGACTAGTAGTACCGAAGTGCTTAAAAGAATTGTATATAAAAAAAGAAAAAAACTAATTTTGTATTAATATTATGAACCAGTACACAAAGAATAGTAATAGACAAACATATATACCTCATCTAGACGATTTATATCAACCTTAATTAGAGTATCTGTGTAAAAGATTTCTGAGGTGAATTATTTCCCCTATTAAGACCGATGACTCGACAGGAAAGTTTAGTTCACGCAAACGTTGAACTTCTAATGCAACACAATCTATGTATACAATAATAATATGCATAAGTCCTAGATTGAGTTGTAATTTAGGTTACTTAAACTCGGAATATGATAACTAAAGGGACTGTGGTGGAGTGATAAGGACTCCTCTATCCTTAACCATAGATCGATAGTTCGAATTTGGCAATGTGTATGGAGCAATCTTAAATCATTTAGCCTACTTCCCCACCCATCGAGGTGCTTACCATGAGCGAGGGGATTAGTCACACCTTGTAATATGCAAAAAACGAAAAAAAAAAAAAACTCTAAATATGATGGAAAAAAAAAAGTTGTGACTTATAGTTACTGGGAGGCTACTAAACGCCATAAAAATTTCCCTTGAGCGCCCTAATTAAATACCAAATGACCATTTTGCCCTTACATGATTTTATAAATTAAGAGTTTCAATTTCATTCTTTCAATTCCTAAATCAATCTTTCATTTCAAATTCTCTCAATCCAAACTCCTAAAAACTTAGATTCAATGGCTGATCGAATGAAACGGCTACGTAAAGAGCTACGGAAACTGAAGGTACGTAAATTTGGATTGTTTTTTTGAATTAGAATTATGTAGGAGTATTTTCAAAAAAAAAAAAAAAAAAACCACCAGCGCCCCGGCTCGGCAAGGAAGAACCGCGCCAGCTCTGTAAGGAGTGGCGCAGCCGGCGAGGAAGAACCGCGCCGGGGCGTGCGGATCTGCGCGCCAGCTCTACACGCCCCGGTGCGGTTCTTCCTCGCCTGCCGGGGTGTTGGTGGCGCCATATTCTTCACCGCCGGACGCTGGGGTGGCAAGAAAAGTCTCGCCAGGCGGCTAGCGACTAGCGTGATTTACTGGCGCCGGCACCGGCGCCGGTTTTTTTTTTTTTGTTAATTTGTTATATTATATATTTAAATTTAATTATTATTTATAAATTGTATAGTAATTGTAATTTAATTGTTACTATTAGTAATTGTAGGTCTTATGAAATTTAGCTTAATTAATTATTATTAGTTATTTTTATTAGTTTAATTTATTTAGGAAACACTATTATTAAAAGTATATGTTTAATCTTCAGTAAATAAATTAGTTATAATACTTTTGTAGTTTTAGGAATTCAATTGCAGTTTTAGGGAGTTTAACGGTTTTTAAATTAATTTGGATCATTATGAAAGTTATTATAATTAATATAATTATAGAAAATATATTTATTGGATTAGTCGGTTTAATTGTAATCAAACGTAGAAATTAAATACTTAGTATAGAAAAATTAAATAAATAAGTTCAAATTAAAAAAAATACAAGAGGTTAGTAGATAATTAGGGTTAATAAAAAATATTTATTTAATTGTGGTTAAAATTAAATAATAAATTATATATTTATTTAATTTTGGTTAAAAAATGAAAAAATAAATATATAGATATGATTAATTGTACTTAGTAGATTTAATAATTTGTACACTTAAGATGTATAGTAGATAATTTTATAATTACGTATTTAAATAATATAAAATTGTATTAAACTAATTAATCTAAGTTACGTGTAAAATTTAAAACTTTTGTAGGATGGGATATCGCCTCTTGAGGGATCTGGACATCGGCATGCAGTTACGCGCAATCTGTATGCCGAACATCGAGCAGAAAAAGAAAAAAAGTTAAAGAAAGTGAAAAATGTACATCCTACGCTTGGCCCACTTAGTGAGTCAGTCAACGTAGACGATGATGATGATTTTGAGGGAGAGGAATCAGCAGAGGATAGTTTTGAGAGTGGGGGGGACGATGTGGATGAGGAGGATGACACATCCGAGTATTCCTCGCCTAAGAGGAGGGATATACATATTGGAGATAACTCAGTACTGAACCCCATTGGTCATACTGTTGATCAGACTCCAGTTCACCCTACCCGGGGGAGGGGGAGGAGGGAGTCCCTTGTTGGATTATCGGTCCTGAATTCAGCTTACACTCCTGGTGGTTCCAGTGTTCGTGTCGGCCCACAGTGTACTCTTTTTAGAGGTCACAGTACTACTCTTCAGCATGCAGGCCCGCAGAGTACTGTTTTCAGAGGTCCCCCTCTGACTACTCAGCCCCGTTCCCGTTTTGGTGGCGCATCTATTGGTGCCTCTATCCGTCCTGAGGCAGCTGCATCGTCATCAGGTACGTATTTGTAACAATTTCAGCATTCATTACTGCTTGGTCAATTTCTTAATTGCATTCGATTAAGTATTTATACACTATTCCTTATTCGGGTTTCAGGTACTAGCAGACGGTCTAAGGTTTCTACCGAAGAAACTGATGATTGGGTTGTGACGGACGACGTACCTGGCGGGCCATGTGATGGGTCAGTGATTCCTAGTTTTCTTGGCCACACTGCTTATCAGTTGTGGAATGGAGAACCAAGAGATTACCTGACGATGAAGCCAACGAAGAAGAGTTTGTCTAGATTGCATGGATGGTATGTGAGGTTGCCGGAGAAAGCACAGTTGCAGATTCAGAATACCGGTTTGTATCATCTGATTGATACCATGTATGATGACATTGACCTTGCGCTTATTTCTGCATTCATAGAGAGGTGGCAGCCCGACACGAACTCTTTCCACTTGCCGTTTGGGGAGATGACCATTATGATGCATGATGTGGCACACATTTTGGCGATTCCACTTGATGGTTACTTGTTGACCAACCTGCGGAAGCTGAAAATTTGAAGATGCAGGTCGCGGGATTGCTTGGGATGCCGTTGGCTGAGTTAAAGCGTGCATGGAGGCACGGAGGTGTGAGCGACATATTGATTGAGGAGTGTTGTCACAGGGTCCTCCCCGCTGTTCAGGTGCAAGCTTGGGTGTGGATCTTGTTAGCCTCGACACTCTTCCTTGACAGGAGTGGGGGCAGGATCAGTGCTTCACTCATGAATGAGTTGCACGCAGGTATCGACAATATTGCAGAGTACTCCTGAGGATCCGGTACACTAGCATTCCTCTACCGTCAGCTTGGTATTGCTAGTTGAGCAGGGTGTACCACGATGGCTGGTTGTATGACCCTTCTCCAGGCATGGATATATGAGTATTTTCCATGTTTCCAGCCCTCCAAGAGGCGAGGACGTCGAGGTGTTGATGGTTGGCCCAGAGCCCGAGACTGGACACCAATTAGCTATAAGGGCCCGAAGCCTATTCATAGTCGTCTCCAGCAGATTCGTACGCAGCTCGATGCGATGACTGAGGAAGAGGTACACTTTATATTTTATTTCTGTGTATTGCGTAAGGGGTATTTCATTGTGTACACTATAATAAATGTTGGTAACGTTTGCAGGTCGAATGGGAGCCATTTGGTCGCGAACAGGCGACAACATATTCGAGGACCATCTTCAGTGGGTGGATTATGTACCACGACTTCCAGGAGCCATACATGCCGGAGAGAGTGCTACGCCAGCTCGGTTACGTGCAGTACATACCTCGTGCGCCGCTCACGCCGGTAACTCAGTTTCGCAGGAAAAATGCGCACAAGTATTTTGTTGATCGTCCGATTGCCGAGACCTGTAACTGTTGGGTTAGATTTCCGGAGTCGGAGTGCATCAGCCTCAGTCATTGTGTGCCGGTATCGTCTACTGAGGTAGGACATGCAGCTGTAGATTACCTCGACTGGTACAGGAGCCATTCACATCCATTTCTACTGCCAGAGTCCGTACCGTCTACATCACGCATCCCAGGGAAGAACTGCATCACTTACGTAAGTTCAACTCTAACTGGAATACCCTTTGTTTAATAACACACGTACTATCTTTAAGGGATTAATATGGTTTTATTTAACATTTCTAGTGGATGCGTGAGATGGAGAGGTTGACTCGAGGTTGCATCAACGATTTGAAGAAACTCGATTCGGGTCTTGGTGAGGAGTGGGATACTCGCCTGGATGATGTCATCTTCCGGCACAATCAGGCCTCATGACATTCTACTCAGTGCTTTTTCCTTTAAACAATTATGTAACGATTCTTTTTGTGAACAATATGTACTTATGTTGATTTGTAATTTAAATTTTTATTTATGTGAAAATTTCACCAATTTCATTAAATATATATATATATATATACACACAACATATCACCCGAGATCACAAAAATCCCGTGTGGGTCTTATCGGAGCTACCAAAGTACGCCATAGCTGCAGTCTGGGTTCAAAAGGTTCTTCCCAACCAATAACACTACTATCACGATCATGCAGCCAAATGGGGTGAATGGGGGGAATCGGAAAATCACCCTGCAGATTGAGTCGAATGAAGTGCAGGTAAGGCTCAAGGTGGCAAATAACTATCTGGAACTCTGGCCTTGTTGCCCCGCCCCGTGCGCTCAGTGGTAGCACAGTCCAACATGTGCCGTTTAGATTTTCAGCACCGTTGGTTCTGAAGTAGTACACAACAGCATTGAAATATGTAGCAAGGGGGTAAAAGTCCTCTGTCGACATCCAGTGACCTACGGAGGTACCAGTCCACCGTATACGCTCTAGGCTTGCAGGTAAATTTTCCCACCTACAAAGACAAGTAAATGAAGGTTTTAAATAAAATAACAGTGATGCAAGTGTATTAAAATCGCTCACCAAAATTAAACTGGCTTCATACCCATAAAGGTTCCCATACAGGCCAGGGTTATTTATAACCTCATCATAACATATCTGTCTGCACAAAATGTGATTATTCTGCCCTCCCAACATGCAACTCACAAAGACGCGGAAACCACAATTGCCGTCAGCCTCAACATCAAGATATGACTGAACATGATTGTGGAGTACCTGCGGAATCTTATTCTTGTGCCTTGCCCAGTCCATGTACCTACTCTCGCATGGGTCAGTAACAAAAGTGCTTGCAGTAAACCAAGTAAAATAATATTTCGCACATTTAAAAAGATAAAGTAATATCGGACCTCTACTCTGATCTTCAGCTCCCGACGTATGGCCTCTACTGGAACTATGGTTGTTCGTCCCACCTTTACCCGAGGTACCTTGGCTCGTACCTGCTTTACTGGAACCGCTGGTATTGGTGCCACCCTGATTGCCGTCCCTGTATGCCCACACATTTGGTTTGTCTTGTTTTTTTTTAAAGATGCCCCTCTTCTTCGGCCTGCCCTTGCCTCTCTTTCCAACCCGCGGTTATTTAATCCGGCTTGGCCCGGGTGAAGTTTGTTGTACATCAATCTGGTGATCTCGCGCTGTATTGGCTCCTCAGCAGCGTCCAATTCTTCCACTAACTGCCTGAACAACAATCTGTGAGGGGGAACATCATCCGAACCATCCTTCTCTGTAACCTCACCGATGCCAAGTGTGCTCCAAAATTGGTGTAAGTATTTTGGAGTCAAAATCTCGCTGGACTCCATTGTATGCTTAAGTATACATGCACAAGGGAGGGAATGAGTATGCTTCAGGTGATGATTGCATTCCCAATACACATCATCTCCGAGTTGTTGCATCCTTTCCAACTCATTGTTCAATAGATCCAAGCAATAGTGTAAAACATTGCATCTTAATTGATAGAAAGGGTACTTGTTGTGTTGCCTCCCTATTTTCTGCCTTGATTCTTGCAATTTTTCCCTGTGGAGGAATTCTAAAAAATTAATTAAACAATCTAAACACACAAATTAACTAAAAAGGGATCAAAATACAGTACCTTATTTGCGTAAGCTGTGTCTCCAGTAACATGTGAACCCTGTGCCACACCGTTTCAAAAGAAGCATTTAGAGTGCCGAGCCATTCCTTTAACAACTTGTGTGCGCTCTCCACTCTACAAGTAGTGGTGTTACCAAAATACAAATAAGTGTTGGTCCATGCATGCACAAACTTGTGCGCCACCACTAACCATGTCTTCCTAATATACTCTAGAACGGGCTGAAATTGGGACCAATTATGCTCCAGAAACTGTACTTTTTCTTCGTATACTTCCCGATTTGCAGCTTCGATCACTGCTTTGAAGTCATTATACGCGAAGCTTTTTGCTACATGGGCATTTCCGTTCAAAATTCTTTTCACATTTCTTTCAACATCCCTGTAAACATGCCACGTACACAACAAGTGATGTGATGATGGAAATACATCATCAAGAGGCCTCATTAGTCCAGGCTCCCGATCAGTCACGATAACACTCGGATGCAGATCATCGCCATACAAGTTACGGAGCTGCCACAACGCCCAATGGTAGTTGTCTCCCGTCTCATCACTTAGAATAGCATATGCTATAAGGAATGTCTGATTGCAAGGGGTCATTCCAACAAACTCCACAAGAGGCAGTTTATATTTGTTTGTGTTGTATGTGGAATCTACACAAACAACCCAAGGATACGTCCGCAATAGCAACAAAGAATCTGGATGTGCGAAAAACACGTGGGATAACCTCTATGTCTCTTCATCGCACTCCATGAAGATGATGTATTTGTGTTGTTCTGCGACCTCTAACACCTTTCCCACTACGTCCATGTCAGCCAGGTCATCTAGAATTGGAAACCCCGCCTTACGCAAAAAATTTATGTAGTTGTAGACTTGTTTGGAGGTAACCTTTTAATCAGGAAATTGTATCCATATCGCCCGTAAAATGTGGACTGCCTTAGTCCCAGCTTTGGAGTACTCCTTAATAAGCTCTTTTACTTCTGCACTCAATGGCCTCCTGACTCGAGGTGGATCTTTCAATGAATGGTTGTGCATTCCCAACGGACCTGGATATACACGGATCGCCCACCTATCATATATCTTGTAAATAGTAACACGAAACTGGCATCCGGTCATCTGTGTCTTTGTATTGGCTCGGGCGCGCACGTTTTCATCCACCTGTTGACCTTGGTACCGCCCTCCTTTATGACAAAGGAGTATAGTACTATTATCCTTGTGCGAGGATACACTTAACTCCATATTGTAGATGTTCGCAATACCCTTCGCATATGCAACAGCTTCCTTGTTCGTCGCAAAAGTCTCGTCTGTAGCAAAAGCCGAACTATAATCGACTCCATCCCCCTGATCAAACCTATCCTGCACACATTAAAAATAAATTATTCATAACTTAAATTAACTCTAACATTGTTAAACCACAAATAATTTGCTATGAGTAAACAAAATATATAATCCGATATAATGATCTTATACTTTAAAGATAATTAATATATACTAATAACAAATTAAAAATATTATTAACAAAAACTCATTATTTTAACAAAAATCCTAATCCCTAACACCTATACCCATTAACATACTACCTAAACACCCATTTAACAAGAAACAAACTATTTCTTACGAATATACTACATAATTAACATAATTAAAACATAGAACAGTTTAAATACATTATTAACAAGATATTAACTCATTTAATATAACAATATACGTAATTAAAAAACATTCTCTAAATATCATAAACCTAATTAGCATAAACCCTAATTTTCCAAACAAATATTAAACTACCAAACAAATACTCAAATAAAAAAAATACATGAATTAATTAAATTTATTAAACTAATAATAATATTTATTAAACTAATAAATATTAAATATATTAAAAAATTTTAAAAAATAATTAAATAAAAAAAATGGGTGGCGCCCGGACAAAGGCTTCGCCGATGGCGAAGGCCGTCTCGCCTCCCTTTAGTTTATTACACGCCACCCCCATAGGGGTGTATAGGGGTGGCGTGCTTCTCCTGTGCCAGCCGTTAATGGTTGGCGCGGTCCTTCCTCGCCCCCCCTCTTTTTCGAAAAAAAAAAACTTACCTCTATTTTGCAGGGGTGTGTCGGTCTTTCGCGGGCGCTCAAATAAAATAATAAGGGCGTTCAACAGTTCGATCTTATAGTTATGGGCTTAACTCCCCCCATAGGGAGTAGTGTGAATCCAGTCCACACACAAAATCATGGCCACAGGCCTGTCAATTCCCGCCACTCCCAACCACCATTTCATATCAGCACCTCCGAATCACAGCCACTGCCTCCGCCGCTACCACCGCCACCTCCGACTACCCACTTCCCTCGCCGCCCGGTCATCTCTCACGGACCAATCACAAACACTCTCAGCCAAGAACCACCTCCTGAGCCTCATTAAGGACCAAGAACGAGGTCTCAGGACCCAATCCGACCCGCAAAAGCTATCTCAAATCATCCAAGCCATTGACGCCATTGCCGAGGTGGGCAAAGGGACCGTCACCACCGACAATTCCCTCTCCGCAACGTGGCGGTTGCTGTGGACGACGGAGAAAGAACAGCTCTTCATCATAAAGAATGCATCTTTCTTTGGTACCAAAGCCGGTGATGTGTTGCAAGTGATTGATGTGGGGAGCAAGACTCTCAACAATGTCATAACTTTTCCTCCCGATGGGGTCTTCTTTGTTCGCTCTGTCATTGAAGTTGCATCGTCCCAGCGGGTTAATTTTCGGTAATTCTTGGCCCTTTTCGTTTAGCTAGTAGGATCCACTTCTTTCATTTGAAGCTGTTTTCATTTCTTAAAGTTCAGAAACTCTGTTGTTCGGGGTTATGGTTTCACAATTTGATTTCTTGCAATTGCTGATATTACTGCAGCGTAGCTTTATCTTTTCTGTTTTTTTTCCCTAGGGATATTATGCTGATAATTTTCAAAAATGGGCCGTGGCTGTATGATTTGGAATCTTTGTTGTAATGCAGGGGACACGTTTTCATCCATGTTTTATTGTGCTTCCTTGTAGGTTTACAAGTGCAGTTTTGCGTGGGAAAGGCTGGGAATTTCCATTGCCTCCTTTCGGACAAGGATGGTAAATGATTTGGGCTCCGAATTCCTTGTGTCTGTGTCTTTTAGTTCCAAATCTCAGCAATTATTCATAGATTTTCACATTTTAGCTTCTATCAAAACTGTCATGAGTAACTCACAAAATTTTCCGGGGATGCTATTCGAGTTGTTTTACATTGTATGTTTGATTATCAAAAATTTTTTGTCTCACCTGTAATGCCGTTTTGCTTGGCTTCCTGATGATATTTTTGTGTTCCAACTTAGAAGTTGCATTAAGTTTGTTTTGTATGGGGACCTTGTATTTGACTGTTTGTTTTGATCTGTCCATATGAAGTACAGTGATTATGTCTCCTTTAAACAGGTTTGAGACCGTGTACCTCGATAATGAGATTCGGGTGGTGAAAGATATTAGGGGCGACTATTTGATCGTTGAAAGAGCTCCCTATTCCTGGAAAGAGTGAAGGTTCACTTTTCCTTCTCGTTCTTTTCATGACTAATTTAAAACGGTTTCAACATAATTAGATGTATATGTTTATATTAGAAAGTTGCCTACTGTACTGTTAGAATAATGCCTTGAATTTATTGTGTAGTGTGCAATATAGAACTATCGATGCGTAGTAGGAACCATTGACTTTCTTTTGTTTACTCTGGCTCATTAATTATTTCACTATGAGAAGCTTGTGTCCAATGCACTTATGGAATGAAAATCCTCATGGAGTCTATTGGTTACGCATTTCTTAAGACTACACCTTTGTTGGTTAAATGCATTTCCGCAACTTCAGGGATTGCGAGCTCAAGTTTTGGTTTGAATCCATATTATAAGGTAGCTAAGACTCAAGAGTTAAACTCCAGATTATGTCAGTGACTTGTTCTATTGATGTGTTTCTGACAAAAATGTAAAGAGATCACACAGTCACACAATTCTCTTAAAGACTTTCTAGGTTCAATTATGTCCCTAAGCTGTCAAAGAATTCATCAGATGATATTGAAGCCAAAATGGGTGCCCAAGTTATCTGAGATGGCTTCAAAGAAAGTAAAGAGAATGTGTTCATCATGCAGCTTGTACGTTGATTTTTTTGCTATATCTTAAAATGAGAGTAGGTTTTGTTTGAATGGTCACTTAAGTATAACCGATTAATCTATTTGGTCGGGCTCTCCTCTGGAAATTATTATAGGGTAAAAGTTAAATGGGATGGTGCAATATCACTTTGGCCTATCTTGTTATAGTTTTTCTAAGACATAGGTCTCTGGTTTGTTTTCTTCTTTTCGTAGAGATTCACATCGAGATGTCAATTCTTGAATGCTCAAAAGTTATTACATACTGCAGCCTTGTTATGCCAACGTCCATTGACTGCCCTTTTTCAGTAGAGCACTCTGGTATGCGCTAATAAACCAGACTGCTTAATTTAGGGCAGGCTGTTTTAGAAGGATAAGCCGAGTATGAATTTAGTCTACCTGATGGAAGAATTGGTGCACTGTTCTAGCATCATAGTGCTCATACAAATTCTTTTGCTTAATTCCTTCAATTCCAGATATTGTGTTTTGTGAATAAAACTGAGCATTGTGCATACTGTAAACTTCTCGGTGTAGGACTCTCCAGGTCCCTTTATAGCTCCACGTAGTTGTTTCTTCGACGTGCAATGCTGTCTAAAACTTCTTGCCGCAGAACTATGAACACACGAGTTGCTCTCTAGTTGCTTCTTCTTGGAGAAGCTTACATGTTCCTTGGGGCTTATTGTTATTCTTGAAATGCAGGTTCCGGATATTCTTGTAGATAGGCATTGATTTAGTTCTTGTTGAGAATGTTTCCTGATAAGAGTTCTCCTTGATAGATAAAATGTTGGCTTCAACAACCTCAATCAGTTAGCAACTGCTTACTTGTGGTTGTTTAGGGATGGGAAAATATCAATAGTTTGAAATCTCACCATTTTCCATTTACACCTTTCAATTGATCATTAAACTCAGTTTCACTCAAATTCTACACAATTTTTGAAAGAATACCCCAGAGCAAGGAAATTTGTGAAGGAGCCTGCTCGTCACTGGTTCCATCAGTTCATGCAAATGTGACAATACAAAGGGTGCCTAAGCATGGACACACAAAAATAGTAGACCATACAGTTCTCCCTGAGACTTTATTCAGATGCTGTATGAGAGAACAAGAGCCATTCATGCCATTCAGTCTACTGAGATCCATTCCATGTTCATATAAGCCTATGATTGAAATTGATGGGAGATGAATAACTTTGTTATGTAGACTTGAAGAAGGAAAAAAGGATAATAGAGTAAATTAAAAGATCAAAGAAGATGAGAGATCTGAAAATCGAATTAAAAAATGACTCTTCCGCTTTCCCTAAGGATTTATCTTATGTCCTTTAATGTAAGATTGAGTATCATATGATTGTTCGATACTCTTTCCTCACACTGTCTGTAAATGAAAATACATATTCTTAAAAAACATATATTTCATTCATGAATTTATTCTTTTTACCTAATCAAGATGATCAAGATCCTTGCATCCACTAATTGTTATAAGGTTTCATAATCATGGTTGGTAATAAAACCTTTTTTTCGGGGCATCAAATATTTGGTTTGATCCCCACTTCTGATTTTGGGAAGAAATTCATTGCTATGAAGCTAGTGAATTTAAGGAATTCTCTTCTAGCTTTTCCAGCCTTGTAGGGGTCTAAAATTCATTCATTTCTTTTCTATCATTTGTCATATCATCTTTTTCTCCAAGCCCTTAGGGAAAGTCGTCAAATCGAACAAAAGAAGGAAAAAAAAAAAAAAAAACCCTACGAAATTAGGTTTTGCAATTTGCAAAAAAGTCCCACCTTTTTTGTGGGATGCAGAACATGTTCCTTGCTCCCCACCCCCATCGATCGTCTTCTCAATCTTTTTTTTTTTTAGCAAAACTTTACATGAGGATTGCTCCCTTCTCCCCACATGATTAGTACCAAATGTTCCGGCACAAACATGCTTCCAATTGAATATTTCATCTACTTTACATTGTCACTATTGACTAAAGCGATGTGTGATTCAACTCAAATCAAATGAGATTCTCTGTTACTTTTTTCTTTCTTTTTCTTAATTTTAAAAACATTATCTCATCAGTAAATTATATATAATCTGTATACAGTTAAGACATAAAATCTTATTAATCAAACTATCAACCAAACTTTTGAGAATGGTGAGGGAGCATAGGGTTCATGTGTCTACGAGCTAAGAATTGGTTATGGATCTTATCAAATACTCTCTATTCTAATAAAAAATAGTCTATATTAAATTCTGAAATTAGTACTATTTTAAGACAGAGAGAGTATCGACTATTTATTTGTGTTAAATCGTGGATGCTAATATTTTCTTAATTTGCTTTAATATCCTTCCCCTTTGCCCACCAAAAGAAAAAGAAGAAGAAGAAGAAGAAAAGACACCATTTGCGCGAGTCTGTAACAACCATCGAGTTAGCATGTGTTCCTCATGGTGAATAAAAAACTAGAGTGAGGAACTTCTTTTTCAACCATTTTTCCCAAAGGAAAGAGTATGTACATAATTTGTTGCATTTTATTAATAAAATCACTGCTCGTAATGCAAATTATGAATTAGAATATTATTCACGTTCGAAACATGTAGAAGCAAATATGTTGCTGAAGTACATCAAGGCTCGAGCAATTTGAAATATCTTTGCTTTTGGAGTTTACTTGTAAAATCATTATGAAAGTGAGTCTTGAAAAAGAGGAGCATGGGGCGTGTTGTATATAAAATCCTAAAGCATTTAATCAATTATATTTATACACTCCGCTCTAAAAATGACAGCTATATTCGTTCACTATTCAATAAATAAGATTTTTATTTCCTCTTGTCCTTAATATAAAGTATTTTAATTTGTTCTAAGTTTCACCTAATATATGTACTTTTTATTGACAAAAAGAACCTTAAAAATATATTTTCAAATTCGTTGTTTGTTGTTATGAAATATTTTTAAAATTTTTTTTATCAATTAAAAGTGTGTCCTATGTAAAATTTAGGATAAATCAAAATATCTTATATTAAGGACCGAAGGAGATATATTGTATGGAAACAAAAAATGTTGAGAATGGAAGTACGACTGTAGGAGTATTAATTAGTTAAGGAGGCGGGTAAGTGAGAAAAGGTCAAAAAGAAACAATAAGTTTTTACTTATATTTGTTTCGTTTTTTTAGTGTGTGTTTTTAAGTGTTTTTTGTATTGAAAATGTAAAAAGGTTTATTGAGATGGGACAAATGTGGACTTTGGTTGGCTTCAATTTGTTCTTCCTTTTTTTTTTTTTTTTCTATTTTAATGTCTTATTCTTATGTTGTTGACTGCTTATGGTGTTGACTATAAAAGTAACTAGATGCTTGGTCAGGGTTATGGCGTTGATTTTAAAAGTAACTAGATGCTTAGTCAGGGTAAATGTCGGGGCGCCCCTCTACTTTAATTTTGTGTTAATAGATAAATGAATTCCTGATTTAGAAAAAATAAAATAGCTATATATTTGGTTTTTCTCTTTTTTAGCCAAAAATAAAAATAAAAAAATCATTTACAGAAGAAGAAAAAATATAGAAAATTGCAACGATTAAAAAATCATACAAAAGAATTTCTCGATATCTGACTCTTTCTCCCTTTGTTATGTTTTTTGTTTAAGAAATTTTCTTCTAACATTTTAACTCTCTACAAATATGAATTCACAGAATTATTTTAAAAAGGAAAAGAGATCCGGTGATGATGACGATAATGATGATCAGAGATAGGAACCGCAACAGAGATAGAAGAAATATAAGGTGAAAACCAAATAATACAGCTTTCAAAACATAAACGATTTTGAAGAGGAAACCATCGATAAACCAAGTATAAACGGTGAAATTTTTCTTCATACGCAGCCCGGTTGTAGAGGAGAAACTTTTGGAATTGAAACTCCATTCTTCTGAACCAACAAGTCCGTCACCGACATTAACCTCGTCGCGGTCGGCAACATCAACCGGGCTTCCGCCGCTGCCACTCTTCTTACTCAATTTCGTGAAGAAGTGAGGGAAAGCAGGTTTCTTAAATTTCATCCCAAACTAAAAAACCCACAAATTTATACCCGTGAAGATTTGCTGAAAGAAAATTCCCGGCGGTAGTTTTTCTCGCATCCACTGAAAGCCGGCCCTAAATTGTTGGAAAAACCATTCATCCCACATAGCTGCTGTTCGGATGAGATCTTTTTGAGTTTTGAAATTTTATCATTTGAGACGAGGAAGAGGATTTTTCACGATGCAGTAATCAATAGGGTAAAGGGGATTAGTTTATGGGCAAATTTAAATGATAATCTTAATTTGATTGATAAATGATAAATGTCAGGAGATAAAATTGTATAGCTATTTTTGTAAAGTAGTTTTTGTTTCTCGGGATAAGAAGTTTTTATTTTATTTTTTAATTTTAAGAAGGGATGACACGTGGCATAATGGTTTATGCAATATGGTGCATTTGGAGCCAAAAATTTTTAATAAGAAATTGCCACATCGGCATCTTATATTCTTCTTTAATAGGGTAAAAAGGAATAAGCATAAAAATAACTATAAAAATTAATATGTAGAGATTTCCGTGTTCCATGATAATCAACATATGCATTTATAAATATTGATTTTATAGAATGCATCTTAATTACCGGCAAAAGATCTCCTACATCATAAACCTACATCACTTCCTACTAGGTGTATGCACAGTCCGGGTGATCCGATTTTTAGTCTAAATTGTAAACCAAACCACTAAAACGGTTTGAACAATTTTGAATCCAAAACCAAACCATTCCTCATCTGGAAATCGGACCAAACCAATCCGTAATCAATGGTTTGGTTTTGCGGTTTCACGGTTTCACTTTAACTTTAAGTTTTTTTAAAAAAAATAATTTTAGGCCAAAACTTGAGCCTTTCATTTTTTTTCTTTGGCAAAAAAAAATAATTTTTTTTAATTTGCAACAAAAAAAACTATAACTTTTTCTACCTATTTCAATTCAACACATGCAAAAAACTAATGGTCGATAACTTTGAATTGAGAAATAAAAATTCAAATAGTTACACTTCAACTTTTAAAAGTCTAGAAAAATATTTCAAAAAAGTAAAAAAAGCGTCGGAAAAATTTTTGAGAGACAACAAAAATAGTGTACAAAAGAAGGGGGGAAAATGAAGGATGAGAGCTTTTGAAATTCAAAAGAAAAATATTAAAAAAAGGGCAAAAAACAATCTAAGAAAAGAGATTTAAGGGAATCGAAATTAAGAGTTATGACTAAACATGATACTGAGTTAATTAAGTCTATTAGGTCACAAGTTGTGACTAATATTGTACATTACTATATATGTAGAAAATTCTAATATATGTAGCTATTACTAAACGATTCGGTCCGGTTAATCTACGGATTTTGTACATGAAATTGTAAACCAAACCGTTTGCTTCTGGTTTTTAAATTTTGAAACCGCCGGTTTTAAAATAAAACTTTGAAACCAATCCAGAACCCAAACCGCTGTCCGATTTGACCGGTTTGAACCAATCCGTGCACACCCCTACTTCCTACATCACTCACCAAAATTTAACACATAACTCTGACGGGTTAATCTAATGGTGGGTCAGGGTATTAGTAAATTTTTAAAAAAGAAAAATAATAATTGAATACAAAAATGTGATAAATTTTATATAGTGGTTGTGGTAAGAGTGTGGTGTAAGTAGGCATGACCACGGTTCAGAACTGCCAGTTCTAGTTCATGAACTGCCGGTTCACGGTTCAGGAAACAGATGAACCTTAATCGGTCCTTAACTCTTCGGTTACGGTTCGTAAACCTCCGGTTAAGGTCCAGTTCCGGACCGGTTCCAATTCTCAACCCTCCGGTTTGTTGACGGTTTTAATCCGGTTTTTTACGATTTTAACTTAATTTTTTTACAATTCTTTTGTGTTGTGTTTTTCAAAAAAAAAATTGAAAATTTCGTGTTTGGTTTTTAAAGCAACTTATTCAAATCCTCAAAATATGTTTATTATAATATATGATTGTTAGTCTAGCAAAAAAAAATTAATATAAATTCTTTTAACTAAATTTTGGATAGCTTCACATGTATTTTCTTGATTTTATAAATAATAACAAAAATAAATATATTAGGCAATATTTAAAATTTATTCAAAAATATGAATTATCATTATATTTTTTCTAAATATAGAAACAACAAAACATAATATTAACAAAAAAAATAAAAATCACATACTTTGAGCACTACAATAGTAACGGGCTAATCATTAATAAATGAAAAAATATTTATTTAACCCCTAATTAATTAGATTACCCACTTAATTTTAAGTATTTATTTGTTGAGACGCTATAAATCATATTTAAAACATAAGGGTGATATGGAAAACAAATTCAAAAATTATTATTGAAAAACAAAATATTATTTGATATAACCACAAATTAGAAAATGGACATCTATTTTGAAAATGAGATGGTAATTAACATTTTTATGTTTATAAAAACTAATATTTTTATACTTATTTTTTATGAAACTGACAGTTAACGGAGGTTTTTGACGGTTTGGACCGCCGGTTTGAACCGCCCATTTACGGTTTTTGAAAGGCTTAAACCGTAACCGACTCTTGACTAGACGGTCCAATTACGGCTTTGTGAACCGTAACTCACGGTTTGGGTCCGGTTCATGAATCGACGTTCTGGTTCCCGTTAAAACAAAACCGTGGTCATGCCTAGGTGTAAGAAATCTTTAGCCTTAATTACCATATTGGGGGGAAATATTCTTGATATTGTTTGTAAGAATAATCAACTTTTTTTAATTAATGAAAGCGTTTATTCTTTCCTGGCTATAGCTAGTTTCACTAATTTTGTGATAGGTTCATATTCATTCTCTCATTTTTGCCACTATTTCGTCCTGAGAAAGAGAGAAAAAAATCACTTTAATGAGCTAAAAGCAATTCTAACGGAGTGATTATTATTTTAAAACCAAGAGAATAAGACCTACATGAATTTTGATGGCAGCATTTTATATTTGACAAAATTCACAAAAAATAAAAGTATATATATAGAAACCCACTTGGAAATCTGGTTAGAAAATGCTGTATTTCTAATGGAGTCTCCCGTAATTATTACTAGTCCAAATCGTTTGAGGACACTATTTCGTTTAAGCAAACCTGTTCTCAAATTTATATATATTGTTTTTTCAGTTCTTTCTTGCTTAAGATTTGTGATACCTTTATCATCGGAATTATGTAGCAGAAATCAATTATTCTGAATCACATAAATGCATCGATTCTCTCTGTATGGAGAGCAATATAGTATAAAAATGCATGCATATATTCTAGCCCCTTTTCTTAATCTCTAATCTAGCCAGCTACATATAATGTTCCTAGATTGTTAAGGTACTGGTTTTCATCAAAATTCGATGTCATTGCCAGATATTATACTTAACTCGTAGCTTACTAGGTTAATAAGATGACCTATTACCGGGAAAAAAAAAAAAAAACAATTCGATGTCTTTACTTCAAGGAATATAAAGTTTTTTTTTCTTTAAATAAAAAGGAAAGGTGACTTAGGTATACCTTTTTCCCCAAAGATTTGGAAACCTTTTTGTTTTGGGTAAATTACAGTCATTAGCTAGCTTGAAGGCTCAAGCTATGTAACTGGAGAGAGCATTAAAAAAGGTTTAGGCTGATAACTTTTTAGGTTTTGTTTTACTCAGTTCGGTACTATAAATTTATTTCCTTTCAAAATTATTACTCACTCTGTCCCAAAAATATTGTCCAGTTTGAGATTTCACTTTTAGTACAATTTGAACCAGAAATGAAAGTCCAAATTAGACAGTAATTATGAGACGGAGGGAGTATTTAATTTTATTTTTTTTGGATAATTTCAAAATTATGTTTGAGTAAAAGTAAGGAAGGTTAACAATCTAGTGTCTCTTCGTTCATCTTTAAAATCAGTTAATTTCATCGAATCAAATCTTTAAAATAATATAAAAATATAAATATTTATGTGAGATGGAGGGAGAAGTATATTAGTATTGTAAATTATGAAACAATACAAGGGGGGGAGAAAAAAATTAAAAAAGATACACTATAACAAAAATGAAGGGTTAATTCAATGATATGTCCTAATTCGATATTAGAAATTACGAACGAGGGTACTTTAGACTTTCCGTTAATATTTTCTTACATCTTTCTAAAAAGTAAGGGTGAACACTATTACAATTTACAACCAACCACAAGTAAACTAGACAGTTAAAAATGTGACCAGAGTTTAACAACCATAGTGGATAATTTTCATATCTCGCAATCTGTGCCGCTTTTTTTCCTTTAAAAAACAAAAATCGGAAAAACAAATAAAGAAAGAGAAAGGTAAGGGGATAAAATCAAGCAAAGCTGCATGGTCAGCAAGGGACACAAGTGTCATTTTCGACCCACATTTTAAGGTTCATATTTTTTCTATTTCCTCTCTCTCTCTCTCTCTCTCACACACACACACACACCACACAACCGAAAACGACTGCAAGCAACCTGTGGTCTACCTGTTGATATCCCCCTTTATGCTCACATCAAAAACAATTTAATTAAATTTTAAATTTAAAAAAAAATATCACAAAATACTGTTGATTCTCACACACACACACACACTAAAAAAGTTTAAAAAAAAAAAAAAAACTCTCTTTCTTTATTAGCTATAAATACCCGCACACACACCCATTGAAAATTGAAAATCAAAATTATAATCCAAACAAAGCCAGAGAGTCCAATTGTTTGTTCTCAGATTACACCGACTCACTCACAAGGGTAGAAGGGAAAATAACCATATCAGCGGCGGCGATAATCGGCTAGGCAACGATCGGCGATCAGAGAGGAAAATGGTGGATTACCAAATAGTTTGTTGTATGTGCGGCGATGTGGGCTTCCCGGAGAAACTCTTCCGCTGCAACAAGTGTCATAACCGCTTCCAACACTCGTAAGTATTTCTATATATCTCTCTCTCCGTGTGTGAGAAAGCCACCGCCAAAATTAAACTACCGTCATCGCAGATTAAAGTTGTTTGTTTAGTGTGTGAGTGTGTGTGAATTGTTTTGTTACGATTCACACATACATCATCATCATCATCATCATCATTATGCATGCATGTATACGATTTTATCATCAACTCAATTATTCATTTAACTACCTCATTTGCAGTACACCACCACCGGCTCCGTCATAGTCCGACGGGATTTTTTAATTATTTTTTTCCGGCACCCTTTGATTTTTGGCAGGTATTGTAGTAACTACTATAGTGAATCATCGGAGCCGATCGAAGTATGCGATTGGTGCAAAAGCGAGGAAAGAAGTGCGCCAAGAAACTCAAGGAAATCATCAGCAACAACAGGGGAAAGAATCAAACAGAATGATCATCATCGTGAAGAAGGTTCTTCAGAAAACAGAGGCAAAAACAATACCCCATCTCCTCGGACTTCAACTCGAAGGTACAAACTTCTCAAGGATGTAATGTGTTGAAGAAGAAGAAGAAGATCAATCAAGATCGATGGCCAAGGAAAAAAATTAAGATGGTGTCAATATCAGTAGAGAGAGCTAGTTAATGCCATAGTTAATGTCACAAATTAAGTAGCTTTTATGAGTGTTTAATTTTCCTTTTGACTTATTATGAGAGTTATATTATCATGTTCCGCTTTTATCTTTCCTTCAACATTAATCAAGCAGTACAATACTAGTACAGTTACTTACTCCTCCTTAGTTCCTAAGTTAATCGTGTGGTTCTCGTTCTTTTCACTCCTTTTAGTTTGACCTCTTTTTCACATTGAAGCTTTTAGGGTCTTCCTTTTTTCTTGCAATTTTTTTAGGTGATAACTGATATAAGTCATCCTCTTGAATTGAATGTTGAGTAAATCAGCCGATGACAGGTCTTATGGCCGAGATTATGCATGGATTATAAGCCTGTGCATAAGCTCAATCGTAATTTTACTAAAGAGTATGGTTAATTTCGTTTAGAATTACTAGCTTACTAGAGAATATGGTAAATTTCGTACAAGGATAATGGATAATGCGTTCAATCGTAATCATAGTGTGCTGCATGATCACTTAAAATCACTCTGACTTACTAAAGAGTATGGTAAATTTCGTACAAGGTTGAAAAGGAGTAGGGTTTTGTGGGTGGGTAGGGAGGGGGAATGGGATTGTCTTTGTCCCAACTAGGGGGTTTTCTACTTTCTAGGTGTAAAAATTGAATCCTCCCAATAGCAATTTGGTTTTGGCTTTTTCTCTTGGTTATGTTTCTTGGAGAAGTTGTATTCAATGCGGTTTTTGGTTCCTTTGTGCCAAAGAAATCCATAGTACCCAAAAGCAGATGCTTACTTTTTTTTTTTTTTTCCAGATTCATTGAAGGTATAGTATTTATTATACCCCTCAATTATTGTGTTCTCGATTCAAGAAGATCAATGACAATGTGCCATCATTTTTTTAATCGTAATCCGTTATTTTTATTTTTTTTTGCTTTGAATGGAATATGATATCAAAAAATAGCAGTAGCGTAACAATTATGAATACGTTTATTAATATACATTCTTATAAAATATATTGTGTAGCTAGTTGTAGAGTTATTCAAAAAACAAAATGAACGAGATCTTTTAAGTGGTAACAACGGTGATGAGTTGAAAAATAATTTGTCTATTAATTAAGTGCTCAAAATGGACTTTTAAATAAAGACATAGGTACATTAAATCTAAAACTGCTTGATAGTTAGTTAGGGATTAGTAAAGATGATTAGTAGTATTAAGAAAGGGTATGTATATTATCATATATGCGGGTTAGGTTAGTTTTTGTTTAAGAGCCAACTCCAATCCAAGGTGCTGTCTGGCTGTAGTGACCCTTAAATTGGGAGTCACCCTTGAAACTTGAAAGTACAACATAGATGAGATCGATGACACACACAGTCTCCTCCACTACTACCACTATCTGTTTTGTCCTTTTTTGGAACTCCAAACAGTGGACTACTGGTTCTTAATTTGACCATAGAACCAAACTATATTACTATATATGCATAGTAACAACCATAATCTTTCAGTACTGCCAAGATCCCCCTCTTCTTCAACCTTATTTCCATTTATTATGTGTTGCCCCCACATGCATTTTTCCCTTCTTTGTCTGTTTCCTTCTTTTTTCCTTGTATTCTAAACAGCACAAATCGAAGAGAGACATCCATGTGATGTAGTACTATATTGTTCATATATTTTTTCTTTTTTTCTTTAGCAAAATATATTTTTTTTATATTTACAAATACAGGGTGTCTATCATCGGCTAACTAATCCCCCTTTTTTTCTTTAGCAAAATATTTTTTTTTTTATATTTACAGGGTGTCTATCATCGACAACAGTAACTAATCTCCCTCGCTGAATTGTAGGCACCTCGATGGGTGTGATAGCTCGCCAAAGTATTTAAGGTTGTTCCATGCCCATGACGAAATTCGAACCCTCGACCTTTGGATAAGAGTAAAGGAGTCCCTTCCACTCCACCACAACCACTTTGGTTAGCAAAATGTTTATCGTTGATAATAATAATTGCTCCTATTAATTTATCTGTTATATATGTTAGAAGCACTCCTGTAAATGAGATAACTGATCATAGAAATTAAGGTCGTAAATTAAAGTCTTACTTACATTAAAAAATGACAAAAGCTATAAAATCACAAAACTAGTAATCTAATTATAAAAGGTTGAAAGGACGTCAAATCTCACTTTAGATGGAGTAGCCTTTAATGTTGTAGCTGCTTAATCATCTCATCCATCAAATTTGTATAACTCAACGAAGAGATAGTATCTAATACGGAAGTGAACACGTTAGTTACATGTATAAGAAGGAAACTCTAGAAACAGATCAAATTTTTTTTCTTTTTCTTTTTTGCGTTTAGGGTTTTCTTGGAAGAGGTAAGGAAAAAAGGGTGTTTCCAACTTTCCATGATATCATGTCTCTCTATTATAATACAATGCTACCTTACGTACATGCACTTTTCTTTGTCAGAAAATTATGTGTGTTGTGTATGATCAAGTTGAAGCTGATCACATGGTTGCTTAGCCTTTGGCGACTGACTTCATGGCTTTTTCCAACTCTCAAGCTAAGTAGTAACACGTGGAAATGTGGCATTTAAGTACTTGCGTACTACGTCCTATTTATGCTCTATTTAATTCGTTTGCAATTATTCTGGTCTGCTCGCCGACGTAGTTCCGTTTGCCTGAGTTAATGCTCAAGATAATATAAACGGTTTTCCTTTTTCTCTTCCATCGTTGAAAGTCAAGGACGATACCATGGTGTATTTGGAATTTAGAAACAAGACATTATGCTAAGTATTTTGAATCTTTAGTGATGAAATTAATCAATCCAGAGATGTTCTATTTGATTCACATGAAATTGGGAGTTGGATCCTAAAAAAATAGTTCAAAAATAAATAATTAATGAATTTACTTGGTTCGTTAGGTTTATGTTATGAACTTGATATGGAAGTAGGAGATCACGAGTAATTTAATTATAATTTCTTTTGATCTGAAATAATTGTCGAGTTTGGGACGGAAAGATAACAAAAGAAATTTATTTAATTACATAAGTGAGTGGGAATAGTGGTAAGGAAGAAATGGAGCAATATCCCAGGATCGAAGCATGCGCGAGGCGACCGACTAAATGGCATGGAGTGCGACCCAAAGGCTACAAATTTATTGTGTCAACACATCAGGCGACATTCAGCTTTGCTTCATGACATCGGACGTTTTGCAACAAAGTATTTATATTGGTGGACCAAAAACCTCTGCAAGCACAAATGGGTTAATTTATGTGGTTCCCAATTGGATTTTTTGGAATCGTTGGAGTGAGCCACCAATATCATAATTATTTGATCTGAGAGGCTCCACACCACACTTTAAATTTTCAGCAAAAACGTATAGTATGTCTTTGATTTTGGACGGACAGATAGAGACTTTTATATATATATATATATATATATATATATATATATATATTCGTGTCACATCTTTTCACGTGCTCAATTTTTTTTTGATTTGAAACATCTAGACCTGGGATATCTACTTTGATGCAATTCTCTGATATTTTTGTAGCCATGTATATGTTGGGAAAAAGAGGGAAAAAAAGAGAGAGGAGAGAATTAAAACAATTGAGCTGTAGTTGACCAAATATTAATTCACATAGTTGAATTATATCAACGAGATTTCATATGAAAGGTTTTTATTCATTAAAATAAAATAGTCTCACGTATCATGTAGTTAAAAAAATATACCTCTCATTGTCCTGAGTAGCGTTTTGAAGTTAGAAAAGTGCTATGATCGTTCATGGTGAGACCATCAAAGAAATCTAAGAATTCTTAAGAATTGGTTTTGAAGAAAGATTAGCATTTGTTCTGCTATTTCCTTTTGCTTACGTGGTTAAAACATGATTTAATCGAGAGTTTTCACAAGCATATATATAGTATTTTAGGCTACTAAGTCTTGTCCTCCTTCATTATATAAAAAATAAAAATAAAAAATAAAAATTATACACCTCTCAACTAAGGAATGAAGTTTGATCTATTTTCATTTTTCATATTTCATTGGACAGTTTCAATGTTTTACCGTCTGAATCATTACTCTTGCAGTAATGTAATAAAGTAAATTGGTCTAAAATAAAAATTACACTTCTGGAATGAAGAGAATATATTATTTTACTGTTCTTTATTTTTTTTTAGTTTGTTTGTTTGTCAGGGATTCGGATTGGCATGATATGTAGAACTTCAATAATTTTATTTATTTCTTTTGAATATATACTTCAATAATTTATTTTATTTACAAACAACAAAGTAGAATTTCATCAATTTTAAAGTTCATAATTCGTTTGAACGATGAAAGACTTTTTATGTGGTTCAGGTCATGGTTGTTGACTTGGAGATACCTATAAGACGTGGAGTGTCTTTTACATCGACACGTGGATGCCACTTGGACGGAGATTTTGTCAAACTTTGTTTGAAGCCACATTCTGGTGTCCTCCCTGGCGCACGATGATGATTTTGATATTGGGGTGCACAATGATGGATGGATGGGATCCCTTCGCAAACCCACCCACTCTTCCTTGGACTTTCTATACTTTTGCCAAATTACGACTTCATTCTTCAAATTTACAAAATTACGCATGTTATCAAATTGGGTTCATGACTACCTTTAACTTATATTCTTTCGGTCTCAAAAAATAATTCACAATAAATTTTTAATTTTGTAAATCTCAGAATTTAGTGTGGAATATTTTTTTAAACCATAAAGAGTATTTTTTTTTTAATTGAAAGTATAGAAAAATATATTAAGATTCAAGAGCCACGGACATTTCATTTATTTTCTTTTGTTGTGCAAGAACAATGTTGCATAGTGTGGACTTAATTTTAGTGATAATACTTGATATGGTTTTGGAAGTTGGGATGATTAGGGCAGGTCTGCGATTGGGACCGATGATAAGTTGATAACTATGTAGTGCAGACAACGTAGTAATCTAGTCTAATCTAAGAGATTAAGCATGAAGATCTTGACAAATCCATGACCTAATTTCAATTTTCCTGTTTGTGAAATTCCATTCATACAAGTTACAACCACGGTAAGGCATTCAAAGTGTACTAGAATAATAACACTAGAACCTGGGGATTTTCCAATTTGGTAATCGTATTTTAGACAGTTTGGAAAAAAGAATTTAATTATTTCAATATCTGATCTTTGAAGAAAAAATCTTCTTTCTCAACCACAATAATAGATTCACATTTTTAAAGAAAGCACTATCAACTAATTTACCGAAATGGGAAAAGAAAAGGGAAAAGGTGTCATACCAAAAGCTGTTACTTAATTATTTGTTTTTATAGCGTTTTAGTTGGCCAAACCAAAAGCCTGGTTCTTTTTTTTAGGGGTACCTAATCTCTTTGTTGTTATCATCATCATTAAAAGTGTGATTAAGATTAATTGGAGTTGACATCTTAATGTGATGAGGGTCCCATTTGGGATGACAAAAACTTCTTCAACTTTTGTTATCATAAATCATTCAAAAAAAGATTCTTAGCAAATCCGAAGTTGTCAATTCGAATGATGGGTATATCGGAAAGATCATGACATTGTCTTTTTCATTCACTAATTAAGCTTGCCAATACAAAGTGGTGAATCAACCCAATTGACAACTTCCGACCACTAATTAAGTATCTTTGGGGTAATCAAAGTAGCAATGAAACTTATTTATGCTTCCAAGTTGTTGAGAATACACAAGAAAGAAATTGAGGGAACGTACATATATGTTTTTTGATTTGTTGTTCCATTTCTTTGGCTTTATTGTCATTTATACAGAGCGTGAGTCAAACGTTATGAACTTACTATACACATTACAATAATATATAACTAAGTCACAATATTAGACAAATTCGTCCCAGAATTTGTTTAACACAGGTTTTATGGAGTCTAAAACCATGATTTCCCAAAGTAGAAGCCAAGCTTTGATACCTAATTATGTAGCCATATCTTGGGATATGTATGTACTATCATAAGTGGATAAAATGAGTTCAGTTCGTTGATGATATGGGCAATAAGAATCCGATTAAATCTGACAAACTAAGACCGAAAGAATGAAATTTTGTCTTGAAAAGAATTGGTTTATATCAGTCAAAAACCCAAAAATGGCCCCCTCTAAATTGATTGTAGCCACATACGTCATAAATTATTTTTGTCAAAAGTGAATTTAAAACTTTGGGGGGCGCCGGGGGTGTTGGGTTTAAAACAAACTTTTGTCTGTGGGTGAAAGTACAGTATATTGATGTAACTTAATTTCCAACTAGGAAACATGTAACATATCAAGATACTGCAATCTTCATCAGTAATGAGTCATCAAAAAATTACGAAGGTGCTTCATAGCGAAGAAAACGTGTATTTCAAAAAGCCCATAACTCTTTGAGATTATGAGTTTCAAGTCAACAAATTAAACATGCACCTAAGATGATATATATACACATAATGATATATAATACATCCCTTAATCACAGAAAGCCAGCAGCTATAAGATCACTCCAATCATCAAAGCAAAAAATGTTGAAAACAAAATAAGAGTTCTCAAATGAAATGCACCTGCATCATTAGAATAAATCTCGGATTCTAAAAAACCTCCAACCGTAAAATTAGGATTAGTACCATAAAGTGCTTGAATACCCCTAACATCATCAAGCTTCAAATCCACCTTCTTTTCTCTAGGCTTCAAGCTTGGATACATGACAGATTCCTTCACAGACGAATGAGCTAAACCCAACAAATGCCCGATCTCATGAGTCGCCACCGATTCCAAATCTATCGCGACCTTGGATTTCTCGCTCTCGAAATCCACCGCCCATGTCTCCGCCGCATCAAGATGAAACCTTCCACTTTCCGGCGAAAATGCATGGGCCAACACCCCTAAAACCCCGTCGAAAGCTTCTCCGTCGCCGTGATCGCCGTTATAAAACCCTATCTTTATATCCGCGAATCCGTAATCATCGCTTTCAATGAATGTTACCGGGATGACTGATTCCCAATGCCCAAATGCACGTTTAAATGCGTCCCTTATGTTTGTCATGCTTAAGGAAGTGATCATATCGACAGGAGAAAACGAATATGTCAAAGTCATTGGTACCCCGCGATTCCATCTGGGTTGATCTTGAAAATACGCGAATTTTCTCGTTGCATGGAACCGACTTTTTGGTTTTGGATTGTGATGATGATGACGATCTCTTACTCCGCATCTTGGAGACATGATTTGGACAAGTGTTTGGTTGTTTAGGGTACCTGTAATTGGAAGGCCTAATCTGGCTTGATATCTGATTACGGCATGTTCGAATTTCGCATCAAACACATCGGAGAAGTTTTGGTTTTCTTGAGGTTTTATTAGATAGCCGAAACGATGGAAATACTTCTTCAGCTCGGACATTTGAGTTACATTGCTTCCTCTTCTTGCATCAAGGAATGTTTCGAATTTCTCCCAGTTAGAGTACTTGTAAGAATTCATTGGGATTGTTGGAGAAGAAAGGCATGGTGAAGTACTGAATAGAAGAAGATTGATGAGGAGAAAAATGGCAGGTGATATTAGAGAAGAAAACATGGGTACTGTTTTGTAGTCTTTCCTTAAATGAGGTGTGACATTTGGACGTCTATATATAAATATATGGAAGATAGTTAGTCTTACAAAATAAGATCACATTTCGGATGGTTAATCTTACTTGATCAGGAATTTACTATATATAGATAGGATCGAAGTTAATTATCAAGTCAAGTTCAGGTTTGTAAAGTCAAAATTGTTTGTTCGAAAGATGACTTCATTTTGCAAAAAACATAAAGATGATGGAGAAGTTGAAGATGGATGAATCTTCTTAATTAGTTGTGGTTGTAGGTTAGGTATCATTTTCATTTATGGATGCGTTGATTCTGACTTGTCGACTACGGAGTGAAATAGTTTGATATCAATATGTACACTATACTATTAGCCTCTAATTATCTTCCAAGGAAATCATGTGAACGTAGTTCATGTTGTCCTAGTTTTTTTTTTTTTTTTTTCTAATACAACTTCTTTCTGCGATATTAATATTATTTGAAACTCAATTTTAAAGTTGTGTATTATAAGTAGGAGCGAAATGAAAATTTAATCGATAATCAGAAAAACGTCGCTACGTGCGTGCTAACATTATTAGTCAAATTTAGTAATGTTGGATTAGGCGAGGAGTAGAGAATTTGGTTAAAGGCTTTTTCTTTTTTGGGGTTTTAGTGGTAGAGGGTGTCAGAAGCAAGCAGATTGTTTCAATTTCAAGTTAAAAGGAATTTTGCGGTGACGGAATGAAGCAAAAGAGTAATAGTGCAGCATGCACACATTCTTGGATCAGTACAATATCCAGTTGCTTCGTACCAGAATGTCTGTTAATACCGGAATTGGTTAAAACTTTATGATTGATTGATTCCTTATTTTCTTCGATTCCCCCTCCTGTCCTGAGAGAGGGTCCAGAATTCGTTGAAGAAGTATGAATGACTCAAAGCAACTGCTTCAACTTCAAGTCTCCTATACGTACGTTGACCCCGTATGTTTATATATTTCTTTCATAAGGAATTTGTGTGTTACTCCAACTCTAATCCGTAGGATATAGTTTGTACACTCGTTAAATGGTATATAATTATCCATATTTTGTTAGATTCGGAGCGTTTTTTTTTTTTTTTTTGAAGGGTGATTCGGAGCGTTTGAATTCGTCCTCATGCACAAATTTTTGGGCTACTTATTCTTTGAGATACTATGGAAGAAAATCGGTTTGCGTTGACGATAATAGGTATAGGTGTGATAGATAAAAAGTAAAATAAGATAATTTATGGGAAAAGGACAAACCCGAGTTATGTCTTAAAGGCTAATATCACCCCGAGTTTTTCTATAAAGATAATTACCCCCCTTGACCACTAGTCAACTGTATAATTGACCCCCTAACAACCAAAATAATAAAAATACCCTTTTCGTCTAAATATAATTTTTTGATCCACATTTTGTCTTTTTTTTTCAATGGCTTATTTTGCTTAATAAATCATTGAAGAATTTACTTATGAATAATAATATTCACCAATTTTTTTGAAAAACAATTTTTCAAAAATATAATTAATTTTAGTGACAAATTAATTTATTTGGGGTTGAATTTTGTTTCAAGAAAGGATATAATTTGTCCCTAAAAAATAGTATCATTTTCAACATTATTCATGTTTTGAATTAGTCCATTGTTGTTAAAATTAATGTAGAATACAGTTGAAAGTTTATCATTTTTTTAAAAAGAAATTCAACCATAGATAAATTGGTATTTACTCAAATTATTATTATTATTTTTTTAAAAAAGTATGTTTTTGTAAGAAAAATTGGTAAATGTCTTATCCTTAAATAAATCTTTTGGCAATTTGTTAAACAAAATAGGTTTTTGAAAAAGGTAAAATTTATCCACAAAAAATTGATTTTAGGTGAAAAGGGTATTTTGGTCATTGTTTACATATTTTTTTGCCATTTTTTCCCTGGGGGGGTCAATTATGTCCTTGAGTCAAGGTTGATAATTTTTCCTTATAGAAAAACTCGGGATGGTATTAGTCTTTGGTACATAGCTCGGAGGTTTGTCCTTTTCCCATAATTTATTCATCAGGGGCTGGAGATAAGCCTAAGTAATGGATTACATTAGGCCAGGAGTGACACCATCAATACTTGACGGAGAGTGTGAAGTCTGCGACAATAATGAGGCCTGAATTGGGTAAACTTAAGTAGCCCAGCCCACTTTTAGCAAGATCCAAGAAGTTTTAGAGAAGGACAAAAAAAAAACAAAAAAGAAAAAGGAATTACATTGTCACAATTCACAACCAAGGAAATATTACATTCACTTTGATCGACAAGTATTCCTATAATTATTTCGGGATCGAATGTTTACGCCTGGGAAAACTGATATTCAAAAAGAATATCCTGAATAAGTGATCAAACATCTAATAATATTGATCCATAACATGTGGTGGTTGATATTTCATAAAGGAATTAGTACAGTTAATATCAGTGTGAAAAGATTATTATAAAATTAAGGGGATGATTTTGCGAATACTTTTTAACATCCAGGACAAAAATTACATCTTCTACCCTTTAAACGTATCTTTCTCTCTCTCCTCTGTTTCTTATACTTTTCTCTCTCAAATTAATCCCATCATACCTCCACCATCTTTGCCGGCAACGTTTTTTTTACTTTAGCACGGGGGATGGGGGTGGGGGGAGGATGGTTCAGTTTAAATCGCTTTTTTCTTCTCCTAATACTCTAATCAAGAGTAAAGATGTATTCCTTCTGTCCCAAAATTATTGTTCAGTTTGAGATTTCACTTTTAGTATAAATTGAACTAAAAATGAAAATCCAAACTGAACAATAATTATGGGTATAAATTGAACTAAAAATGAAAATCCAAACTGAACAATAATTATGGGATGGATGGAGTATTACAATAATCCAGTTCTTGAAATTTATTATTTCCCCTTCGGCGTCCAAGTTTGCTGAAAAATTGCAGGTTTACACAAGAAAAATCTGCAGCCGCTTAAGTGATATTTGGGGTGAGGTAAACCATTCTTGCGCACAATTCCCCATTGTCAATAGTTTCTTTTAGGGAGTTTTCTGCTCAAAAATTTGACATGCCCGTACAACTGGAATTTTGGGCCGTCCTTCCGGGATTTTGATCCAAACAGGACTTTGGAGAAGGATTCCTCCCCGAACTAAATTCTGATCGTGGACCAATGTCATTAATTTCTTAATGTCATTGAATTTTGCAAAGTTGTTGCAATTCTAAGTCCCGCAAGAAGGCTTATTTCAGAGCATGGAATCGCCAAACCTCATTTTATAAATAGATTTGTAATTGGCTAATTGCTCGACAACTCGCCAGAGCTTTTTTGGCTTAATTGCGCAAAAAATTGATTTCCAATGTTGGGTTGATGTACCTGCAATTTTACCTAGGCAAGCAGAGATAAACATGTTGATAAGAAAGAGGGCCGGGAGAATAGAGGAAGGAAGCTGGCCTTTGACCGCGTAAGGATAATTTAGGAAAAAAAATGTTATTTTTGTTTTGGATGTTGGGGAAAAAATTCTAGGGTCCCGTTACTTATTTTTGAGGGTATGGTCCCATTAAAATTTATCCAATAGGGAAATGACACATTACTATGATATTAAAATTATCTAATTTTTTTTATTTATTTTTTTGTGATCTTTGGGGGAGGTAAGCTTATCATAGTATCAAGTATACTTATCAAAATTTTTAAAAATAAATATTTTAGGAAACTTTCAACATTCAAAATAATAAAATCACTAATTAAATGTTTTTTTTTACTGGTTTGTATTGCACAAATATTCACATGCTATTGCACATTATTTTATAAAACATTGCACACCTAAATCAATAATTAATTACACCTTCTGGTATATGTCTTTTTATTTTTATTGTAACTAAATAATAAATATCAAATGCACTTTTGATGATGCTATTGCATATACTGAATAAAAATACTTTGCACATTCATTTTTCAAGTAATTGCATTATACCAAAACTTACCATATTAAGTCTTCTGATTTCATTTCTACACTGCAAAAAGTAAATATGTGTGATTGTACATTTGCTCATTACAAATTACACCTATATTTATACATGAATGCAAATTGGCTAATAAATCATTGCACCATTTAGTAATTTCACTTTTTTATTTACAACATTACTTATAAACCTTACTGACCGATTATTTATGATTATGTTAAATAATAGAATTTTATTTAAATTTACTAAGAATTTTTTATTTTATTTTTTTCAGTGTCATAATAGATATACAAACATTGCACCTTTGAGCATACTATTGCAAATTCAAAAAGATTGCACTATGTAAACCAAAAAAAAATAAAATAAAATGATTGCACTATCAAAACTTATTATAATGATCAATTAATTTTATTGGTTGCATATTTGGTCATTAAAAATTGCATAAAAAGATTGATACATGATTACACACTACCTAAAAAAATTGCACTACCTGTTATGTATTTTTAGCACATGAACCCAATAATTAGAATTTAGTATAATGATAGATACATTTTTTTTGAAGACTTAGATAACGAAAATATATACTAAACAATTACATAACCATGCACGTCTGTAGTAAAGAAGAATCAGAAAATATCCCCAAAATTCTTCTGTGTAGTGATATTGAAAAAATTCTAAAACAAATCACATCATAGTCTGATAAAAGAACACATACAGACGATTCAAAAAGAAATAAAACAACAAAAGATTTTAGGAAAAATATGAATCACAATTAAGAAGAAATCATTTTTTTTTTTGGCAAAAAACTCCTAAAGAATGACGACGAAGTAAAGTCTAGTGGTAAGATGCTTCAATTTTGACCAATAAGTCATGGGTTTGAGTCACACCGAGAGTAAGTGACGAACTACTATTAATCCTTTTTTTTAAAAAAAAAAAAGAAAAAAACCTCCTAAAGAATAACAAAATGAAAAAATGGAGCGACAATATATGTATAAAAAGGGAAATAAAGGAAGGGGAGAGGAGAATGACCAGATGAGGAGAGAGGGAGAAAAGTCTCCATTAAATTGTATTCCATATATATATCATTTGGCAACCGGTTACCTTTTTTATTTTTTATATATTTAATATAAATTGTATGGTTATGATCAATTTAGACTTATCTAATGGCTATTAATTAAATAACAAGACCATATTCTTAAAATTAATAACGGAATTATAGTTTTACCCAGATTTTATTGTGACAAAACCACAAGCCTAAAATCATCAATTAATAAGTAATAATTTGCGCAATGGTCTTATCTTCTTGTTAATAGTGCACAATCTTTCCTTCTCTTCTTTTTTTCCCCTTCTAGATAGTGACAATATTCGATCCATTGATATATTTAGGTCGGTTAATTGAGTACTCACGAGAAAATGCTACCGTCAACGTTTGCCCCCTCCCGTTCTGTGTTAATACTAGAAAATTAGTTCCGAGAGAAAGGAAGAACATATCAAGGATGAAAAAGGAGGAAAAAAAATGGTCCCCAATTTCGTCAAGCACAAAAAATTTATCACTTTCTTTTCGTTTTTATTTGTAGTGTTTCATTAAAAGAAACAAAATACTGCAAGACGTAAGCGAATTTATGAATGATGCAACAAAGGACTGAAGGAGTAGTATTATTCTCAGTGATTCTTCATTGCGTTTGGTACCCAAGAGGCCAAGAGACCAACTATACAGTATTCAGTACTGGAGAATAACGTTGATGAACTCCACGTGTCAACACCCCATTAATCGATATCTCAATAAACGTATTTATACGTATGTTCGATTTTTGTTTGAATTACATAGAAATAATTGTTGTTTTTGTTTCTTTCTTATTTTTCAACATTGCATACCACTATCATTAATGTTAAAGTAGTCACAGCTTCTTTCTTTTCTTTTTATTTTGTTTTCTTTTATCATTGTCACTATTGTTAAAATTATTTTCACTAAATATATCAGTTTTACTAAAGAAAATTAATATTATTAGAGTATGAATTGTTAAGAATGCTTTACTTAATTATCCATCAATAAAGAATGCACATTGAAATTGAGCCCCATAGAGACAATAGAGAAAAGAAGAAAGAAATACAAAAGGGATAAAAAAGAAAGAAAATGGTCCCCTCTTTCTCATGCCCAAATCTTTAAATATCACTTAAGTTTGTTTTCGTTAGGTGTTTCATTAAAAGAAACAATACTGCAGAGAGATGTACATGTAAGGATCAAGGCAACAAGAAGGATTTCAGTGATATGCTTCTTTGGTTTGTCACCCAATTTCCCAACTATACACAGAATAGTACGGGCGCCGGAGATTTTGTTAATGAAGTTTGATGAACTCTACGTGTCAATAACCCATTTATTTCGCCAAGTACACACAAATTAATTACCACATCTCTCACATTAATATGTTTGAATCGTTTTTAGAGTGCATTGAAAATGTAAAAAAAGAGTATATTAGAATGTGACAGTTAACTAATTATCAATTAAAAATTATATAATTATGAAAAAAACGTAGTGAAAACCCAACCAAACAGAGACCAGCATATTAAAAAAAAATTGATATATTTAATAAAAATATAAAGTGAAATAAAATACAATCTCCATCATTTTATGTCACCTAGACCTTGTTACTATGATTGTCTTCGCCATCACTAGTAAAACTGTTACCATCTTTGTTTTCCGACGTTTTTCACAACCCATTTCCATCACTGCAATGATTGTCACTATGGCTATTTTGTTATTGTGTCACAATATTCCTTAACATTTACAATTTTTCTATCAAAAACTTAACTTGACCCGGATTTGGGATCGGCTGAGTGTGAACCGAACTCAACTGGATTTTCAAAGATTTGTGATGATTCGTGAAGCTCACATATGAATATGATGGACCAATTACTTTGTTCAAATAACAATGTTACTGTCCATACGTGTGAACCTTTGATCAGGGGGGTCTTACTGATCTGTTGCTTTTTACCGTGGATAAGTGACATTATTACCTCTGTGGTTTGATATGGACAAGTCTTCTTTTAACGTTGGTACGTATTGAAGGTTGTTAAATTCGGTTAGGGGCTTTGCATAATTGTTATTGTCTACCCTTTTCCGGTCTCTTTAAAGAAAGTTTGTGCAACTTTTCAGAAACCCGCACCCAATAAAAAAAAAAGAAAAGGATAGAATCTCAGTTCCAATATCTTCTCTTCTTTCACACATTTCGTGACCCGAATCCAAACTATTTACAGAAAGGAAAACTCTTTCAACAAGTTTTTTTTAACCTGACATATGTATAATCCAATCAAACTGATTAATTACTACTTGAATAAGTGTTCTTAGTTCTCTTTAATTTCATCTTTCATTGCTGCTGCTACAACCATTGTTGCCTAAACAATTAGGGCCCATATAAATAGAATATACCGGCGGTGGGAAGTGGAAACCCAATGTAAAGAATATGAGAGTTGTGTGGTTGGGAAAAGAATGGCAAAGAGTAGTCACAATCAGGCAATCTGGTCAATCTTTGGGTTTGTAGAGAGAAAAGTAAAGATCCTGATATGTATGTAGGCCTTGAATTTTTCTCTGACAACCAAAAACAAAGGGTATGGCTAAAACACTCTACATTTGGAACTGTTTCTATGCTTTACAGACTGTGTTGCATTTATTATTGTAAGGTTTTAATGATGAAACAGTTCAACTTATAGGAAGGGAAACAATGCAAGTAGGCAGTGGAGGAGGCCCCCCTTGTGGGAGGAGGCAGGATTAATTTCAGATATGAATGGTGATAAATACAAAGAAAATTTGACAAGAAATGATATATTTGAATGTTAACTATATTTGAATGTTAACTATATCCGAAGGTATGTTTGTTTCGTTTTTTTAGTATATGTTTTTAGGTGTTTTTTTTATTGTGAATATAAAAAGATGTATTGAAATGTAAAAAGATATGCTGGGATGGGACAGTTTTTATTTAAATATTTTGAAAATACCATAAAAAAACTTAACAAACAAAGTCTAAGTTTTAAATGAATAAATCCATTACTGTAAGGTGCAAGTGTAGACGGTTATGATTTATTCTCTGTATAAAATTCTGCGTGAAATTTTTTTACACAAATCATTATTATACTTCATATATCAGACAGGACTTTCACCTCATATACATCGTTGTTTATTACTATCAAAAATTCAAAATATTGTGATTTAATGCTTTAGACTTTACCAGTTTATCTCAGTTAAAAACTAAATACTTTCTGTTTCAAGATTATTTTCCAGTTTGGAATTTCACTTCTGGTTCAATTTGTACTAAAAATGATAAGCCAAACTGGATATTAATTTCGGAACGGAGGGAATACAAGTTTTGAACTGTATATTGTTTGAAATTTGTGATGACTCTTCCTTAACCAGTTGCGAAGAGCCACTTTGCAATAGTGAAATTGGTACCTCCCCATTGTTCTGGGTTTTTCTTTAAATTTTGGGTATCTGAATTTGCAGCTTTATTTTTCAACAAGAAACACAGTTCCCTTTCAATCCGATCCAATCCAAATCCTTATCAGTCATCACCTGTCCTTTACTTTCCTTTCTTTCTCTGGAACCCACTTTCATTTCACACACACACACGCTCACTGTATCACCACTACTCTCTCATTCTCCAGCTTACTTCTTCCTTCTTCTTTTTTTTGTTTATATTTTTCTTACCAAATCTTTTCTTCTTTTATCAAGACAACATTCAGATCTTTTAACTGATAGTACTTCACTCACAACTATCAAATATAAACACATCAAACCCATCACTTAAACTCCATTTCTGGGCAAACACAGTCACACAGTATGGAAAGTAGTAGGAATTTATTCCTCATTAACCCTCACCCCAGTAGTAATATTAACATTAATGATCCACGTGCCTTCTGGAACTCTGGAACTACACCTTCCAGATTTGTTGATTGGAACGACTCTTTCCACCAATCCAGCGTCACCACGACGGCGGCCGAAACCAGCATTGCCACCCGATATCCTCCGACACAAGCCGGCGGCGCAGGCGGAGGAGAGAGTGCGGTTCACGCGCTCATGGTCCAAACCCATCCTCAACTCTCTCCTTTATCTTCGTACCTGTACACCGGCAACCCGGTCGGTGGTGGCGGGTTTCAGTATCCCGACCCGCACCTAATGTGTTTGAAGCTCGGAAAAAGGCATTACTTCGGGGACGGCGGCGGTGGCGCAACCGCAATTCCTGCCGGAGATCGGCAAGGTGGGTTGGCTGCTGTTGGTTTGTCCAACATGGATAACGGCAAGAGAGGGAAGCCCTACTGTGAACTAGTTGGTGGCGGGGCTCCGGTGACGGTGGCTGCGACGGCGCCACCGTTGGGGGTGGTGATGGTGCCAAGGTGTCAGGTGGACGGATGCCAGGTGGCGCTGGTGGATGCCAAAGACTACCACCGGAGGCATAAGGTTTGCGAGATGCATTCCAAGGCTCCAAAAGTATTAGTCTTAGGGCTTGAACAACGATTTTGTCAACAGTGCAGCAGGTAATTTCTTCGAACTCATTTTAGTTCGAATCACTCATTGATATTATCTTTTTTGGGATAAATGGTTTTGGGTTTGATGTATGGAATGTAGGTTTCATGCAGTAGGAGAATTTGATGAATCCAAGAGGAGTTGTAGGCGGAGATTGGCTGGCCACAATGAGAGGAGAAGAAAGAGCTCTCAAGATCAACCTACTCCTAAGAACCAATCTTCTCATCAAGGTAATAATAACTCTACAATTTGAAACCATATTGACAAAATCACAATCACCATTAATTCTTGATACATTAAAGATCGGTAAGATCATTCAATTTGTCACAAAAATATTTACACATTGAATTAACCTATTTTATGTGTCCTAAAATTATTGTCCAGTTTGAAATTTTAATTTTTAGTATAATTTGAACTTAAAAATAAAAATTGAAACTGGACAATAATTTTGGGACGAAAGGAGTGTTTAATTTGAACTTTAAAATGAAAATCTAATCTCGACTAAAATTTTGAGACGGAAGAAGGATTTATCTTAAGTCTTAAAATGATTGTCATATGGACAATGGAAGTAGTAGTCAACCTCGAAAAATCGATTAGGGCTTGGGGGAGGCTGGTGTCGATAACAATCTTGCATTTTACTGCATGGTGGACATAAATGTTCTCTGATTGAAAGCATCGATTCCATGGTCTCGTGCAACAAGGGATGGATTTTGTGTGGGAGTTGAAATTGGTACAATAATATACTCACTAACATGTTTCTTCTTCCTGGTTATCAGTTTATAATTGACCTTTTGGTTGGTTTGGCATTTTTAGTTGGGGTTCTGGTTAGCTCAACTCCCGAGGTTCTCAGGATCCCCACAAAAGTCAGATTGATATTTCAACTCATCACCTTTCCTTAGATCTTTGTTTTGAATGTTTCGAGTTTGTATGCTGGCAAATAATAATAATAATAATAATAATAATAATAATAATAATAATAAATCAGAATTCGAAATTTCAAAGTATCCAATTCGAACCTAAGTGCATTTTGATATCCGAGTTAACCATCTGATATGTAGAGTTTTTAGGCTGTCTGAATTGGAATATTTAATAACTGAATTGGAGCCATTCTAATTGTTAGTCAGATAACTAATAAATTTAGAAAGCGTTTGAAAGAGTTTATCAAGGGATATGTGAAATTGCATCAAGGAGGGTTTTTTCTTTTTTTTTTTCACAACTAAAACTGAACATCATAATCAAGCAAATAGAACTCCTTCTGGCCAACTACATATGATGACATGCAGCCTGTAGGCGTCACTATGAGGTCTGATCATAGCTTCTTGATCTCTAAATATTTGTAAAGTGCAGAGATGGAGAAAGTGTTGGTGAAATTATGATTATCTAGCTAGGAGGTGAAAATGCGAGACATTGTTTCTCTCTTTTGTCATTATTGATTAGCGACTCCAAAATACAGATAAATGGTAATAGCAAAGTCCTTAACTTGAGAACTCATCTTATCTTTTCAACTATTGCCTTGAGTCCAATTGGTAAGTGGCTTAGTCAGTGTCAATTTGTTTGTGTGAATAACGAAACCAAAATAATGCTTAGACAATGCTTAGTAAGTCTTCTGATTGTGATGATGAGAAATCAAAATGAATGCGTAGTAAGGGTTAAAATTGTGATGGTGATGTTCTTCTCAGCGAATCGCAAGTTGGTGAATCATGGTGGACGGCATTCTCAATATCCACTGAGTAATAGTAATAATGGATGTGCTCTCTCTCTTCTGTCATCCTCCAAGAACAGCTCCTGGATTTCATCCGGCAGCGATCTCCCTGCTAGGTGTAGTGCTGCCCTTCGAGAATTAATAGCCGAGAATCGGGCTGCTGTTGTAGCTCGGCGGATCATCCTCGATCATCATCAGCATCCCCCCTCCAATGTTGAACTAAATTCTCGTCAAAATGGAACCAATTCTCTTCCTAATTACCAGCACCAAACCGGAACAACCGACTCACATGTGACGTTGGACCTCATGCAAGCTCCTTCTGCATTTGGGTTCTTGTCTGTGCGAGGAAAATCAAAGGAAAGCGATCAAGATTGTCCTGATTTGTGGAGCTCCTTTGGTGGTGCTCATGTTGTTTGAACAATGTTTAATCGTTTGTATCATTGAGATATGTATACTTAGAAGGCGGTGCAAAGTTGATTCACTCCTCATTGGTTTAGACAGGATAAGTAATTAATTTATAACTACATATACTAGCATGATATGCGTTGTCAAAACTAGATTTTGGACGTTAAGTAATTTTTTGTACATAGAACATTCGTATTTTGGTGTTGTCTCAATTTTTCTGTAGGAAGAAACATTCCAATTCAGTGTTTTATTTCGCTATTTATACATTCATTATCGTGAAAAAAAGTTTCATATCCGTCCTCTAATTTCAATTGTCCCATACATTCCTAATCAAATGAAGTTGAATCAAAACGTGAAACTTAAATAATGGCGAAGTTAAAAAAATATTCCATCTGTCTTAAAATTATTGTCCAGTTTGAGATTTCATTTTTAGTACAACTTGAACTTGAAATGAAAACTTAAACTAGACAATAATTATGAGACAGAAGGAGTAATCAAGACTGGCAGTCCAAAAAGGTACTGCAATGTAACTTATTTCAAAATGTGAAAGCAATTCGATTGTAATTTGTCTTGACAAATGATTGATTCAGAAAACTTTTCTTGGAATGTTAGACAAAAGGGATTTAGGTAAGAGCTAATTAAGTAATCAATCCAAGTACAATTTAACCCCCCAATTTAGTGATTTACATCATCTCTAAGCGCTGATCAATGAGGATTGAATTGAAGAATAAATGACCGAAGTGACTAGGTAGCTACCACCATCACTGATTGACCCGGAATTTAATCTCGCGGTGTTTGCAGGAATATGTTTTATGGTCTCGAAAACCAGCATTGAGTGACCTATTGACTACTGGGCCCAATATCCAGTTACTGTTTGAGTAGGACATGCCCGAGTTTTTCCTAGAGTTTAAATTATTCTCTCTCTTTATTTTTTATAATATACTCTCTCCGTCTCAAAATTATTGTCTAGTTTGAGTTTTCATTTCTAGTTCAAATTGTACTAAAAGTGAAATTTTAAACTGGACAATAATTTTGAGACTGAGGGAATAGAAAAAAAAGAAATTTGATTCATATGTTGAAATTATTATTATATATATATATATAAAACAGTCCAAATGCGAATTATGATCAAAATAGTGACTTAGGAAACAAGAGAATCGGTGTATTAGCCTTAAAAAAAGAAAGAAAGAAGAAGAGATTAATCTGTTAACCCATTCTTTTTTCTGGTTACCTCACGAAAGATTTTTGTATTAAACTCTTTTGTGATTACCAAAATTCAACTCTAACTGGCTTGGTTTGCCTGGCTTGATGGGGATAATATTCAACTACCACCAATTTTTTTTTTCATTATCTATTGTATTAGGATGATTCAATGTGTTTTTCATATGTCGATCATTGTTGGTAATGCATCATTAACTGTAACTTTTTTCAAATTCTTTTTTTATCTTTATACTTTTTATAGGTTATATTAATAATAATTACATATTCATAACTTACTTTTTATTTTTTTCTGTATAATTCAATAAATAATCAAGTAAAATATAGGCAAAATACTTTTAAATTAAATCTCTAATTATAATTTTCTTATTCTTGTACAACCCAGTACGATAAGTAAAAAAAAAAGAAGAAAAACTGGATAAATAGCAGATAACTCTTTTTAACCAAATTTAGTGTAATAGTCCTTGTTAATTAAAATTATGACAGTTTGAGTACAATACTACCCATTTTTACATGAATGATGATACATATTGAGAATAATTCACAAAGAAAAGGGAGAAAAAATGATATGGATTAAATTATAGTATCCATTTATTTTTACACTTTTCATTTCGGTTTGTGCATCTAAGATTTAAAGAATAATTTAGATTACAAATACGTCATTTTTTCGTTTCTTGTGATTTGTTTGTATGTATCACTAGTTCCCTTTATTGAGGAAGGGGGTTTCTCCTTGCTTCTAGAAGACAAGATGGAAGCATCCAACACAAATGGTCTGGGTCTTGTGACATGACAAAGCCGAAACTTGCATTTCTTACAAAAACATAAGGTTTGGGCCGTGACTTTACCGTACCTATCAGGAAAGGATACCATCTAGTAATAATGTAAGGATTTCTTGTTTTGTTTTCATTTTGGTTTTTAGAATGTTAGAGTTTGCAGCAAAAATATAAATTGAGTAATTTAACTTATCAAACAACGTATGTCATAATTTTTCAATATTACACTTTTATTTTTATTTTTTTTAGATTGATTTACTTTGTAAAAATACAATAAAATAAAATAGTTATTGTATCATCATGAACCCACATTAATTATGTATTGACCCTAGAACATCGTCTTGTACAGCGTAAGAATTCTTATATCTTTGCAAGTTATCACATTCAACTCAATGATAATAAATAGTACCACTAGATGGATTAAACGCGTGAGAGTGCTACAATAAAACAATTCGAGTATGATAATATAATAGTTTTAAGCATGTAATATTCATGTATTTCAAATTAAAGAGAAACAAAATAATAAAACAATATTCACTTTGTCTTATTTTTGTAATTTATTTTGTTACAATAACACGGATTATTTAAATGAAACAGAAAAAGAAAATACAAATCTCTTTTCTCACGTAATTCATCCATGAATTTCACGAGCTGAAAACTTTATCATGTAAAAGAGATCATAGTTAAAGAGTGTTTAGAGAAAAAAAAAAAAAAGAAAAGTAAAACACATTGGAAACTACCGTTTACAAATTGTAAAGCATAAACACGTCAAATCTTATCTAAAATCGAGAAGATTCTACATTAAGTTTGAAAATTTTCAATTAGAACCTTCAAGTGCTGTTTTAGGATCTGGCAACTCATCTACGTATTATCTGACTGGCCAAACGTGAGCATTCCTACCTTTGTTCATGTTGATTTTGAACTCTTAATCAAACTATTAAAAAAATAAAAAAGAACTTACAAAAGAAGAGGAAAAGAGGAAAATGAGGATAAAATATAAATAGAGAAGATGAGAAAAGAAAAAACCAACACAATAGATGAATTGGAAATGTGGTTCTAAATAGTTTTAGTTAAGGGTATTGTAATGGGTGATAAACATTAAAGACAACAAATTAATAAGAGAGTTGTAATCGAAACTTCGGGGAGATGAAAAGTATAATATTATTAAAGAAACCAATAAGGATGAAAAATTTAATACCTGTAATAAATAATAGAAGATGAAGAGAGATAAAATGTATAATACATGTAGTAAATAACTGAATATGATAAGACATGATAATTTTAATAATTTAATAAAAGATCACCATAAATATAGAAACAATAATAGTAAAATAGAAAATAGGAGAAAGATAATGAACAAGTACGGCTGTTGTAGTTACAGAAGAAAAAGAAATAAAAAAAAATATTTGGATCGTCTTTTTAGTGTTTGTTTTTAGGTGTTTTTTTATATAAAGAATATAAAAAGACGTATTAGAAATGTAAAAAGATATGCTGAGATGGAATAGTTATTATTGTTTTATTGTAAAAAAAGCATTGAAAAAATGAAACAAACAGAACAAAATATAAAAATGCATGTCAGGAGAGGACTATCAAAACCAACCCTACATTCTCCAATTATAATATATACTGATAATTGTTGATACTCTAAGTGAATAAAATTTGTATTTAACGTTTTAATCTTCTTGAAAATAATCCACTAATAATCATCCATTGAAATAAGTACATAACTTGGATGGAGAATTATTACCCTTCTCTTAATGGGGTTATGTTATATCGTACAGGTTTTTAATCATGTTCTTCTGAGTTCTGAATACATGGGGTCTGAGATTCATTATTAGCTCCAACCATACACTAAATGTTGAAGCTAATTTATCACCTCAGTAATAAAGTTAATTTATTACTATTAATATTTCTTATACACTAGCTGCTATCATGTTTGTAATATTGTTACCTTTACTATAAAAGAAGCATTACATTTGCTAAGTTACTACGGCTTTATACAAGTCATTATTCCTAAAAATGAGTTAAAATGATAATTATCTGCTTCAAAACGATTTTGTAGGACGAGGAATAAATTACATTACGAGTTTAAATTATCAACTTATGACTGTTTCAAAACGATAATTATTTGCTTCAAAATGATTTCGCTTCACGACAAAGTGAATTTTGCTGCTGATTATTTGGCTTCGTTAGCATCGAGCATAGATGGTGGGTATCATCAACTCCTTGTTCCCCCGTCTAGTTTACGTCCGTGGCTGGAACACGATGTTATCGGTGTTTCTTACTTACGATCCGTTGTCTTACGCCTCCTCTTTTATATTTAAGAAAAACCAAATTCACCTGAGCTCCAAGAGACAAACATCATCGTCCGTGCATTTCCACTCTTGCTTTCAATCTAGTTCCTACTTAATTAGCTTAAGCTATTGTACGAAAACTACTATCGCTACAAGCTGTTGCAAAACGAGCAATAAAAGATTTTTTTTTTAAATTTTTTTTTTGGTTGGTAATATTGGAAGAAAGCAACGAAAAAATTAAATAGAGGAAGCTAGAGCCGAGGTGACGAAATGATGGATCAAACTGCGAAAAAAGGAAAAGGGTCCACACAAAGTATGCTTCTGAGAAGTTGCAAAAAAGTCTCTAAACTTTTACTGATATTCTTCCATCTTTGGGTGTAAAGTCTTTCTGATGAGAGTTCTTTTGCACTAAACCTCCACATATGAGACAACTTCCAATTAACGATTATAATTCATGTGAACTTAGCATTATCCAAGCCACTTCAATACCTGGAAAATTCATGTGTTCATTCACCTTTTCGTCCACCCCCAAAAAAAAATCCTTTTTGTTTTAAAAAAATAAGTTCAATAAATATGATTTGTCAACATATATACAGATTGTATGGTGTTTTGATAAATGGGGAAACTGCCAGCCCACGCTGTGTCATTAGTACGTAGCTTTAAACTTAAATTGGAGTTTGTGATTAACAACACCACATCAAAAGCAATGGTGCTACCATTACAATGCACGATTGCTACACTTCGTGTGATATAGTAAAGGTTTTACCAATCCAACGTAATCATTAGCATTTTCTGCTTCCTTTGTGAACACATCATACTTCCGTTTTCGTGAATTTCTTTTGAAAGATAAGTTACAAAATCTGTTCTATTCTTTGATAAAGTCTATAACACGTCGTGCCACGTCCTTGCTTGCCATTAAGCCCTTTATTTCTCTTTACAATATACACATAAGTGTAATGTTAGGAAACTTCTGCCTCTAAAATGGATATTTCTAAGAGTCAACCGAGATTATTTTAAATGTGACACGCATACTGTACGTGTATATTAAAAAACGATCAAGTTCATTTAAACATTATATGAAGACTTACCTAAAATCGATTAGGTAAATTCAACCCAAATTTGATATACTTCTATCAAATATTAGTTCCCTGATCATTTATATCGTCGTGTTAAGTTGGTGTCGTATTTTTTATATTATTATTACACGAATTGACAAAACTAGTGGATGATATTTATATCGTCGTGTTAAGTTGGTGTCGTGTTTTTCACATTATTATTATTATACTGTTGACAGAACTAGTGGATGATATTTATATCGTCGTGTTAAGTTGGTGTCGTGTTTTTTTACATTATTATTATACGATTGACAAAACTAGTGGATAATATTTATATCGTCGTGTTTTTTACATTATTATTATACGAATTGACAAAATTGGTGGATGATATTTTGTATTACCGGAAGGTCACCTGGACAAGACACCCATGTTACAATGTATGTAAAGAGGTTACATAGAAAAGAGCCAAGAAGTAAACCAACAACATAAATTTAGGATGAGAGATATGATGCAGATTTGCCCCCACACCCCCCCCTCTAAAAGACTGAAACTACTGGCATTTACCCTCGACAAAACTAGACTCTCTAAAAAGAGAAGCTCTGAAAGTGATATTAATGGCATTGTGCTGGCATTTGCCATTTGCCATCATCATCATCATCTTCTTCTCTTCCTTCTTCTTCTCTCTCTCTCTCTCACACACACACACACACACACCAGAGTTACTCAGTCATCAGTCAGGCAGGTCCTTGAAAGGGGACCGGGTCCGCTACAACATCTCTGTCAAAACCCACGTCCTTAATCACATGATTTCGATATTGCTTTTTCAGTAAAAAGAATAAAATCCCCCCTCCAAAAAAAAAAAAATCCCAAAAAAATGAAAAAGAAAAACAAAATAAAAAAGGAAGAAGAAGGAACTCATCATGTTAAAAATGGATCTGATCATTCATAGTCTGTGCTCATTGGGTTGGACCCACTTTTTGTTCATCAAAAATAGCTCCCATGCAGGAGACAGCTTTCTTATTGACCTCTTCTTCTCATATATACTACATAGTTTACATACCATGACCAAAGGAATGGAATGCAAAGGAAAAGGAAAGGAAATCCAGTACTGTATTTGTTATTACTGTGTTGTGTTACTGCACGGTCAATTCTTCATTACTTACCCTTTTAATTAAATTTACTGTCCTTTTTACGTGTGGGGAATAATAATCCGTAGAAGGCACCAGACAAAAGAAAATAATGCAACGCCCTAGAAATGGTAATTGATCTGCATGATAGTCTCTGCCACAACCAGCCCCATTTCCAATTTAAGCTACCGGAACTAATTGCCCCAATCATTTTGTTATTTTGTGTAATTAGGAAACACACCCACCCCCGCCCCCCAACCAAACATGATGATAATTATGTTGTCACATGTCCTAATTTGAGCACACTAATCACTTCCCTAGTCTCCAAATCACCCCTTTAATGAACATGCATGCCTAATTAATCACACAGATTCGGTGTTTGTATCATCACCTTTTATCTAATAATAAGCAGTAATTGCCAGCAGGATGACAATATATAACACGACATGAAAATACTAACATTAATCTATCATCATCGGAACCAGCACAAATTAACATCATATTTTGTCTAATAATATGCAGTAATCGCCAACAGGATGACAATATATGACACGACACGAAAATACTAATATTAACCTATCATCACTACTGCAACCAGCACAAATTAACATTTCATTTTGTCTAACAATAAGCGGTTACCGCCAGCAAGACACAAGAAAACAACATTAATAATCCAAATCAACACAAGCACAAACAAAATTAAGTGTTAACATTCAGAAGTGAGAACACGAAAAACATTCAGAAGTGAGAACACGAAACACAGACGGATTGCCATATCTAAAAAAATGGAGATACTGAATTAGAGTTTCCAAAAGTAGAGAAATTTGGGGAGATTAAGAGGTTATTAAGAACATCAAATGATGAGATAGATTGATGAATTAAAAATGTTGTTACACATATGATAATAGTAGCTATCAGTAAATTCTGATACAAATTTTTTCTAGCTTGTTACGCAACCCTTCTCAACACTCAAAAAAACTAAAAAAAGCAGCAATAACATCATTAATTAAATTAATTAATTTTAGCAGAAGAAGACCTATAGTTGCATGGTGGATAAATTTCGCCTATCATCCATGAGCACGATCATCTTCCCCTAAGTTATTTCCACTAGCTATATTTTGATTATAGACTTATGTAGTAGTACGTAACGTACTTGATGACCTCAAAGTTTGTAGAAAATAGCAAATTCTGATCAATCCAAGTCATAATCCGTCAGAGAAAAATAGCGAGCTTGTTGATGCCGATGAATTCGTGGCCCCTCCTCCTTGATATGATGATGAAGGTCGGCTTTCCCTGAAACAATCCATCGGAATTCTTGGTGGTGAAATTGCTATGGTCACCGATGATGATGAATGAGCTCCTGATGAAGAATCTGGTGGAGACCCTTCAAAAAATCCATTTCCTTCTTGAATAAAAATCACAAGATGAACACAAAATTAAGACTTCTATAGTTTAAAAAATCGTACTTGAATTGTCGTGATTAAGTTGTGGCTTGTTGCATTGTTCCTGGCTAGAACTATTCTGATGTTGTTGTTGTTGTTGCTGCATCTGCTGAGATTTCCGCCTCCTACGGTTGTGATCAGCAAGTCTTTTCCGGCAACTCCTTTTGCCGTTATCAAATTCCGACAAGAGATGGAATCTGTGGACGCACATTTTTGTTACAAACATTAATAATATTTCATGCAACTAATCGAATTTTAAGGAAAAAATAGGTTTTTGTCTTTTTTTGTTTTATTTTTGCGTTTTGTTTAAAAGGGGTTTCTAAGTACACCATTATTACTGGCCATCATGAGATTAACAGAAATGGAAAAAGTAGCAGTTCCCAAATCAGGCAAAATGGGCAAATCGTACGTACAAGAAATTCGTAAACCAGAGTGCAAACTTAAAAGAGGAAACATAAAATTTACGGACACATATACCCTCGGGATCACCATCCCCCCATTGGTGATCCAACCAGAGTGCAACAGCGCCATTTCCCGAGGGCACTCTCGTCATTCAAAAACCCAACCTTCTTCCTCCCCAGCTTAACGACGATTCCTTTACCAAAAAATTATTGATGGGAAAGAAAAATGTTGTAGGGTGAAAAGGGTCATTTTGAATGATAACCTGCTGCACTGTTGGCAGAATCGCTGAGTCAACCCGGAAGCAATGACAGTGGCGGCTTTGGAGTGGAACTCACAGACTTTGTGCCGCCGGTGGTAGTGTTTGGCGTTTGTGAGGTCGGCGCTGCAGCCTTCGGCTTGGCATCTCGGCGCGTTGATGGAACCCGGCTCGATCAGCCGTGAACGGCGGTAGAGCCGGCTGACGAAATCGTCCTCCGACGACGAGAAATACGTCCTCCCGCCCAGGTTCAGCCCAATCCGGCCGGCGGCGGTGGTGTTGAAGTCCACGATCGGCTCGCTCTTGGGGACCACCATGTACCCGGCTGGGCCGCCGGGCGCGAGGGAGAGCAACGAAGCCTGAGCTGGGTGGTGTGTGTAGGGTGACGCGCCGCCGTAAGTTGCGCGTGGGTCGTAGAGCGAGCTCAAATGGCCGGCGTTTCCGGGGTGTTCCGGCTGAAGAAAAGAGAGGTGGCTGTGCTGGTGGTGGTGGTTGTGGGCGGCGGCGTACTGATGATGATGAGGATTAGGGTTGCTGAGAAGAGCCGTGGTGGCGGCATCACTGAATGCTTGGGTGGCGTAAGGGTCAAACAGCTGCCGGTGGTGGTGATTCTGGTCAACGTCTGGAGTCGTTTCATCGCCGGTGAACATAATCGTTGATGGGTTCCCCCATTCATAGTCCAACATTGCCCTTTTCTTTCCTTTTCTACTTTTATCAAAAAATGATCCCACAAATCTTTGATCTGTAAACTGAAATTACAATGGAAAAATTGAATAAGAAGTTAGCTAGAGGAGTTATCGAAATCACCTCAAGAAATGAAAGATATCTGTTTTGGGTCTGGTTTAAAGTTTCAAACTTTAAGATGTAGGTTGATGATGATCATTGAGAGAAATAAAAAAGAGAAATAAAAGCTGCAAAGATTGAAACTTTGGCAGAAGGGGAAGGGAAGTTGGTAGTACATATTCCTACATGTAATTGGTTGCTTTTTGAGTTCAACTTTTAGAAGCAAGTGATGAATTAGCTTGTGTCGGAGGAGGCATTTCCTTTATTTTGGAGCTTTTCATTAAAATCTCCAAAACTTCATTACAAAAAAGAAAAAAAAAAATCCCCCAAACCCCAATAAACAAAAAAGGAATAAAAAAAAAGAGAAACGCGTTAAAAAGGGTAAGTAGATGAATCAAAGAGAAGGGATGGAGGAAAAAGAACTAACCTTGTGACAGTTTTTGGAACTCAGAGATGTTGGAATTCAAAAACCCTAGTAACAAGTGTGTTGTACTAGTACTAGTTAAGAAGTACTGTTCTCCATACTAGTACTCTGTTGTGAGATTTTTTTCTTTTCCTTTTATTTTAGTACTAACTTCTACTACTACTACTCCATATTGTTGTTGTTGATGTAAGAGCTTTAGGTGTTTGTGATTTGCTTTTTAGCACATATATTTTGGTTGATATCTATAATGGCAAGATGCCCATATATACCCTATAGCTCCCTTCTCCCCTCAGCTCACTCAACTAGCTATAGCTCCAATAATTTCTGAAAGAGAGAGAGAGAGAGATATAAAGGTGAGTCAGTACTGTGTGACTGTGTGTATTCGTGTGTATGTTTTTTTTAAATAGATAAAAGAGACACGGTTTTTGGTATTTTCTCAAAGTCTTTATCTAAATACAGTATATATATATATGTGTGTATATGTAGTGTATATAGGTTTGTAGCAGGTTTTTGAGAGACTTGATAGAGGACTGAATCTGAGAGTGAGAAAGAGAGAGAGAAATGAAAGCTGAAAACCTCTATACTGACTCTTATCTGAGGCGGCTTTGATCAGAGAGATATATAGCTTGTTGTTTGCTGACATTTTTATTTTCCCTTTTTTTTAAAGTTTATTTCTTTCTCCTTTTTTTTAACTTTTTCCTTTTACAATTTTGTCCTACCAGTTTCTGCGAAATTGCCAAGAAACCCTACTTTTTACAATACTTACTTCAAGTTTTGGATTTTTCTTTGTTTGACTAATTGTGTGTGTGTGTGTGTGTGAAGGTCTGGTTTCCTGGTCAAGTTAAGGAAGATGGGCATTGGTAGTGGAGATTTTGTAGGCATTGTTGTGTGCATAGCTTTAAGGCAACCACCTTTGTTGTTCTCTTCTTTCATTACAATTGCTCATCAATTTTCTTTTTGTTCTGGACCTTTGGTCCCATTGTTGCAATATAGTAATTTGGATAGATTATCTTTACATAGTCCATTTTATTTGCTGTTTTGATTGCGTTTAATAAAAAATCTTGTAAATTTTGAAGTAAAGACCCCGTTAGGGTTATACTGTATTGATACAACAATATTTATAGTGTACATGGTAATAATAAGATTACAATAATACCTTTAAACTAACCCTAATATATATACATTAACAGTAATTTCTCTCGAACTTCATTTATCATTCTAAACCATTGGCGATTGGATCACTTAGTACTTAGTAGACGTGAAAATGGGAATTTTAGTTGGATTTGTGCCGCAAAGTATCTTATTTCGGTTCATTTAGCTAATTATTATTCAGTAAAATGACAACTAAAGCTACAAGTTTCTCATGAAACGCAATACGGGAGACGAAAATCATGTTTGTAACATATCATGGTATGTTAAGTACGTACTACATTTATTTTTTCTCTCGCACTATATGTAACTGGACCTTGTTGGAAGAGGGGTGAAACAAAATTAATAAAACAAATTTGATTTCTGTAGTATGTCCGTCTCAATTCAACAAACACAATTCTATCCAAGCATTTGTTTCATCAAGTTTTGCAATATTCATCATGAAATTCATATAAGACGTATAGATGGCCTTAAGGCTCTAAATGCAAATATTCCATTAAGAAGATGTAACACTTTTTGTTAGAATGATATATAAGAGCGATCTGCATTAATTTTATCCTCGAGTTTTCGTTCAATCGACCACATACCCCCGAGTTTTGGTAATACTACCATATTCCCTTAGAGTAAGGGTTAAATTTGAAAATAGCTAAAATGATCATGGTTTACAAACACTTCATTTCCTTTTCTTCTTTTTTTTCCAGTTTACTTTCTTTATTTTTTAACCATTAAAAAAGAAAATTACTTAATTTTTTATTTTCACATTTAATTATAACATAAGTTAATAAGTGAAAGTTAATTCATGGATAATAATATTATAAGTTTCTTATGCTTGTAAAAAAAGGTAGTTAATGAATATTATTTTTGTTTCAAAAGACACCATATAGTTAATTTTGAAAATCTAGAATTTAAGTGCATTAATATAAAATATGGAGGAATTTTTAAACTTAATTTATGATATATATTTATAAATATTTAAATCATATAATTTAAAAAATATCGATTGAAGAACATTTTAGATCGATTACACAAAATTAAAGATGATATTAATATGTTAAAAGTACATTTGATAAGTTGACTACTAACTAAGCGAATATATATTGTAATATGATCAAAACTCGAGAAGAGGTAAATTTGTCCAAAACTCAGGGTAGAATGTCGTTCGTCCAATCTATGATATAAACTTTAACTAATTTAAACTACTATTCCCTTCGTTTCATAATTATTGTACAGTTTAGATTTTCACTTTTAGTATAATTTGAACTAAAACTGAAAATTTAAACTGAGACAATAATTTTGTGACAGAGGGAGGATAATGTACTGCATCAATGGTTTGGAGGCTATAAACTGAGGTTATCTTTGGTTGGGTTTTTTTTGGTTTTTTCAGAATTTTTAATTAATATTTGTCCCATTCCAGCGTATCCTTTTATATTCTCAATGCACATTTTCACATTTCCAACATACCTTTTTACATTCTCAATACAAACACACTAAAAAAACGATCCAAACATAGCGTGAGTAAACCGAAATTGAGATTGGTCAACAATATGATGAACAACGCTTCATACACTGTAATTTGGATCATGGAGAGAGCTGATAATAATGATTGACTGAAGAAGAAGGGGGAATGCTGAAAATGGTAATCGCAATTTGCAAAACACAAAGTGTCCACGCCACTAAATAAGCGCGTGAACCCCACATTTCTATAATTAGGTGTTGGATTTGAATAGCCACATTTATTGTTGGACTAAAGTAGTGTCTACACCCACCGACGACTTACAAAAATTTCCCTTCACCATTATTTCTCTTCTTCTTCGCCAAATTTCCCATCCACAAATTTTTGTTTCCTTAATCATTCTCTTGAATTTTTTTTTCTTTAATCCAATAATGGTCGATTACCGTGGTTACTTCATACAACTAGAGAAAATATAATACTCTTTCTGTCCTGAAATCATTATCTAGTTTGGATTTTCATTTTTAATTTAAATTATACCAAAACTGAAAATAATTTTGGAACAAAGAGAGTACTAAACGACGTTACATAAAGATAAATCTGTTTCATGATATCGGATTTGCTTTCTTTATTTTAACTTTTTAACATTTGTTAATTTATATCATTTTCATTTGAAATGTGTATATTTTCATTGAGAAGATATAAAAGAGATGCATTAAAGGTTAAATTAAAAGTAGTAAAAGTGATTTTTCTATTTCCATATTGAAAAAAACTACCCTCAAACTATGTCTCTTTCGTTTTTTTTTTTTCTCTTATAGCACGGAATCTTGCTCTTCCAATTTTTGGAGTTCTACTCTTCCATCTTTTATGATAGTTTCAACTCTTTCTTTTTTTGGAAAGTCCTCTTTTATTTTCCTTCTGTTTGTTGTGTATTTTTTCGAGATAAAAATACAAGGTGAACCGAAGAAGAAAGACGGTATATTAAGGGAGCTGCATTAGAATTTTTGCTTTGCAAGATTAAAATTTTTGTTTCATAAGATTGTTTAAAATAAAAAAATACCCTTGTGTAAATACAACTTATTTTAAAAACATAAATGGAAAAAAATAAAAAAAAGGAGCTTTTGTATGATCTTTTGTAAATCTTATTTTATGAGACATAAAACTAATAATAAAAATCATTTGATGGAATGATTGTCACTTTCAAAAAAACTATAAAATATATAATCTTTGTGAAGAAAATTATTCCTAATTAATAAATATATAGATTCTACACGAGAAAGTGTGGGTGTGGGGAATAGCGGTAGCTTTGGTGAGAAAAAGGCTGACACAGACTTTGACTCTTATTGTACGGAATGTCGACTTTGGTCAGTCCTGAGTCAGAATTGGAGATGCGCCATATCTTCATTTTCAATTACTACATCAAAATAAATATAACCTGCTTTCTAAAATAGAAAAAAAAAAAGCCTCCTTATTTTTTGAATACGTTTAAGTATTTATTTATTTCGGATATGATATATAGCTTAACTCCTTTTATTTAAGCTGTTATATTTAGGCCGGGTACACAATATATATATATATATATATATATATATATATATATATGACACTCGCAACAAGAACCGGATGGAGTAAAGTCCTATATTTTGGTCACGAAAATTTGAATTTTTTATCTTGTGATTACAGAACTCTCAACTCTCACTGACGAAGGCAAAATTCGATAGAGGCTCTTTTATATTATAATCTGTTATTCCCTCCGTCCCATAATTATCGTCCAGTTTAAGTTTTCATTTCTTATTTAAATTGTACTAAAAATAAAATTTGAAACTAGACAATAATTTTGGGACAAAGGGAGTAAGTATTTATCTCGATCTTCTAATTATATTAATCATTTAACAAGTGTATAGTTCTCGATATGTTTTATGTCAACCATTCAACAAGTGACATAACAAGTAGTGATGAATGAATTTGGTGTAATATGGTGTGTGTAGGGCAGGTGTCAATTGACTATGATTAATGAACATTTTTAACCACAAAAGAATTGCCACCTTATGTTATTTACTACTCTCTCCGTCCCATAATTATTGTTCACTTTGCCCAAAAAATTTTGTCCCAAAATTATTGTCCAATTTGACTTTTCATGGATTAAGTTACACATTTGTCCTTAGTAAAAAACATTATTTATAAAATCTTAGTGGTTAAACAATTACTTATGTAGGGGTATATCCGGTTGTTTAAGGTAAAATATAGTTAAGTTTAACTAAAAATAAAATCTTTCATTTTAGTAAAACTGGACAATAATTATGGGACGGAGGGAATACGTTTGAAGAAGAGGCATCGGTCAGGGACTTTGGACCATGGACATCTAGAAAAAGGCCTATTTTTGGGTAGCCGATATACTTTCTTTGCCAAATTGGCGGTCAGTCCTGGACTTCTGTGTCCACAACTTGGATCCTTCACAAAAAAATAAAATAAAATAAAATAAAATCTTCTTGATTTATCAACATATTTCCTTCCCTGCTTGTTTCATTTTTATGCATTTTTTTTTTTTAAAAAAAATATTTTACCAATCCGTCTAAACCTTGAAATTCCACTTGAAAGATCGGAGATCTTTCTAAACCTTCTAATTTTTATATCCCCCGTGGTAATGATCTTGAGATGAAGTTCATGAGCAAGACCTGAGAGATTTTCTCACCTTTACAGCCATTAAAAATCAAATACTCCCTCAGAACAAACTGAATAATAATATTGGGAGAAAAAGAGTGGTAGATAAATAATCTCACCAGACGAAAACTCCGCCTACAACACACACAAATTCTTCTATGACAGACTATATCTGAGAGTTCTAAGACGTTGGAATTGCGTTGTTTAAAATTCCGTAGCATAGTTGCTTTTGCAACTAGATCATTTTATCTGTTTAAGTATAATTCAATAGAATGAGATATTAAAATAGAACAGATAGAGTAACATGTCACACATAATAATTCGTTAGTTCTTTATGTTTTACACGTCAAGTAACCTTCCTCGTAAAATACGAATGATCATTCAATAAATCCAAATCAAAAAGTTACCATAAAATTGTGGATAATTGCCGAATTTATTAACCGGTGAAAATCAGATGAGGAAGTACATTCTGCATATATGTAAGTAAAAAATACAGGACAACTCATGCATGGTTATTTTTAGGAGTATGGTCCTTCATATAGCTCCTTCAACGCGAAATTTAGAGATGACCCCAATTTCTTAAATATATTCAGAAATGGAGTAAATTGGCACAAGAAGCCAGAGTGACAGGTTGATTAGAAACGGTAAAGAAAAGAGGTGAAGTGCGATCAAAGTACTTGATATTTAGAGGGTTGTCTGCTGGTAGCATGGAGTAAGTGAATGGGAAACATGGGGAATCAGGGAACATATAGTAATGTGAATTTCTGTGTCTTACACATGGTAAAGATAACCGAATTGCAAATGTAACCATAGAAAAATGGATAATAGAATTGAGACGGTTTTATCATGTAAAGTATTAGGAAATTCGACCATTATTCATCTTATATGTGTAATTGGGTCACTAATTCAGATATCGCTCAAATTATTATTCTGATTTACAGATATCTATAGAGACAAATTTCTCTTAGCAATCGATCATCAAAACCTTAAACTCTAATTCACGTCTTAACGGAAAATCAACTAGCTAGTAACGCCGGGACGACAAATATCTCAAACATATGACATTATCATCTTCCTTCAATCAAATGATCGCCACACGTTTTTTCCTCTCCTAAATTTGGTAAGTGGTTCCATCTAGCTTGAAGTTCGTATTCCATCCCATGTGCAAAACTCAGCATAAATATAGGAGAATTAATTACACAAGCAATAAAGGAAAAAGGAAAAAAAAATTACAGAAAAAAAAAAAAACAAAAACCGAAAGCTTCAGAAAGCAGCGAAAGAAAGGGTGAGAGGGCCCGATTTGCAATGAGTATCCAACTGCTCCTTAATGTTGTAACATCACTTGGCCGAAGAGATTAGGCGTGCAGGTTGGGGAACATTGTATCACTTTGGGGAGCAAATTAAATTATTGTTGGCTTTCTGGCAAATATTTCGTCTTGTTGTTATCAGTACTGATGGGATTCAAAATCGGGAATTGATTGGTCTCTTCCGGGGTTTATATTAAGTTTAACACTACTTGATTAATACAAAAAAAGTTGATAAGGATTACTCAGAATGTGTTGTTGTTCAGTTCTTGTACGTTGAATTGAAGGGAGCACATAATGTGACTCCTCAACTCAACCACTTGAGCAATCACATCATTTAATTAGCTCAAAATTTTTGTCTATTCTGCAAAGCAAACAATGATTTAACGACGACGAGACATTAATCTCCCCATCTCTTTTAAAAATTAGACTTATGAAATTCGTACCTGTATCATAACATGAATAAGAAACTGCATTATGAGTATGAGACGAAAAGAGTAGCATACCTTAACGAATTTGTGTCGTTAAGTTAAAAAAGTCAAGGGATCAAGAACATGGTAATGGTAGTATTAGCCAATCAGAGGATTAATTAGTAAGGTAAATTTAATTACGGTATGGGAGAGAAAAAGAAAAAGTGATGCATAATTCTTCACGTGTCAACGATCCGTTGGCTGAAAAGGAAAACTCTTGGCAGATACAAACAAAAGGCTTCAACAAAAGATCTCTCTATCAAAGTTTCTTCCATCAAAAATTGCATCAAGTTTTTGGAGCAGCATATGCAGTATGAACCTGTCATTATCAAAACCAGGTTGCCTGTATCTGTATGATTAATTTAAGTACTCTTGTCTTTTAATCAGCATTAATTAGTTTTTTTTTTGGTCCTTTTCTGGATGATGACAATTAAGCTAGCTCAAGTCTCCCATCCGACAGCTAGAGATCCATTTTGGCTAGTCTTACTGATTATCAAAAATCATTGTTTTAGTTTGGCAGAAATTTTTTCATTCAATTGGATGGGTTGTCTAATCGCCTGACATCCGTAGTAAATTACTATATTAGTCACCAAAGTGTTCTTTGAGCAGCTCGTTTTCTATCGTGATATATATATATATATATATATATATATATATATATATATATATCATATCAATGGTTCAATTTCTTTGACTGGACTAACAAAACTGATGGATCCTCGACACGAATGTGCATAAAACTTGTTTAATGGAAAATAATGAGCAAAGATAAAAGTGAATTAAAATATATTAGTACTTTCTCCGTCCCAAAGTTATTGACCGATTCAAATTTATATTTTTTTTAGTTCAAAATTATACAAAATGTAAAATTTCAAACTAGACGATAATTTTGAATCAGATAAAATATGATTTTTAAGATGAAACTAGTTACCAAAAGGGGGAAACCAAGATGCTGCTCCCTTTCAATAGACAGAAAGAGTTCGCGTGGTTAGCATTTTGAACAGAATAGTTTTATTTAAAAACGTAATTAAAATAAATAAAAATCTCAAAATGATTATTCGATGACAAATACACAATCATGAATGAATTAAATAAGTGATGTTGAATATTTGCAGAAATGCTACGAACAAGGCAAAATGGTAGTTCTGCTGCCAACATTCCCATTTTTTATTTTTTTTTCATTCATTTTTGCTTTGTTTCGTCAACATCTCAACTATACTTCCTCTGACGTCGCCTAAAGAAATTGATACTGATACTGTACATTTCCCCTTCGATGAGTCCTTCATTTTACAATTTTCTACGACTAATAATTATTCCGATCCGTCCTGTATCAATCGTCAACTTTGTGGAATGTAAGTTTTGCAGTTTTTTTTTCAATACTCTCTCCGGTTCTTAATATAAGACATTTTAATTTATTTTAAGTTTCATCTAGTATGCACTTTTAATTGATAAAAAAATTTAAAAATATTTCTTAACAATCAAGAGAATACAATGAATGTGAAAATATATTTTTAAGGTTTTTTTTATTAAAAAATACGTACTAGATAAAATTTAGGACAAATTAAAATGCCTTATGTTAAGGATTAGAGGAAGTAGAATGACGCAAAATCCTACATATGTCAAAAAGAGAAAAAAAAAAAAACCTTCCTTTAACTTTATCGGCCGTAAAAAGAAAGTATTCACAAACACATTATATATGATCTCAGAAGAAGAAGAAGAAGAAGAAGTAAATAAAGAAAAAAAAAACAATAATTAACTTAAATACTTCAATTTTCTTCATTAAAACTAAAGTAGTTATTGAGTCAGTCCAACTATTATTACATAAATTATGAGCTAAAATCGTTTCATCCGAGTAGCTCAGTCGCTGAAATGAAGTTGTTGATTCCTCAATGAGGGGATTGGTCCACGTAAGGATTCAAAATTCATCCATTATTGTACCTTAACTTGTTTGGATTTGTATAGATACAAATAGCCAGGCTTGATAGCGATGAGTAGCAATAGTTGCATAGTACCTCTACGCATCATTGATTTGATTTATTAGTGGAAGGAAAAATGACCAAATTCCAAAATTAAAAGAAAGGAAAAAAGAAAGAAAAAAGAAGGAAGAACAAAATATTAGACTAGGCCAACTGAAGTCGTACTAGAAAGTTTGGAGTGGACAAATGCTAACATTTGAGACATTAAAGGGTTGATGTTCTTGTATCCTTATTGTGGTCCATCCTGGTAATATGTTCAGTCATTCAATCAAATTTGACATGTGATTTTACAAAACCCCAATAATTTGTAGGAACATCCGGCTACCATCCCCGTATCAAATCTTCTATAATAATAATTTTGTATAATTCTTGGGAGACAGTTTAATTCAAGACATATACCATGATTCTTACAGAAAGTGTTGCATAACATTTTTGTACCCATTGTTACATACTACATCTGAATGCTTGTGATTTCTAATGATTTTTTGGGGCTCTAAATTGTTGAACCATGATGAGGCTTCCCATTTGCAATTACAAGTGACTATCTATTTTGGTGAGCATATACTACAGTTACTCCTGTTTTCCACGAAAGATTTTTACTCAGGATTGTTTCTTGGAACACCTGGGTTTGATCCTGTTACCTCAGAGATTCCACTTCTTTTTGTCCGACTTTGGAAATGCCTAATCCCTTGTCCAAAATGATTCTTCTATCAATACGGGACCGAGGGAGCATTCCATTGCAAGGTTTGAAGAATATTTTGCTTCTGATTGCAGCGTCTATTTTATCCTACTTACATTCCTTTAAACTTTAAAGTCATCTGGCATATGTTGTCAAAAATACAAAGAGAAGCGATGAACATAATGATATTTCACAGTCAGCATCCATTCCAACTCATGGCAACCTAAAGATAAGTTCGGACCCTAATTATATGCTACAACTTCTCAATATGCTGAAACTCTAGGCAACGATAGAAGACATACACAACTATAAAGCTGACGTGTTTTTATTATGCAAGAACCTAGCCAACCAGAGCTTACACAACATGACGGTCCCTTGGCAGCTTCCATGACATCTTTTATCGACTGAAATTGTGAGTTACCGCCCTCAAAGTTACACGATTGTTGGTTCAAAACCACAAACTTAGAACACTTCATTTTGGCCAACCTGACATAGTCTTCCAATGAAGAATTCCATGATTTATTCCTCCTCTTTTTTCCTGTGTGGGAGAAGTCTTTCAGTTAATGCACACATAGAGTAAATGAGATAAAAGAATACTTGAGCCTATCACCTAGTGATCATTAGATTTTCCAGGTAGACACACTTTGAAAATTTTCAAACTGGAAATGTTCTATACGAAAATAATCACACTGGAAATGTTCTATCTAAGAACACTTACTTTGGATTATCTTGTAAAGAAACGAGAGATCTATGGACGCCAGGACTGATCCTGTCTGCAAGAACTCCCTCTTCTGATATTGTAAAGGATTTCTCCTTGATGAAACTTTGGAGTTTTTTAGCTTCAAAGTCCAGCCCAACTTGATCTACATTGAACAGGAGAAAAATAGACAATAAGGACTAACTTGCATCCTGAGAATTCCAGGAACATAAAATTGGATTGAAAAAGGAAACTATTAACATCATGATCCTTTTCCCAAAATAAAAAGAAAACAAAAAAAAAAGACATCATGACGAAGAGCGAACACCCCTTCCCTCCCCCCTTCTCATGCCTCCAATAAGGAACAGTTAAGTACCTTTCTCCAAAATAGTATGCGCGGCATGAAATGGGATGGCGGCAAAAACATCAGTTCCAGGAAACATCAACCATGTTCGTTCATCGGCATCATGATTGCCACATGTTCCACAAACTTCTTTGACCAATGGCCTTGATCCAACCTCCCTCATTAATGATTCAAAAGGAGAAATTGCACCAGCTTTTGCTGCCCTGGCCTTCTTTCTAAGAGCCGTCAATGCTTCTCGGTTGCCGTTCCTCAATCTATCGTTTTCAACTTGCTGCGGGTAGATGTTAATGAATCAAGGAGCTGTTAAGGAAATCATATGTTCATCTGCAGGCTTAGATGCTGATTACCTGGTGCCGTGCAAGCAAAAAACTTTCAGCTTCAATCTCAACCTCAATAAGACCTTGCTGAAATAGCTTCATTGAATCATCCATGTCTACTCAGATTATCTGCAAAAGTAGCAAAATCCTAAAGCAATTCATTATGTTGAACAACATAAAACACATTACCAATAAGTATAATTGCTGAACCCTGAATCCTAAAGCAATGCGCATCTTCTCAAAAAATGCGTACCTCTGACCAGGCTTTATACTCATATTTCACTTTAATTAGCCTTCTCATTCTTGTAAGTGCAAGAGAAAGTTTCTATACAACTCCAATGCCCCACAAATGAATCTCACTAATACTAACATTCCCACTTCTAGTTTCAAAGTCAAAATTCACTTAACGAATAAATTTGCTAAATTTTCTAATCCATTAAGTTTCTTCAAGCTGGTAAACAATAAGAAACTTCAACACAAGACTATACTTATACCATTAGCAATTCATTATGTTCATAACTCCAGGACAAAGCTCTATCCCAGGATCAAATTCAAAGCGTTCCTACATCAAACTCCAACTAAATCTTGAGTTGGAAATGGTCTGATCCTTCACTATTTCAACATTCCACATTGTAAAGTCACCACATATCTGTCAATTTTGAGCTAATTATCTTGTTTTCAGAAACTAGATCACTATTATCTTCATAAGTAATCTTGTAGACAGAAATCCATATAAAATGAACATCTAAGGTAATTTCCTCTAAAAAGATAGAGAGACTAACTAATATATTTCAGTGCCAATACATAATCAATTACAAAGTTCGTATCTTTTCTCATAAGTAAAGATACCAAGTAAAATTCTTCGAGTGATTTTCCCCCAAAAAATTCACACTCCAACACCAGCAAAAGAAACACGATAATAAATTACAACGAAGAATTACAGTATTGGAAAAGATAGAGAGAGAGAAACTGGCCCAACCTGTGAATTCCGGCAGCAGGGATCCTTTGAATGAATGCCAACAGCCAGAAAATCCGAAAACCTAAAGGGAACAATTTATAATATTAGGGAAGTATCGGAATCTTATTCAGTTGTTGGTTTGATGATAATCTTCTTTTCCGATGCGTCGTCTCCAGGCCGATGGTAGCTTCTCAGTAAACGTGGGTACCGGTGGCGGAGGGAGGAGGAGAAGGGAGGAAGTGGCGGTGGAGGAGCGGGAACGGGCTATCAAACAAACGAGAGAGGGCCTTTATATATATATATATATATATATATATATATATATATATTTTGGTATTTATTTGTTAATTTACAAAAAGGGGCATATTATTTTACGGATTTAGTAATTGCGAATTTATTTAGTACTCCGTATTATTTTTGTTTGAATAGTTTTATCCTTAATTTTCATTTCTCAAAATTTGGATGCATTAAGAGTTTACATATAGAAGCGAAGCCGATTTAAAATTCTAACTATATCATTTTTTCTACAACAAATACACGATATGATATTAGAAGTTTTCCGGGAACTACAGATCCTCCAAAATTTAAAACAAATAAGGTGCAGAATTGTGGATACAATATACCTAATCAAATGCCAGTATATTTGCACAAAATCATTTTGATGAGCAACAAAAAGAAATGCACATTTCACCTACGAATTTGTGATTGTTACTACTATTCTGCACCTAAAACGTGACACGACAATTTAGAATCATACATAAAGGGTTTTATTTTTCTCTCAATCATATCAGTTTTGTACTATTAAGTTCTTTTTAAATAGCCTCTGGCCATACTGGTTTGTTTTTTATTTGATGAGAATGAGAAACATAAATTTCAATTGAGACATGAATAAGCCAAAGATTTTTCCTCAATCAGCTCTCTTGCTGTTGCGTCCATTTTGGCCCTTGAAAATTCGTCTATCTTCAAACCTGCACCAAAATAGAGACATCCACATTTCTCAGTATGCAGCAGGCATAGTTGTTTAAACACTTCAAAAATACTATATATGATACGATACTCGAGCTACAAAATTTAGATATTCGCGCTATTTGTATCGCAATTTAACAAGTATTGTAGGAGCCAACAAGACTGACCTTGCACAATTGACCAATTTCCTTTCTCACATGTCACGGGGAAAGAGTAAATTAGGCCAGGTTGTATGCCATAAGATCCATCAGAGTAAACACCCATTGATACCCATGTTCCCTGAACACAAAAGAGAGAATTAGTACACATTCTTGCACATAAAAAAGAAAATATAGAATCAAGTGACTTTGTTAACCTTTGGGGTGCCAAGAACCCAATCATGGATGTGATCACAAGCCGCGCTTGCAGCAGACAGCGCACTGGAGAGCTTTCGAGCTTTGATGATGGCTGCGCCGCGCTGTTGAACCGTGGTAATGAACTCTGTGTTCAACCTACCACAAACAAAATATTGTGAGTCGTAACTTGAACAGATATGACTCTTATTTGGAGACGAACTGGTGCTTGAGGAGATAACCATTTGTCATCAGAAACAAGCTCTCTAACAGATTTCCAGCCCTTGCCGGTTTTTACAGTAGAATGATTAACGTCTGGAAATTGAGTTGAAGAATGATTCCCCCAAATGATCACATTCTTAACATCACTGACATGAACCTTCAGCCTTTCTGAAATCTGGCCTAATGCTCTGTTGTGATCAAGTCTTGTTAGGCAAGTGATGTTTTTCTCTGGGATTGAAGGCGCAAATTCTTTCAAAATGAGTGCATTGGTGTTTGCTGGATTCGCAACCACAAGCACCTAGTACAAGAAAAATGCATAACTACATCAAGTCTAAACCTGGAAAACCATTGTTATGTTGTAAAATGCAGACAACAAAGTATCGAAATCTAAAAGCTTGCAGACCACAAAATGGAATCAGTACCTTGCAGCCAGGGGCAGCATGCTGTTCCAAAGCTGAAGCCTGCGCTTTGTAAATCGACACGTTTTTGGACATTACATCCTTCCTCTCCATTCCTTCCTTTCTGGGGAAACCACCAACCATAATAGCAATGTTCACTCCTTTACAAGCTTCAACAGGATCTGTTGTAGCTACAACACCTGTCTTGTCGAATCATTAGTACCACACCACATTGAGGCGATTTTTCGCAACAAATTAAAAGTATATGAGTACATTCTGATTCTAGAGCAAAATTTATCACCTTTAAGAAGAGGGAAAGCTGCATCAATCAATTCCATGGATACACCGTTCAAGGCCTCAGCTGCTGGTTCAATATCAAGCATGTGTATGATCACAGGCTGATCAGGTCCTAACATAGCACCTCTAGCGATCATTGGAACCAAAGCATAACCTATTTGTCCTGTTTTGAACCAAAAAAAATCGAATCCCAGAAATATTTCCATCAAGCGAACCATGAAAAATCGAAGGCAACTGGAAAAGAAGAACAAATCCAAAAGCAAAACAGAAACTACAAAATCGAAAAGGCCAGAGTAATTATGGAGCAAGAACATGCCTGCAGCACCAGTTACTAGAACCTTAACAGGTTGCTTTGCCATCTTCTTGCTGTTCAATATACCAGTAATGATCTTCCATGAGACATAAAAACCACCCAAAAGAACTAGATGATTATGAAATGATTCCAGCTGAGACTCCATTTTTTTCAACACCAGACAACAACAACAAGTATTAATTGCTTCTAGCTAATATTCAGTAATTTATTGCTATAACAGTAATGCATATATGTGTAACGAGCACAAGAAATGAAGAAAAAGCAAATACATGAAAAGGTTGGAACTTTTATATGACTCTGCATATATGTGCGTCTCACTTGTTTGGGCAGGCTTCAAGGAGGATAACCAAGATACCATTAACAAGCAACCAAAGCGTATAATTCTCTCGTTCTGAAGTAAAAGAAGTAAAGAACATTGTAGTTTTTAATTCAGGAATTATCATTTTGCATGGGAAATGCAATACACGTATGTTTTAGCCAATTAATAAAGCGTTTTTTTTGCTTTAGGCCCAAATATTTTTATTATACGATATTATTTTAAACTTTCAAAACACTACAATGCAATAAAGTATTTTTTTTTTTGAAAAGGTACAATGCAATAAAGTTAAAGACCACAATTCGATAGATAATCCATTGATTACATTTAAGAAATGTTATTATTTCTTTACATAGCAGATTAAACTATTTAATCTCCTCAAAGTATAATTGATCAAAATACATGAAAAAAATTATTCATTTATTTATTCAGTATGAAACAATTAGTCTTACAAAAGGTTGTTTGTTTATCAGTAGATTTCAATTTACTTTTAGAATTAAGCCTTTACTTCCCCACATGAATATGCTTAATTCCTTTTTCAAGAATATGTAGGGAAATGTCAACCCGTTTTCATACCAACACTCCTTCCAAGAAAATAACCGGTAAAGATTAACAAAACTTTTGATTTTAAAATTTGATTTAGACCTTTCATAAACATTAGGAAAGAAAATAAGAATGACTGACAAAGACAAATTCCGATAGCGGTGAGTCATCGGTTAACTAGGTTCGAAATCTACAAAACAGAGGTTAGTACTCCGATGCTAAAGTTAGTGTAGTGAGAGAAAATAATAAAAACATACTTAGAGAGAGAAAGAGAATTGTTGTGTCTATGTAATACTAGTGATGTCTGGTCGTGCAATGCACGACCCTGACCCAATATATTTGTAGCTCTTAGAAATATTTGTATCTGAAAAAAAAATTTGTATTTGGCCCGATATATTTTAGAAATGTTTTAAGAATTTAGAAATATTTTATAAGTGTGATCATAAAAATGTTTATATTTGGCATAAAAAGAAATTGTATTTGGCCCGGTACGTTTTAGAAATGTTTTATAAGTGTTACTTCTTAAATATAAATAAACTTGATCAAATATTTGTCTTGAAATAAATGTTAGACAAAATATAAAAGCATCCTAATAAGTTTAAATATTAGTAAGATGATTTATTGATGATCGCCATTGGTTGTGCTAAATCAATACTTGGTTTTGGAGATTTATATAATAGCTTCGTAGTAAGCTTCCTCCAAAGGGTATACGCTTAACTGTTGGAACTATTTCTTCCAAAAGTTTATAGGTAGCAAAATATCAAAAATATGATTTTGAAACTGGTTAATTGTTGAAACTGGTTGATCACAAATATGAGAATGAAAATAATGTAAATTTGCATAGGTTTCAAATTATACTCACCATGGCAAATAAAAGAAAAAAAAAAGTAAAAGATAGCCCATTAAAAATTGAGGAATTTATTTTTTTCTATAGGTAAAAATGATGTATAAAAATACAAATAAACGTAAAAACACCATTCCTTCCCTTTCCATCTCAAATTCATAAAAGGCTTCCCCATAAATTAGTTAGAAGAAGCGACCTGAACTATTTATATGATGAGGAACTAAAAGAATTCCAAAAACCAAATCTAAAAAAGTATATTCTTGAAAGCCCGAATACAAAAAAAATGCGCTTCATTTACAAATAAAATAATAATAATAATAATTGATCAACTGGGAGTATGAAACAAAATAAAAAATTATTAAACAAAGAAAAAACACACTTCATAACTGACCATATACAAAAAAAACTGAGACTCCATAATTAAAAAAAGAAAACCACTTTAATTGAATGAAACATAAAAAAGAAATTTAAAAAAACTACACTTTGTAACAAAAATTCAATTAATCAATTCAATCCAAACAGAACTAAAATCATACAAAAATTCTAGGCTAACTAACCAGATAAGAAATTACATCATATTACCTGACAACGGCTACGGTAGCTGTAACGGATGGACGCATAAAAATAATAGTAATAACACTATTCTTGAATAGGAAAAAAAAATAAAAGCCAAACAATGATCTGTGAAAATAAAATCATTCGAATTTTAATACCTGTAATTGCACTACCACAACAACCGAAGCATGATCAATGAGAATTTTTTTTTTCCTTTGTGTTTACATAGAGAGGTAAAGAGAATATTTTTTGAAGTCGAAAATTTATCCGATTAGGATGCAGTTGATCATCACTAATGAAAAAATTAAACATGCTAACAGGAAATGAGTATATTTCACCACATATTCTCAATTGATGATTGATGAGGATCTTTTTTTATTGTGGAGAATGGATTGATTAGGGAGTCGATTGTCGTGGAGATGGGGATGAGAATTTGGATTTTTTTATGAACCCGTGTTTTTTTTTTGTTTTGGCAAAAATAGGAGGTGGAGGTGGATTTAGACTACATTTGTCTTTTAAGTCTAGAAGTTGTGTAAATAAAAATTTATTTTAAAAATATGATGTGGAAATGCCACATGGCAAATGGTGTTGCTTTCTCTTAAGTGTGGTTTTTGTTTCTAATATAGTAAGAAATGTCTTGAGGTATTTATAGCTCACTATTTAGGAACAGTTCAAAAGTGAGACCCAAGACTTATAATTCATTTGAAATTGGGCCAATGGACTGAATCCCTTTTAAGCCCAATTGAATAATATTAGGCTCATCAGCATTTTGCTTCATCAATGTGAGAGGATTTTGTAATCTATCCATATAACTTAATAATAAAAAACACAGAGAGAGGAAACTATGATAGTTTTCTACTTGTCACGTAGGACTAGCAATTTTCTCCATTTTTTAATTTATTAGAAAGTGATATGCTTATATTTTACCTATTTATTATATCCCTAATTTGTGATTTTTGCAATATATTTTGAGTACAAATATGCTATTTATGTGATTTTATCTTTAATTGTAGGAATTATACTCAAATTACGAATTGTTGAAGTTTTGAGCTAAAATCGAATTAAAAGCAACTCAATGGGAAAGAATTGAAGATTGAAGCAATTGATGGGGAGGAAATTAATGAGTTTAGAGAATTGGAGGGCCAATGATGCAATTTTGGATTGGTTAATTAATTTTTGGAAAATTGGCCGAAGGTTACGTCGGTTATGCGGCCGATTTGGGATTGGAATTGGATAAGAATTTTAAACCCGATATTAATTGGGAAACAAGTTTTCTTGTTCTTCAAGGAGTAGGGTTTAGCCGGAAGCCTATAAAAGGGGGATTAGAGATTTATTTTTACAATGTAATCGAACCGAAACTTGACCGAAAACCACCGAACCCTACGGTTAAAACCTCCATCACCGCCGACCACCACCAAACTCCCTCCTCCTTCGCCGCCTTCCTCTTCACCGCCGCCGTGCTTCCATAACCACCACGCAGCACCAGCCCTCCTCCACCTCTTCACCTCTCTTCGGCAAGCATCATCACCACCTCTCGCTTCTTCACGCCGAGAAAGCCAAAGCACCCTACTCCCTTGCCTTCGCACACACAGCAGCAGCACCTTCTCCATCATCCTTCGCGCAGCACCCACACCATAATCACCACCTTCAATCTCCTCCACCGGCGGCATCATCCACATCACCACCGAAGAAGCGGCCGCGAAGCAAAGCGAGCAACCGGCGGGAGTTTGGCGGGATTTTGGCTTCATTCGGTTTTGAAGTTTTAATTTATTTAATTTTTTTTATTTATTATGTCTCTAAATATTATTGAATTAATTTTAATAATGTTTAGTGGCTAAATTCTTTTAATCTAGGGCTTGGGTGTAGTCACCGAATTTATTTGGTTTATTTGGTTTATTTTTATTTGATTTTTCCATTAATTAATATTTGTTATTCTTGTTTTAATTCGTGTAAGTAATTGGCCACTATTTACATGTCTGAAGGTATTAATCGAAGTAGCGAGAGTGGAAGATTAATATTAGTTCGTAGGAATAATAAACTTAGGTTATAAAGCTACGAGAGTAAGATTATAACCTTTGCAATATTTGATTCTTAATGGTCTTAATGTGCTATTGTTAATCCCTATAGTCACGAGAGTAGTCATAGGGTTAATCTAAGTAAGAGAACTATAACACGAGAGTGTATAGTTCTTAATTAGGTGAATCGTTGTGAGATTAATGGAAGTTAAAAGTCAGATAGTTATGAATTGAACTAACCCAAATATTCGGTAGGTGAACCCAATGTCCTAGGTTTTCTTTGTCTAATTATTTGAATTAATATTATTTCGTTTTTTTTATTTATTTTATTTTATTTATTTATTTTAGTTTTAAATTTTATAAATCTGAAATCATCATTTATCTAGATAATAATAGGAGTAATTTATACCTGGTAGTTAGTATTCCTTCTCTGTGGGATCGACCCTGCTTTCTGCTTTACTACTAGTAATTGTATTAAGTAGGTAATTATTATTTGACTAGTGTGACGACGGCTTGTCAGAAAGGGAAAAAAATTTATCTTCAGTTAAAAAAATCAAACGACATAACAAATACCAATACCAAATCGAACATCTCATAAAATGAACAGTAGTCAAAACTCAAACAAAGATCTCATAAAATCTTCTGCCAATCTTCTTCTTTACCAGTACCAAATCTTCTGATTTGGTTGGAAGATTTTTCAATTTTAAACAATAAAAGCTCGAAGATTCCAGATCTTCAAAACCTAATCTTCTGTTATGGTAAGAATCTTTTTTAATTTTAAATCATACTCTCTTGTATCAATCTGTTAAACCAAATCATTAAAACAAATTCTTCAAACAAACCTAAGAAAATTATATATATGGGAGGGTCGT